TCAGCGAAGTTGAGCGGGGATTCGAGACAATTCTTCAGCTATAACAATATCAAATATGAGTAAGGTCCTAATTATAAGGACACTGGCGTGGCTTCAATAGGCATTTAAATTTTTCTCCAATCTGATTGAATCTTGGTTTCCTGGTAAGTTGATATTTATAATTTAATAATTATGATGTTAATTTTAAACACTAAACACAATGAACACAATGAAAAGGTTAAATTTTTTAATCTTCACTATTTTTGAAGATGGAGAGTTGACTACGGTATTGCTTATTGAACAATTCAAGCATTAATTTAAATCTATTTCCAAATTTTGATCGAGCGTATTGATTAAATTAATACTATGATTCACTGCTGTGAAAATAGCCGATTTGTTTAAGGTTAGTATAATCTCTCCACTGGTCGGTCAAGATTGTCGTTCCTTTTTTTACATTCCTCTCTATCACTTCAGTTAATTTAATCATAGTTCGATTAAGAACAATTTCAATGAAACATATACCAGACTCTCTCCCTCAACACCTCCAACTACCCATACTTGCTTTTTTCACTGTCCAGTAAACGTCCTCGGTTATACTTTCAGAGCTCGTTCAATTCAAGCCAGCCCGTGTGTTTGATTCCTCTTAGCTCTCTTTTCAACTGAGGAAAACATCCGTAGTCCAAGGGGCTGATATCGGGGAATATGGTGGATGATTCCTTTTTCAGCCAATAACTCCTTGACATCTTTATGCTTATGTGGTCTAGCATTATCATAAAGAAGCCAGAGGTTTTGCGAGTTTCTGGTACCAAGCCAATTCGGTAAATGTTTACCCAGAAACTTTCTGTAGACTTCACCAGTTAACAAGAAGCTAGAGCTCCAAACAATCCTTCCTCCTATTGGAGGATTTTGAGGCTGCGCTCAGCTATTTGTTTGCGTTTTTTCAAAAAATTTACCGCGTTTAAACTACTCTAGTTTAATTTTGTTAATTTTATATTAAATTTTCTATTAAAATTTCAATTTTGAGTATTTTTTTTGTGAAAAATGGATTCACCTACCACCTCCGCCACCTCCGCCACCGCCTCCGCCGTATTAACAGACCTAATTGAACAAGTGGAGATGGTAAGTTCAAAATTTCAATAACGGGATAATATACCCACAGCGTGTTTTGTGTTTTTCAATCTTCCTTAATAGATCAAAATTTTCATTTAGAGTTAAGAGTAGGGACTTTGTCAGTTTGTAGAGACATAAAAACTGAGTCCATTAGTGCTATTAAAAATTTCTCTGATCGACAGTTTTCGAGAAAATCGAAGTCAAAGTTGAAACTTCGATCGCCTTTTGTACAGTTGTGTGACCAGATTTTTTATGAAACTCATTTTACTAATGTAAATTTTGATGAACAACCAGAAAATGCACTTATTTTGTGAAATAAAATTTTGTTTTCTGTACAACAGATAAGTTCGATTTTAAGTTAAACCCATCGCATTCTGTGAACATAAGAGTTAGAAAGCTGAAACTTATTATTTGACCATAAAAATTGATGCTTCACATCATAGATTGAATACTTTTTTCAATTTATCAACAGCTCTTTTGATTTTGGCCATTGGTCTGAAAACTTTGAAATTCAATATCTCGAGAATGATAGCACCTAAAACCATCATTTTTTAACCAATCAACAAGTTTTTACAGTCATCATTGAGAAACTGCACTCACTCGAAATAGCTTATTTATACTATTCGTCGGGCAGCGTATTTCATTATTTTCAATCTTCATTGATAGATCAAATTCAACTGCTATTTCATGTTTTGTTCTTCGATATTTTCATTTCAGAATTCGCCAATGCATCTGGTCTTACATGTCCCTGAGGAACCTGAAAATTCAGAGGAAAATTTGTCCTCTAACTCACAGGTATTTTAAATGTTTTTGATCAAATTGTTAAACCCCAACATACCCCAACATACATTCTATTTCAATTTATTGATAAGATTTGCACTTGATTTTAAATAAAATTGAATTTGTAATTGAGATGATGAAAAACATACTTAATGAAACAACATTAAGATAAATGATAGTCAATAATTTGAAGCAAACTGATACAAAAGTAGTTATTTACTGATTTATTAATAAGCGCTTTTTCATTTGTATCTTTCTAGAACTCAGATTCTGATGAGCAGCCATCAGCCAATGGTCCAATGGTAATATCGATAATTATAATCTTTGTTATTCATTATTATCATCATTTTTTGAATGTTTTCTAATATTTATTTGTTTTTTTCAGCTTTCAACCTCCAAGGCAAAGGAGGGTGATTATCCTATTAAAAGGATAATCAGACGCGGGGTAGCGTACCACCCCGTTACCAAGAAGAAGATGGTCGGCAATCTCGTCGAGCACGAGCACCTCATCTATTTTGATGAAGAGCTCGACTGCGACCTCGTTCCTGAAGCAAGAGTAAGTGAAATTTTTTAAACCCCTACATACCCCTACATACCCCTACATACCAATTCATGTTGAACTGTCACTAACCATTGCTCTTTTTCTTTTTTCTGTTTCGTTGCAGGGTCCAATCAACGCACCAGGCTCCAACGAGGAGTATCATTGGGCTAGCTGCGCTCCAGAGGAAATGACGGCTGAGAGGCGCAAAAGAGGGGTCCAAATCCCTCGCAACTGTCGCTTCTGTAAGGAGCTTTATTCGACCCGGGACACCCAGATCCGCCGCGAGAGGGACACATGCACGGATCCAGGCGCCCCTAACCATCTCTGTGACGATAGTTGTCCAGATGATTGTGAGAGCTATCCTCCTTACGAGCCTCCACGTCCACTCCCTCGTGGAAGGAGAAGCAAAAAATGAGTTTGTTTTTTATAAATAAATTGTTTTGTAATGAATAAATGTTTTGATTTGAATTGATGAGTTTGTTTTTTATGAAATGAATAAGTTTATGTTATGAATAAAAGTTTCAATTCGAGAAACTATGGATATTTATTCGGGCAAATATTTCAATGTTATTCTTGCTCCATTTGATTAACAAAAGCGTCGAAATCAATAGTTGCCGGTCTTAATTGTTTTTTTCTCGTTCGTCGTGACTTGTTCTTAGTCGAAAATCTTCTTTGATGTTCAGCTCGTCTTCCAGAACCTTGAGAGTTCTTATGTGTGCTAACATCATCGAATGAACTCGCACCTCTTTCACCTCGAGCAATGGCTCTCAATGTTGGTATCATCGGAGTTAAGAATTTCTCAACAGCTGCCAGTTGCTTTTGATTGACGCATTCATCAAGAATATTTGCAAATGCATTCATAAACTGCTCCTTCTTGGTTTGTATATTGAAGCTGAAAGTAAGAGGCAATAGCATCAATATTTTCATACATGTTGGGGTATGTAGGGGTATACTCGGAACGTTTGTATAACTCACTTGCTTGGCGTTTTATCAATTTTTTGTGATAAGAAAATGCTTTTCTCTTCTTCAATTTGATTTCTCATTAGATCCTCTTCGACTATCAAATTTTGCATTTCTTCATTGTCAACACTTTCTTTGGGCTCGTTCACATTCCTCTTCATGGCAATAAAATGACTGTGCTTGCATAGATTATTTTTTATTGTTGAATCATAACAATCACAATTTACGCTATGTGCACAGATTTTGCAGTCCTCACAAACAAGATTGCATGAACATGGATTCAGTAAATTTACGAACTCAACAGTGTATAAATTAAATTCAGAGCCGTTTTGTGAAACAACAGTATATTTGCTAGTATCATCTGGATCACATGTGAATTGAAAGTTTGATTCAATGGCGATTTTATGCTTTTCACGCAGTTCGGTAAGTTTTTTAGGTACGTATCCTTTCTCTTGTCTTATTATCCTCTCAAACTGCATGTTTTTTATCAATCGCATAATATTGGAAATCGATTCATCCATCCTCCTGACCTTTTTTCCACCCATATATATGTGTTTCAAGTTCCTAAAATTTTTCTCAAATTAATCTTAGTTCATTACTGATATTCACAATTCAACTTACCTATGCAAGTTCTCCAGGTACATGTTCGTATTAATACCCAGATTTTTACGATAGCAGGCAGCCCATTGCTCGACACGGTTCTCATAATATGCCTTGATATACTCAACAAAAGGTTTAGTATTATCGTTTTTGACATATTCAGTTTTGAAAAATGTGAACAGTCGATTGAATTCATCATTGTCTAAAACTTTTTGCAAATGAAAGATATCAGATTTGACTTTCTGTCTCAAAGCAAGGTCTCTTATTCCAGTCAGATGTTTATTCCAGTTTCTAAACACATGCCAGGTACAAAGAAGATGATGATTAGGCTGTTCGAAGACTTCAACCCAAGCATTGTAGTAACCAGGAAAATCATCCGACATAAAAACGTTTGGTCTTTGGACGTTGCATACTTTTTTCAAGGACTCAAAGAAAGTAATGCAACTTGAAGCGTCAACATGAGATGAGTAGAAAAAAGCGACTGGGAAGCCATTTCTATGAAATATAAAAAGCAATGATGAGAAATTATTCTAACCCCTACATACCCCGACATAACTCACCGATTCTCATCAACAACCATCAAAGTTGTTAGTTGGAAGTCATAGTTGTTGGTGCCATGTGTCGAATCAATCGCAACTATATCCTTACCAAACTTCTCAAGCATATATCTTTGTGCCAATGTCGAAATGCCAAGCATGAAAGTTTTATTTTCATCGTCACATTCATAAATAATGATTGGATCAATGTCAAACGAATGCATTTCTTCTATCCATGATTCAACACTAACCAAATCGTTTTTGTCTCTTTTGATGTTAGATGCAAGTCCCATCTGATTTGCAATGTTTACTAAGTCCTTGTTGGTGGTAAGATGAACTCGCTGAGAATCGTCTTCATTCCAAGTATTTCTTATCTTTTCCAACACAACCTGTTTTGGAATACCATCACTGAGAAGACTTGCAATTTGAATCTTGTCTTCTTTTGGGATATCAAGGTGTTTGAGCTCTTGATTGTGTCCAACATGAGTTTTAACAAAACGAACTGACAAACGACCATCATTTAGTTCGGAAAGAAAGATTGAAGATGGACAGTTCTTTCCAGTCTTTCTTGAACCCTGAATTTTGATATGTCTTTTGCCAGTAGCTTTGGACACAAAATTTCCTGAACGATTACAGGTGAACCATATTTTCTTATCTTTCAACATGGTTCTTTTAATGTAGAAAGAATGAGTTTCCTTCTCTATCTGATTTTTCCATGTTTGAAACTCTATGTAAATCGCAAAAAAAGATTATTTGTTATCGTTTCGTGAATAGATAAGTTTAAGCTTGATCACATCTTAATAAAGAAATGTAGGGGTTGGTAGGGGTATCCAAAGACTGCAAGGTTTAATTTATGGTTTTCAAAAGATTGTTCGAAAGACGTAAAATGATCAAAAAACATACCTGAATAATCATTAAAATGTAAATTTACAATTTCAATATTAATTTGATGTTTATCCTTCAAATGTTCACAATACAACGTATTACTGTTACAGCTTACATCACAAAAACAACACAAAACACGGTTTCCAACACGTCCGTGGAAAATTGATTCATGCCGTCGTAGGTTTTGGTTGTTAGAAAAACTCTTTTGACATAAATTACATAAAAAAGAAACGGGTTTTGGACTTAAGTCCATTTTGAATTTGAACATTGAATTAAAATAAACATGTGTGTTTCTATGTCAACTGTTACCATGACTTCTATTTGTTAGGTAAGCTCTATTTCTATTGGAGGGATTGTTTGGAGCTCTAGCTTCCTGTCACCAGTTACAGTTGTTTTTTCAGGCAACAGCTCCCGGCTATCCCGGTAAAATCCATGGCCATTATTAGCATTCTTTTTCCCCGTGAATGTTTTGTTTTGGTGCTTTCATTGGTGACTCATCGGATCTCCTCCACTCACGCATCTGGTTTTAGCTAGCTTCTTCAACTTTAAATCGTTCTTGAGGATCCTCTTAACAGTTGGTTCCGGAATTACTGTTTTGCTCGCTAAAGCCTTTGTGTTCCAATGTCTCGTTGTAGCCAACTCAGCTTGGATCTTTTCGATTCTTTCAGCTTTTTTTCTATATCTGTAAAGTCACTTCCTCTGCTGTCCTTGCATGATGTAACTCCAGAACGGAATTTGCCCATCCAATAATCAACTGCAGATCGCTTAAGCGCTTTAGTTGCAACTTTTTTACCAAGTTTGAATGCGCTACACTGTTTGAACAACCTTCAATAGCACAAAATTTGAGAAAAACACGTTGATCCTCGTCTGAAACACTTTCAGTTAAAATTTCTTGATAATCCATTTTGGACGCGTGATCAAAAACTATATTTATGCGCTAAAAGGTCACTCTTGAAATGCTAGAGGTCAGGTCAATCTAGTTTGTCTAGCAAAAAACGCGCTAAGTGCAGTCACCTAAAATAGCTTGGTCCAACCTGATAGATTAAATATTGATATAAGAACTGTCATCATTGCACTGAATGCAGTGGCTCGTTTATACAATTCACATGGGAGAACTGTAGAACATGTTTATTCCTCAGATTTTCTTAAGCAAAAATACTTTAATTCGGTTTAAACCTTGCGAGATTGACTCTTGCTGGTTAACGTCCGCTCAATTTCACTCTTCTTTCACCAACCAGCGTTTTATCACCATACAGGGTGTAGCGAAAGTTCGTGTAGGAGGCAAAAACACATTTCCCCCTGCGTATAAACCAAACCAACCATGAAAGCGTCATGAAAGCAACCGAAGTGCCATATGTAGCGAACCTTAGATAAGACGGTTCAAGCAAAAGTTCTCAATTGTTGAAAGAGAATCACAAAATTTGTTACGAAAAAATACACAGAAAGAAATCCAAAACACTGGCTCTGTGTTATGTAAAGATGAATTTTCCTCGAAAAATAGAAAGGAAACTAGAGCACAAAAAACGAAAAAACTTTCTTGGTTAACTAATAACATCATCGATGAGAGAGATACGCATTGATATGCCATTGTTTTAAACATGTGTATCATAATTTTGATTCGCTACGTAAAAAATTAAGAATAAAAGAATTAGAATCAATGGATTATTTATTTACTACAATTCAAACTTTTCATGATGAACGATTGACTTTTCATGTGTTTACTAAGTCTTTGTCACTGATGAGTCGATTTCCAGAGTATTTGTTTCGCTGAATTGCGCTATTTAGAAATTGGTGATGGTTGATTACCTCCTGGTGGATTCTCTCCTGGTGGATCAACTCCTGGTGGATCAACTCCTGGTGGATAAATTCCTGGTGCATCAACTTTTGGTGCATCAACTTTTGGTGGATCATCTTTTGGTGGATCAACTTTTGGTGGATCAACTTTTGGTGGATCAACTTTTGGTGCATCAACTTTTGGTGCATCAACTTTTGGTGCATCAACTTTTGGTGCATCAACTTTTGGTGGATCAACTTTTGGTGCATCAACTTTTGGTGGATCAACTCCTGGTGGATTAACTCCTGGTGCATCAACTTTTGGTGCATCAACTTTTGGTGGATCAACTTTTGGTGGATCAACTCCTGGTGGATTAACTCCTGGTGGATTAACTCCTGGTGGATCAACACCGACCAGTTGGCTCTGAGCTGGAACAGAACCGAGGATAGTAATGATGGTCATACAGAGAATCCCAACAGATAACACAAATACATTCGATTTCATTTTAACTTTTGTAGGTATTTAGCATGAAGTTAACAATTCTATCGTTAAAGAGAAATTTTTAAGCTCCACTACAAGCTTCACTATTTTTTTCTTTCTAAAAAACTTGACTTTTATACTTTTTTGATGCCGAAATGGTTGTATAGCTTAATATTTAAAGCCAACTGAGTAAATACAATTGTAGGAATAATAATTAATTCTTTGTCTGGTGAACAAAATGTGGCAAATAATTTAAGCGCGCAAATATGAATGTAGTTTTTCATCATATTAAGGTTTTATCTAATATTAAAGTTAGTCTATTATTTCAGTATCCTTTCTTTGTTGAATATAATCAAAAGTACCGTTTTAATTTGGTTTCATATTTAGAATGATGGCTCAGTTAAATTATGCTTCTAATCTTGACTTTGAGCAAAGTCATTTGGTCTTTTATCAGGTTGATCAATGTAACTGTAAGTAAATAAAAACTAATCATAGTCAATAAAAAATAAAAAATCGAATGATTAAACACATGGTACTTTTTTGTTTTCGCATTTTGTGCTGAATTGTTTACTTGCATTTTAGAGAAAAAATATTTGCCAGCTGTTCATTTAGTCAAATGACTTGATAAGATATCACGATAAACAATAAAAAATACGTTAAGTTCACTGGTTTTTGCCAGCGATTATCTGCCCTAGTAGAGTTGCTACTAATCTGACATCCGAATTTACTTTTTCGTCTTTGTACTAAGTTTTGCACATTTAAAGCCCTATTTTTACGATTTTTGACGTTAACATGATGAATGGATTTGCTTGTGATGAAATGAAATTCGATTGACGTCGCAAGGTCAAAAGTCAAATTCCCAACAAATGCCTGCCAAAATCTGCTATGGCTGTATATCTGTTTAATAAAATTAAAAAAGTGGATTTGCGAATTGGCTAAACTGAAGTATAAATCTTCACTTCGTTTCATTACGCTCCGATAATTACAAAAGGCAAGATTATAAATACCCCAAACATTTCAATAGGATTTATAGCAAGTCATTGCTTTCGAGACATTAGCACTAATATTTACTTTAGCTATTCTGGCGCTGTGTATTGGAAGATTTTATCGATCCCGCAAATTTCATAAATGTATGGAACTACATGTTGATCAAGAAATTCGATGTATCCTACCGTCAAACTAAACCTAATGTTAAAATAAAGTTATCCCTTCTATTTGGCTACTTAAATGATTTGAGTGACAATCTGATATTGATATAAATGTATATGTTGATATTTTGAATATCCATCATACATTAGATCAACCTTTATCCTTTAACAAATCTATCAGGATATTGGTATCGTCGGGGTGTAAATGCTCTTTTTCAAGAAAATCTTTTTTCGACTTTTGCTATCTTGAAAATAGTATACACCTCCCGATGATACAGATAAACTGATACACTTTTGCAGAGAGAGATGTTCAATGTATGGTATACATACGAAATACTTTGTCACGCAAATGACTTAAGTGGCCAAATGTAAAGATGTTGACTTTACCAACTGAGAGTTCTATTCGAACTAACTTTTATTAGACAATGGTTTACATTTTATATACTATTATTACATCTACACAAATCTCAAACATGTAAAATCAATAAGGGTGTAACAGTGTAATATGTTTCTAACATAATCAACTACAAATTACTTTGGGTGTGTTACATATACCGGCCGCCATTCTGAACAGCCACTGTTCAGTTACAATAATTACGCGGGTTCCGTTGATAGTAAGCTTGTATTCTGCAAAGGATTCATTGTTGCAATGCTTTCAACTTATTTTCAGCTTCCTTTAACATTTCTTTAGTATCTTCCAATTCCGAAGCCATTCTCCTTAATTCTTGAGTTTTCAATTGTAGTTCTTTCTGGGTAGAACTAAGGGTCATGCAAAATCTTGAATGAAATTCTTGCGGTAATTTATATGTTATACATATGGAACAATTATTAACATTATGTGGGCAGATATTTGTATGCCATTTGTAGTCCTCATTAGTTATAATTTTCCTACAGGATGGGAACTTACAATATACTTTCAATTTGTCCCATATTTTTACTGACTTTATGCCATTTTGGCGTCTACAACCATAACTCCATGGTTTTCTACATGCTTGACATTCTAATGGATGGGGTTTTTTAAGTTTATACGTTAATGCGTACATTACTTGACAATTTGGGCACATGCAATGTTTACAATGTTTACAGGTGTGGTTTTGGTAAGGGTCTGGGATAAGTTTTAAGCATGATATACATTCAAAATCCCTCAATGCTTCTTGGTCGACCCAGTCTCTTTTGAATTCTTCCTCCTGTGCTCGTGTCATTTTCTGGGCTTGCTTATTGATGAACCTGCGAATTAATTAGAGTTGACATACAATTAGAACAGTAAGTAATGTCTTAGGTCTAGAGGATACATTAGTTCTATATAACATTATAATAGAAGGTAATGTAGAAATAGAATTAGGACTAGAATTGCAATATGTTGAGTTTTAGTTGTTTGATTCAGATCTTACATCATATTTAGTAATAACAGGTTTGTAAGTATGATATAATGTTGAATAAGTTTAAAGGAATGTGGAGTTAATTAGTAAGATATCAATTTTCTTTCAGCCATTAGTTCACTTTTCGGGTAAATTTAAGTTAACTTGGTTCTTATTTTCGAAGATATGTTCCATCCTTCAATCTCTTTAAGGGGAGATTCCATTTCAGCCCCTACAGTATATGAGATTTGACCGTTAGAAGATTTACTATGGAGCATTATTTGTCTTAAACTTCTAGGGTCTTCGCTCCCGCAATTACGGCAGCAATTGGGTCCAATCCCACAGAATTCAGGTTGACAAATTTCTTCCTCTGTGAGGGGAGGGCCAAAACAACATCCTTTGTTTCTTTTTGGGTTGTCTGGTCGGAATTTCTTGCAGCATCCCTTGTAATCAGACTTGTGGTTTGGTATACAGTTGTATTCAGTGTTCCAATCATCGCAACACCATTTACAAATAATTAAAAACTGACTACGGAGCCGATAAAATGGACTGTCCCGTAGTTCAAAAGAGGTAGGATAATCTTCGAAATCAAGAGGGTGTATTGAGACAGCAGTACGAGCAATTTGGAAGTAATATTTATAAAATTCACTTATCTTTGCGTCACTAGCCAGAATAAACTGTCTCTGATTATGGTTTGTCGGAGTACCTCTATGACAAGGAATTCTCGCCATGGAATACTTTATCCAAGATTTTTCAAACAAACTGACTGGGGAGAAGGGAACAACATCGATAAGAGCAAAGTTATAAGGCTCTGGTGGGTCACTGCAATCTTCAAGGTAGTCGGATTCAGGTTCAACATATGCGTGTTTGATATAGCATTGGGATCGTATGGATCGGGCAAATGCAGACTCATTAGCATCATGGGATGAACCGTCAATTGCATGGTCCATACTAATAAAGAGTCCTAAGGCAGCGTAGTCCGCATTATCTGCAAATGTTTCATAAGAAGTTTTCTTAAGTCCACCTCGAAAAGGACAACAAAAGGAATAGGAGGCACCACCAATAATACCAACATACTGGATGATTCCGTCCCAAACTGTATTCTTGACACCCAAATCACTAGCATAGTGTATTATATATTGCCAGAATACCACGCTTTGTCTATTTTGACTACAAAATGGGATGAGGGCATTGTAAGGTTTATCCGTCATTTCGGGACTCAAACAGATTTTTCAGTATTTAGGATTGGGAGAATTACAATTAGAGATAATAAAGAGTTAATAGAGATGAATGAAAGATGGCGAAAACTAAGTTTTCTTAAACCATCGATCGAATCAATCAAAATATTTTAGGAATGAGGAATAGGATCAGGTTTTGTGTGAATGGGTCTAATGCAATATACCGGCCGCCAATCTGAACAGTCTCTGTTCAATTAAATTTGTCACTACTCAAATTTGAGGTGATAGGCTGCCATCCATGGTTTCAATCCAAGTGTTAATCTGGAATAAATTATTATTTGTTTCCTATGTTTTATACTAACTCAAAGTTTTATACTAAACTCTATTTTTTGTGATTATTTATTTTGTTTTCTGTTTATTATTTATTTTTCTTTATTTAAGGTTCTCTAATTTCTATGTTTTGAATAAGTTTTAATCTTTCTTTCTCTATTTGTCCGTTTCTTTAACTGATTCATTTACGGTTTCGAGAAGTGATGAGTAGTTGTTGACTTCGCGTTCGGCCAATCTAGCTGCTATAATTAATTCATTAATTGTTTTTGGATTTCTTAAAACAATCTCATATTTGATTTGTGGTAGTAATTTCCCTTTTATTAGACTGACGATAAAACTCTCAGGCGTTGTTCTATCTATGATTTTACATAAACCATATATTTGGTAAATAAAAGCGATTGTAGATTGACCAACTTGTTGTTTGTTTGCCTGTAATTCTTGTGCTAGCTTAGGTTTGTAATGAATGGGACTAAGGCCTACAAGAGCGTCATTCTTCCATTCTTCTTCATTATCTGCGTCGACGTTTGCCCTTGGGCTGTCAGCATACAAGATGTCGTACAATTTAATTAATTTTTCTTTTGTTGTACCTATTTTGAGTAGTTGATTTACGAGTTTGATTTCGGTCACGTAAAATAAGTTATCTTCTTCTTCTACCATTCTTTATGCGTCAAGTATTTAATCCTTAATTTAATTATCTAGTATCTAATTTAATAAAATTTTCTTAAGGTTTTGAGGTATTCGTAATTCAAATTTTTAATTAATTTTTAATTAAGTAAAGTATTTCTATTCAATATTAAATTTGAAGTATGCAATTATTTTAATGGATTATTGTTATTAATTCTTTTATAATTTCTCTTTATCTATGGTATAGTTAGATTAATCTAGGTAAGTTATGATTATTGTATATAATGTTTAATCATTTTGTGGTGTAGTTTCTTGCAACTTATTATTCTAGTAAGGTGTTATCTCTTGAGACTAAATCTAATTAAGTGATTTATTAGCTAATTTGACTAAGATAACTTTCTAGCAATTTAAGGTGTAGTCACTCTAGACTTTAATAATCCATTGTATTTATGTTATCATAAATACAATAGATTATTCAAGTGTAACCTTTTTCGCTTTGATTTATTATTTTCAGATTAAACTGACTATTATTGCTGTATATTGTAGAATCACTAGGACTTATGGTAAGATTTTATTATTATTATTATCTGATTTGATTATTATTATATTATCTCCTGATCAATAGATTTGCAAAAATTCAAGTTTTAGTTATTATATTTGATTCTTTGAATTGTTAAAATGATTAACTTTTATATTTAATACTAGAAATTACGAGCTGAATATTCGTGTAAGTTAAGAGTTATTTTGTTAAATTTTGTGACAGTGAAGAAAGATGGCGAGCTAAGCTTCTAACCAATCGATCAATTACTGGTATCTGTTGAATTTTATTTATTTATTTAATTTATTTTATTTATACTTATTGGAATTTATCAGGAAATATTCAATAGTGCGAGTGGAACTCAGCATATGGCCAACTTTAATGACTAGAATCAATAATGAATGAGTGCGATTAGAATGGGAGCTGAACTCTTAAACCATTTAGCAATCGTTTTTTTTTTGAGTTAAAATTAGAATTTTTTATTAAGAGTTAGGTTATTAATCAGTCAATTCGTGACGATATAGATTATAAGTAGAGCTTTATCTCTTTCAAATGTAATTTACCAATTAAGGTGTAGTCTTTTTTCTGACTTAATTTATTTAAGTAAGGATCAATCCTTTTCAAGTGAAATTTATTTAAGTAAGGTGTAGCCTTTTGCAGACTCAATCTATTTTAAGTATTAATCTTTTCTAGATCAATTTATCTATGTAAGGTGTAGTCTTTTGTAGACGTAATTTATTTTAGCAAGTATTAATATTTTCTAGATTTAATTTATCTAAGTAAGGTGTAGTCTTTTATAGACTTAATCTATTTTAGTAAGTAATAATCTTGTCAAGATTTAATTTGTCAATATCAATCTTTTCTAGATTCTATTTATCTAAGTAAGGTGTAGTCTTTTATCGACTCAACTATTTGAATAATGGTCAACTTTCACGAAGTTAATTTATCTAGGTACAATGTGATTTTATTAGATCCAATTTGTCTTTTCAAACTTGATTTATTGATTTTGTTTTTATAGATTTATTAATTTGATTAATTATGTTGATTAATTTATATATTATTAGTGATATGAGGATAGGATCCAAATATTTTATCGATAGTTCTCTATAATATCGGTTGATTGTTTTATATCTTAGATATTTCTGTTAAAGATTATTTTAGCCAATCGTAGAATAAATGTAACTAATTTAGAGTTAAATCAAGAAAACAGCTAAAAAATCAGTTATTGTAAATATCTTAAATTATGCAAGCAGTAAACGTAATAAATTGGTAAGATTTAGGATGAATTGAATTAGAACTCAGATACCTAGCTAAAGCGTTCTATATTGGGTTAATCGAAATGTATGAAAGATGGCGAACTGGAGAGTTCTTAAACCATGAATCGATACAATTTAGGAATTAAGATGCAATTATTTTTAGGTAAATTAGGAATATAAACTGAAAATGTATGAAAGATGGCGAACTGTAAAGTTCTTAAACCATGAATCGATACAATTAAGTTATTAAAATGGAATTGTTTTTCAGGTAAATTAGGAATATAGATCGGAAATGTATGCAAGATGGCGAACTGAAAAGTTCTTAATCTATCAGTCGATGACGTCAAAAGGGAACTTAATGAAGAGTAATTTTAGATTAAGAGAGTAGAAGTAAATGATTAGATGGTAGGTTGTAATTAGTTAGTTATTGACTCGTATTTGAATTATGAACTAGGTTTAGTATTAACGTACGGTTAGAGACAGAAAATATCGAGCTGGGCCCTAAAATCGATTGATAACCGTTGCCAAACAAAATTATGATGAATTTAAGTATTTATCAAGTAGACTAAAATATTTATCAATTATACTATGATAATAGATTCGAGATAACTTAATATTATTTTAGACTTAACATGCGTAATATTCAGTAATTTACTTACGATTATATTGAATTTATCGTTCTTCAATTATTGGTTGAAAGGTAAGGTGATTATTTGAAAAGCAAATTAGGTTGTTTTCTTAGTAATGATAAACGGTTAAAGTTTATGATGTGATTTCAAGATAATATAGGTGTAAATATTTCAGAAGACAAAGAAACAGTAAGCAAGGATGAGTATGTTTTTTAAACAAACAGAATATCTTTATAAGATGAGATCCTTATTTAGGTTGGATTAAGGAGAATTGTTGTTGAAAATTTATTATTAATATTGGTGATATTAGTCAATTTATAATTCAGGATAACAATTAAACTTGATGCACAAGTTGGTTATTAGTTGATCACAATTATAAATAAGCACAGAAAGATGACCAGAATAATGGTAAGATATGTTGACACAATGTTTAGATTTATATTAAGAAGATTTGTTATCAGTGTTGATGACTGAAGATTATAATAGATCAAACAAATTTATTATTAAACCATTTAAATATGGATTTTTAATCATTTTATTTCACTAATCACTAATTCATCGGAATATTCAAGATTGATTTACTGGTTGAGAATTGTATATAAACAGCACTAGGTTTTTTAAGCGAACCACGCTCTGCTACCAATTGTAAAGATGTTGACTTTACCAACTGAGAGTTCTATTCGAACTAACTTTTATTAGACAATGGTTTACATTTTATATACTATTATTACATCTACACAAATCTCAAACATGTAAAATCAATAAGGGTGTAACAGTGTAATATGTTTCTAACATAATCAACTACAAATTACTTTGGGTGTGTTACACATACGAAATACTTTGTCACGCAAATGACTTAAGTGGCCAAATGACTAAAGGGGGCAAATGACTAAAAACCGCAACAAGTACAAGCGTTATCAAAAAAGTCATAGAACTTTCAAAGTCAGATTTTTTACCTGATAACTCAAAAACTATAAATCATATCGAAATACAATCAATTTTTGGAATTGGCATAAAATTTTACATCTAATACGAGACTTTGAAGAAATTCTATTTTTAGGCACTTTTCCCTATTCTTTTGGTCCTCGTCCTTTTTTCAATAAAATATTGAAGACTGATTTCAAGTCAGTATTGAACTGGTGAAATTACTGAATCACGTAAATTTTGTTCTTTGAAAGCGAGAAATGATTCTGCCAAATTCCAATTCTATATCATTAGGCAATTATATCACAAATTATATTAGCATTTCATCGAAAAAACTTTTCGCATAATATCAACAATAGCGACTTTAACTCTAGTTCGAATAAAAAATATTAGTCCGTCCATGAACCATATATACTTTCGAATGGAATGCGAGCTAATATTTGGATATTCACAGTACATTTGAAACAGTTGCTTGGAGTTTGGTTATCATAAAATTTTGATCGCTTGATTTTCGATCAAAATTTACAGTATTTTTATTGTATTTTTCCAATTAAAAGATAAATTTCAAGATAAATTCCGTTTTAAACACGCTTATCTGTTTCCAGTGTGATCTTTCTCAGCGATAAGCCCATTGGTTCCAATTAATTCCATCTATTCACCACATCTCCGCTCTCTGTTCTGTTAAATAGCTAAATAAGCCATAAAATTGTGCCTTAGAGTTTTTTTTGAATAAATCTACTAAAAATTTATGCTTTCTTATAAATATGATGAGAACTGTATTTATTGGTACGCACGAAAACAAAAGAATGTGGTTTAGTCTAATTTACATTTTTTCTTCACCAAAAAGTGAAGAAAAAAGAAAATGAAACAAAAAGAAAACAAAGAGAAAAGAAAGTTTTGAGAAAGAAATAATAGTGAGAATAATAAATATGTTCTCAGTATCGCGAGCCAGTGGCATAACCACGATTAGACGGGTTATTGGATGAATTATTATTATTTCTCATCCCATAAGAAGAGTAACTCGAAGCCCCCATGGGTCCAGATATTTCTGTACCCATTAGAGGATGCCTACGAGGTGGTTGATTAGCTGATCCAGATGATGTTAATGATTGCTGGTATGGTGAAGAAGCTGATGCTGAGTTAGAAAAATGGAGTGGCATAGAGGAGGAGGATGAATTATTATTGTTTGAAGATGAGGTACTCAAATAAGAGGGTGTTGAGTATGAGTTACTAGTTGAATAAGAGCTCGTCGAAATATTGTTTGTCGATATTCCAGAAGCCGAAGTAGCACCTGAATTACTACCCGAAGCACTAGTAATGGCTCCAATTTGCAGCAAAGAGTTAAGAGCTGCTTTAACCTGAGGGTTTTCTAACAATGTATTTGGGTCGGTTGGGACATTGTTTAATGTCGACGAACCAGCACCGGTAATAGAACCGGTAGCCGCTGAGGAAGTTGATGAATAACCCGAGACCCCGGTTGATGATTGGAATTCAGATCCCGTTGTAATGGGATTCACACGTCGCGTAGGTACTGAAGAGGTTAACCGATCCCGTTCTCGTTTGAAATAATCAATTATCGAGTCTATCTGGGGAAGGCTTAAAAATTGTATACCTCCTTCAGAAAGGGTAGTACGTAAAAGATATGCAATATCATCGGGTAGCCGTTTGCCAGAAGCCTGGCTGGCTCCCGCACTGGGGTTACTTGGTGGAATATTAGTTGGCTTATTGGTTGGGTTAGAACCATTAGAGGAAGATGTAGCTGCTACAGCAGCTGCCGCTGGAAACAATGGTGTTGAGCCAGTGACACTACTATAATTAGGTACTTCTGGTGGCTTTGGCGTCTCAAAATTTTCACTAAAGCCCTCACTCGGTGGTTGTTGTCCATTATAAACAGCGAAATCCCTTGAAATCAGCGGTATTGCTTCGTCAATTGGTATATTCCGATGTTCTTTTCAAAAAATTAAATTTAAAATGAGTAAATTTAGTTATATAAGATACTAATGACTGAACAAATGTTACACATACCTTCTTGATTGTGTAGAACATGCAATGTACAAGATCTTTTTTCTTCATTGGCGGGTGTCACCACAATAGCATAAAGGGTTCGTCTGTGTACAAATAAAATTATTTTTAGTTACTCAGGTTACTCAAATCGTTATCCTAGAAAATTTAGCTTTACCTTTCGAAAAGATCATTGAGCGTCATCGAGATGTGCTGGGGAGAATGTAGAAATAGTAAATCAATGAACTTTACTGGAGTTTCGTCCTTTAGTCTTTTTTCTATCATCTCTGCGTAGCGCCTAATGAATAGAAACAAGAGCCATTAGTCATTAGCAATAAGCATTTTAATCTGTCTAAACATTAACTAAAAAACTTACCATTGTTCTCGATTTACGACTATAATTTCAATATCATTACCAGGTCCTTCAGGAAGCGGTGGAGGTGGAGGTATCTCCATTCCTAGTAAGAAATTAAAACAAAAATATGAATGATGAATATTCCGGTACATTGGTATTCGGTATTTCTGTTAGATTTAGTAAACTAGAAATGGAATGTACCTGGACCTGGATGGTCGAAAGGAGGAGGAGGGCCATCGAAACGGGATTGTGGTGGCATATCAAATCGCGATTTCGGAGGTCCATCAAACCTTCCATGATGAGGTCCATCAAATCTTCCTGGCATGGGTGGCGGACCATCGAACCTTCCTGGGGGACCATCAAACCTTCCTGGAGGTCCATCGAACCTGTGAGGTGGTCCATCGAATCTCGATCCAGGTGGACCATCAAACCGGGGAGGACTATCAAATCTAAATTGAAAATGATTATAATTGACAGAAGTTAGAATTGAGATAATAAATATGATTAGGTATAACAAACCTTGACTGACGAGGACCATCAAATCGACCTCTGGATGGTGATCGTGAGCCGCTTCCGAATCTAGAAGGTCTACCATATGGACCTCGGGCGGAAGGACTTCGGCTTCGACCCCTGCTTCTTCCAACTGATTTGCCCATTTTCTGTAAGATTAAACAATATTAAACTGATATATTAATACATTGCCAGAAGAAAATATTCAAATGAAAGCTAACTCACAAAATGTTAAGGATATAGAAAAATTTGCTAGCAAGTTGGGTTATAGCTTTGACATTTGATGATAAATAATTGGCAACACAAATTGTTTGATCATTAAATGTTAGTACTGCAACATCAAAATCAAAAACTGTAAAAGTATGATGTAATAATAATGAATACAATAATCACCCATTTAAAAAATCAATATTTCGGAATGTATAAAAGCATCAAAGTCGGAACTAGTTTGCAGTACAAAAAAATAGCCTATCCTTTCTAATAGATGGATTACAGCTATGTAAATACTTTTTGCAGTTTTACGTGTTTGCAATATTTAAAATTATTCATTAAAAATGTCTAATCAATGAAGAAATTGAAATAATTTTCAACCAATGTAGTCGTTTCTTACCTCAAATTAAGTTCAAGATGATAGGCTCTCAGTCAACAGTAAAGTAAAAGATTATTTTAGAACTTGATGAAAATAGCAATATTTTATAAATATTAATTCACAATAGATGACTAAACTGGTTTAACAAAAATTAATTTTAAATATAAATACAAAGCAGTCAAAGTCTTGAAATTAAAACCTTGTTTAATTAATAGATTGACAAAATGCAGAAAGAAATCAGATGCAAACGGTGAGTAAGAATAGACTATTTTTGCTGTATAAATAGCATCGCCTGTCAAAAGCAAACTGCTTCAAGCAATTCGCTGCAGTCAATCATTTAAATCTCGTGTATATTTTACTTTGTATTTTGATTTTTAACTTGAGTCAGTTTTTCCGATATATTTAGCTATATTAATTAATAATCGTTTTCTTAAATCTATCAACATTTTTTATTTAAAGACACGTCGAAACCAAAACATCGGTAATAATATGAATCGATGATTCAGCCAACAGTTTTAGCTGATTTTGCAGAATTTCAGATAAGATCAAAGAGGATAACTCTCTGCATTTACTCTTTGGATAAGATGGTTAGTTGATACAGCAAACGATCCAAACACAAGATGATCTTTACTTAAATACATTTTTACTTGTTTAAAATATTGGAATGTAATGTTCGCGTTTAATTGTATGTATGCGTTGGGCGATACATTCAGCAATCCAAATAATATTCCGGCATTCTTGTTCTTTCAATTTAAGATAAGAATAGAAGACACCAAAATGAAATTGAAGCATAAATGCATTAACATTTAGTTTAACTTCATATTCAAAGAATTTATCTTCCAATGTTTTCTCATCGACATCTCCTTGTCCTCCCCCTGATTCAAATATTGAATGATAATCTGAATAAAAGTCAGCAACCGCATGGACCTGATCATAATCATCGCATCTACCCAAAGCTGCTAAACCATCAGGATTTAGTTTACCACATCGAGGATACAATTTAGTTCGATCTTCTCTGCTTAATTCAGTTCCAAATGAATTTATAGTTATGATAAAAGCTCGTCTATCTGCTTCAAATGCTATAATAATCAAATAAAACATATAAAATTTAATACAATGAATTTAAATAAGAAAAGAGATTATTTTACCTAAAATTTCACACATAACTTCCCCAGTTGTACCTCCAATCTCATCTTGACAAAATTTGTAAAAGCTTTCAAGATATGCTTTGTATAGTGTATTTCGGATAATTTCAATATTCATTTCATCCATATCTTGTTCAGAGAGACAATCAACAAAAAATGGAGCCAATGGTGTATCAACAAGAATAGCATTGTACAAATCAGCAGGAGTAGTTGCCACATTAATTGCCTCCATTTGATCGAAGCGTCCAAGAGGATGACATTTATCAATTAATTCAGGTATTGGTCGTTGATGGAGTGTTCCAGTTATCAGAAGAATTATATTATCAATCATGTAGGAATAAGTGATATAATCAAGGAATGTAGCCAAAGGTTCAACAGCTTGATTGCGAATATGGTGAAATTCAGTGACCATTTTTTCCCTCAGTTTATCTTCAATCACTGAAACAGCCAAAGGTGATGGTTCATTGGCCAAAAAGCTGTCATAATCAGTGCTTTGTAAATGAATCTTAAGATCTAGTAACAGACAAAATATGATAAAAAATTATTAATGATAATATTTACAATGATAATTATTTACTTACCATCTAAAGAGTCACACTGAACCAAATTAATATAATCTGATTGTTTCAATATACCGAATCTAAATCAACAATTCCAATCTAGTTGAAATTTTTCGTTCCTAAAGCTTGCTCAATATATAGATATGATGTTTCGGTTAGATTGAGCCTAGAGCTTGTGTTTGATGGATTCTGTGCTTAAAATTCCAAATTTTTAATAGAATTAAAAATTGTCCAATTTTTTAGACACAGATTATTCAAGCTTGATACGACATGATGGTATTTTTGGATTTATGCTGAACATTCAATACCAAATACTTGTGATTTGCAAATTCTAAACTTGAATTTTTTAAATTAATTTTTCAACACAAATGTTAAACAATCTTACGAAGTAAAAGGAATAAAATTGAGACAGAAGTTTTCATGTCAAAATGTTTGAACAAAAATTATTCATGTTCATTTACTAATCATTTGGTGTCAGACCAAAAATATGTACATATAAATCGACATTTAATAATTAAAAACTAGTGATTAATCTCTTTGATTTCATTCCTCTCCTTGTGCTTTCTCTTTACTTGAATCAGTTTCACTGAGATTCAACTGTTTCTTCAATTCTTTTATCTCTTCATCTTGAGATTTGACAATATCCGTCAGTTCAGTCACTTTGTTGCTCAAATTTTTGACTAGGATTACCAAATCTGAGTACGATGGTTGATTAAGATTAATTTTCCAACCATAACGTATAATCTCTTCGTTATCTAATATTTCTGATGCTTCAGGTCTGGCATCTGGGTCATTTTGTACAGTTTTTAAGATTAGATCAGCAAGGCACTTGTGTTTAGTCAATTCATCGGGTAAAATTTGTAAAGCTTTAAGCTGCTCAAATCGGTCTGCTCTTTCCATATCCGTGAAAAGGGATAGAGTAACTCAAAAGCGATCAGACCAAAGCTATAGATATCTGCTTTACGACCATACGAAGTACTCTTGAGTTGTTCAGGGGCAGAGTAGGTTTTCGTACCTAATCCTTGAGTACGCTTTCGTTTTTTTCCTTGACCTTTCTTGGCTACATCTGCAATACTTTCCGGAAGATCGTTAATGGTGGTTAGTCCGAAGTCAGCAATTTTAACTACTCCAGCAGAAGAAAAAAGAATATTTTGGGGCTTAATATCACGATGAATTAAATTATGCTCATGAAGATGTTGAACACCTCTTAAAATTTGAATCATTATATCAATTGCAGCATCATAATCTACAGAAGTACTATTTATTAGTTCAGCATTCCGTTTGTCGATCCAAGTTCTTAAGTTAAATTTACAAAGTTCCATTTGGATGAATAAAACACAATATAACACAGGAGCTTTTGTAATATCTGAGCTTTTCTTTGATCCCTTTTCAACTTTAAGTTCTGGTATCACTTCAGATTGAATTGGTTGTTCAGATTGTTCAGATTGAGTTGGATATTCGGAATATTCAGATTCTTCAGATTCTTCATAGTGAGTTGAAAATTCCGAAAATGGCGAGGAAGTCTCGGGTAAAAGTTCCGATGAAAATCTGGATGGAAGTTCTGCTAGTAAAGAGTCATAGGATTTCGATGGGATAATCTTTGGAGTGGGTGAGTATCTGAAAAAAGCTGAATTAGATGACTGGACTGATAATTCGTGCTTTTTTGTCAATGCTGCTAATGGTAATTTTGATAAGCTTAAATTTGAATTATGAGATTCTGAAGATGATGAAGATGACGATGAATCAAATGGAACTAATTTCTCTATATTTTTAGTAAAGGGCGACCTGTTAGTAAAGTCCTCTTGAGGATTCGGCAATTTCAGCAAGTTAGGGATGTCGTACCCAGACAAATAATACAGCATTTTAATCACAAATTTATGCTCTTTAATTTAATATATAATTAATCGTAATTAAATACGACGTCTTTTCTTAAATGGGCTTTAAATTAGCTCTTTTTAAAAATAGTTTGCCAAACCCATGTTAAAAACACATAGAGAAAATGAGTAACGACAAAAAGCTGAAACTCTCGCAACCTATTTCACCGATAGCAAGGTCAATTAAAAGTTTTGGACTGATTAGGACACAACATAAGAATCAGCATTAAAAAAGACACAATTGAGCAAAAATTTGGATTCATTAGAAAAATTTTGCAGAATTTATTCAATAAAATCGAAAAAAACATTTGCGCAAAAGTTTTTTTCCGGACTCAAGCAAGAACTCAGATTATTCAGTAGAAAAAGAATATTTTTATGCACCGAATGAAAAATTCTAATTTTTAGACTTGTATCTATTCAATTTTCTTAAAAAAATTAGATTAAATAATTCTATCATATTGCAATTAAGCTTCAAAAATGCGGACTCTATTAACAGGTCGCCCTTTACTTTGAGGTGAATTTTCTGGAAGAACAAAGCTTTTCACATAACTTTCCACCCAAGAACCTTTGTAGCTGACTATGTTTTGGTGGGTTGGCAGATTAGCAAAAAGGATAACTTCTTGCACAATCTTTGCGGCCTGAATTTGGTCTCTACTCTTGAAAGGAATTAGTTTAATGGCATAAAAACATCTGTCTGTTAAATTTTGCATGGCATATACACGACCAAAGCCACCTCTTTCGATCAGCCCATAATTTACAAAGTCTTTCAAACGATTGTCTTTGAAAACATCCAAGAGTCGACCATTCATTATTTCGTGATGATGAGTGTTGAGTTTAGTGCAGAAATTTTCTCTGCTTGTTGATTTGAAAGGTAAGGTTAGATTTCCGTTTCCAGCTCTTGCTTGAATGGGAAACAGTTCCATTTTTTTTATCAATTCCAAAGAGATGTGAGGTATAATTTGATCTATATAGGAACAATACACTTTTCCTGATTGTCGGACTGTATCCATTTGTGGAAAAATTACGAGCGCTTGTGATAATCCTAGATATCTGCATAATTTTTGGTAAACCAAAGGATGCTTTGATGGGTCTTTTTCAAATTTGGCTACTTTCTCATACAATAAAGAATAAAAAGCAAAAAGTGTTTCCTTGAATGAATCCGAATTAATCACCGAATTAGTTTGCTTTGTATTTTGATTTTTAACTTGAGTCAGTTTTTCCGATATATTTAGCTATATTATTTAATAATCGTTAACTTAAATCTATCAACATTTTTTATTTAAAGACACGTCGAAACCAAAACATCGGTAATAATATGAATCGATGATTCAGCCAACAGTTTTAGCTGATTTTGCAGAATTCCAGATAAGATCAAAGAGGATAACTCTCTGCATTTACTCTTTGGATAAGATGGTTAGTTGATACAGCAAACGATCCAAACACAAGATGATCTTTACTTAAATACATTTTTACTTGTTTAAAATATTGGAATGTAATGTTCGCGTTTAATTGTATGTATGCGTTGGGCGATACATTCAGCAATCCAAATAATATTCCGGCATTCTTGTTCTTTCAATTTAAGATAAGAATAGAAGACACCAAAATGAAATTGAAGCATAAATGCATTAACATTTAGTTTAACTTCATATTCAAAGAATTTATCTTCCAATGTTTTCTCATCGACATCTCCTTGTCCTGCCCCTGATTCAAATATTGAATGATAATCTGAATAAAAGTCAGCAACCGCATGGACCTGATCATAATCATCGCATCTACCCAAAGCTGCTAAACCATCAGGATTTAGTTTACCACATCGAGGGTACAATTTAGTTCGATCTTCTCTACTTAATTCAGTTCCAAATGAATTTATGGTTATGATAAAAGCTCGTCTATCTGCTTCAAATGCTATAATAATCAAATAAAACATAAAATTTAATACAATGAATTTAAATAAGAAAAGAGATTATTTTACCTAAAATTTCACACATAACTTCCCCAGTTGTACCTCCAATCTCATCTTGACAAAATTTGTAGAAGCTTTCAAGATATGCTTTGTATAGTGTATTTCGGATAATTTCAATATTCATTTCATCCATATCTTGTTCGGAGAGACAATCAACAAAAAATGGAGCCAATGGTGTATCAACAAGAATAGCATTGTACAAATCAGCAGGAGTAGTTGCCACATTAATTGCCTCCATTTGATCGAAGCGTCCAAGAGGATGACATTTATCAATTAATTCAGGTATTGGTCGTTGATGGAGTGTTCCAGTTATCAGAAGAATTATATTGTCAATCATGTAGGAATAAGTGATATAATCAAGGAATGTAGCCAAAGGTTCAACAGCTTGATTGCGAATATGGTGAAATTCAGTGACCATTTTTTCCCTCAATTTATCTTCAATCACTGAAACAGCCAAAGGTGATGGTTCATTGGCCAAAAAGCTGCCATAATCAGTGCTTTGTAAATGAATCTTAAGATCTAGTAACAGACAAAATATGATAAAAAATTATTAATGATAATATTTACAATGATAATTATTTACTTACCATCTAAAGAGTCACACTGAACCAAATTAATATAATCTGATTGTTTCAATATACCGCATTTAAATCCACGAAGCAAACCTTCCAAATAACCATTGTCCACATTAAATAGAGCAGATATAAACATTTTTGAATAATGTTTTATTATTGATATTAATTACTGCGATATTTTTCAGTCAAATTCAAAACAAGTTCAATTTAATCAACAGATATATTATTCTAGATTAAAAATGGTTTAATTCCCATTATTGTACTAAGGAGATTATGTTTGAAGGAAATGTAAAATATAAGGTTTTCAGTCTTTACACATGAATAGGACAAGACTCGACGGAGCAAGTTTATTCTGATTCACTTCTTATTCAGCTTTTAATCTATTGAATGAATGTCAAGCTTTGAAAATTGTATTTAAATTAATTTGATATTAAACGCAATAAGATTTTATAACAATAAATGTTTAATGTATTAACTATTTGTTTGGGTAATGAGGTACACTATCTACCTAAATATATTCATGATGTACAAATTGAATGATTTACAATCAAGCTTTTGAATTTAATCAAAAAAAAGAGAAGAGGATTACAAAGAAAAATTATATTCAATTCATTTTGAGATCGCTTATTTAAATACAGCTGTAAATATAAGAAAGTAATTTCAGATAAAGAGTTGATTTAAATATAATTTCAAAATTATACCAATAAATTAAAGTGGATTACGTTGATTACGAGCAACTATGAGCTTCGTTTGTTTCATCATTAGCCTTGTTTTAGAGGATGAAGTGGCAATAAATTTTTGACAAGCAATTGTGGATACTTGACTACAGTCACGAACATCAAGATGTACAATATTTGTGCATCTTTTAAGAGCGTCCAAACTTGCATCAGAAATATTTGAACACGAAGAAAGGTTCAAAGCTACAAGCTTGGACGCTTTTGACGCTCCTAGAAATCCAACTCCCATGTCTGTCACCTTTTGACAGTTACTTAAATCGATTCGAGTGAGTTGGGGCAAATGATTGCACAGCAATCGGATAGAAACGTCACTAATATCTGAGCCAGCGACTGAAATATCAGTTAAAAGGCGTAATCGAGTTTTGGTCTCCAGAAGACCTGGTCTTGAGTCACTTGGATATGAGAGAAGATCTTTTATAAGATTATCATTAAGCGAATCAACCCAAGAAAGATCGATTTTCCGTAAAAGTGGACAGTTACAGGAACAAAGAGCTGAAATTGATGCAGCTGATGATCCGGTTAAATTGAGGGTTTGCAGTTGCGGAAGACGCGCCATCAGCCAAGCTAATTGTCGTTTTGAAATATTAGTCCAAGAAAGGTTGAGATGTAAAGGTTGACGGCGAACAATTCCAATTAAAGCAAAATAAGTGATCTTTTTACGAGTTAAGTCAAGAAATTTCCAAAGAACGGGATCCATTGACCAAGTATTCCATTTTCGGCAAACATACATGCAATTCATGAGATCAGTTAAGGGTAAATACCTGAAAACTGGTAAGATAACTTCTCGAGCGATGTTCAGATCACCTTGGACTTTACGATTTAATTTTTTGACAAATTTTTTCTTTACTTTAGACCGTTCACTTTCATCTTCACTTGTATCATCCACATCAGTCCCTTCCTCGGTTTCATCATCATCCGATAAATCTTCCGGTAATGGTGCTGGTCTAACAACGTATTTTGGTTTGATTAAATTTTCACCATCACTTTTGGTTCCCACAACAATCTTGGGTGGATCATTTGGCCGGAAATCTTGTTCAATAATTGAGCTGGCATCATCCGAGGTTGCCATTGAATTTTCCTTCTCTTCAATTTCATTATCAGTATCGTCGTCAAACATATATTGATCAGCTTTTTTGTACTTTAAGTCTTCAGATTCTTTTGTGGATTCTTTCATGATAACATCTGTACTGTTGGTGGCTTTCAGTCCAGATGGTGGTGGAGTTGATGTCGATGCTGGAGAATCTACAGTTGATCGAGATAATATAGGACTTGGAGTATTGGAAGGTCCATTCGAGGCAGAAGAGCTCATGCCATTAGAGGGTGATCCGGTTTTGAAGGGTAGTTTTTTATTTAATGATGACATTCCATTGTAATTTGAAGAATATCTGACCATTTCGGAATTCTTTTTGAGTCCTTTAAGACTCTTGAAAAGACGATCTCGAGCACTTTGGTGATGCTTTTTATTGGCCCGTGAGCCTTTTGAGGTAGATGATGATTCAGATAATGACTTTGATGATGTTTTCTTTTCAGATTCTGAGGCTTTCTTTTCTTGACTCTGTTTTTTGATGGCTTCTTGTAAAAGTGGGAAACGAGCACACGATCGTACATGAGAGTCATTTGTTTTCTTTGAAGTATTGGTCAATGAAGGTGTAGATGATATAATTGATAATTTATCCTTTCCACTGATACTTCCATTATTTGAGGCACTATTACTGTTACTTGTAATTGTACTATCACTTTCCTCATCAGTCGTTTCCGAGTTTTTGACACTATTATTATTTTCTTCAAAGAGATGTCTCCGTTCCATTGCTTCATCAAAACGAGCCTGTGAATGACAATATCAAATAATTAATCAATGATCATCAACTCATCGTTTATAAACCAGTGTCGTTTGAACTTACCCTTTTACATGTAGCTTCAGGTAAAACGTCACCGGTATGAAAATCATAAACATCTTGGCTTGGTGGAGCTTGAGTTTTCAAGGTTGATGAATTTTGTTGAATAAATGGTTTCTCAATAGAGACGGAAAGATTGGCTGGTTTTGAACTTGTTCCTGTTATCGATGTTGATGTTGTTACTGTTGTCAGTTTATTAGAGGCGTTAAACTTTATAGCGTTGGTCATAAATTTGATGGAAGCAATACATTTAGGACATTCCCAACTATTGGGAAGCTCATCACTCATAACACCTTCAATATTGAGAGAAGGATTTTTTTCCTTCAAACAAGATGGATGGACAATTTCCCAGCATTTTGAACACTCGAGAAGACTTGATTGAGCCTCTGAATCGATTGAGGTTGGCATCATTTTTTCCCATCCATCACGTCCACAAATAATACAGCATGCAGTGTGAGGTAGCACAGGAGCTAAACATTGACGAGCAATACAAGATTGTTTCATCCGCCCTGGACCGCCAAATTTTTTCATATCTCGACAAAAATGGCAATCACCACAATCAGCTCTTAAACAAGCTTCACATTTCTTACAGCGAGTACGTCGTCTGCGAGCCGAGTCATTTAATGGATTGTTTTTACCTCCGGCCAGATCGACTTTAGACATATCACCACTTGAAAAATCTGATGAATCAATAGCTACAACATATGTGTCTGTATTAGGTTTTTGGACAATTAATTCCGAGGCTTGAGTATTCACGACATTAATCGATGTGCTAGAGATGGTTGCAGTGGGTAATGTTGAACTCGCGCTGTTATTAAAACCCATCAATAAATTATTATTAACATTATTGTTGTTTGATGGTACAAGAGATGGGGAATTGAATCGATTTTGGTTGCCAACTCCGGTAGCTGCAATTAATTGGGCAAATGATTGTGGAATTTGATCAAGTGGCTTAGTAAGTTGTGTTAAATTTATAGAGTACTGATTGGAAGAGAGAGGTCGAGTCGGAGGAGATTCAGGTCGGGTGGAAGTTTCTGATTGAGAAGTTGTTGAAGTTGATTTTGATAAGTGGAATGCTGATGTAAAAGATGTATTTTTAATCTGTCTTAATTGGGCTGTGATAGAAAGGTTCGATGAAGATGAAATAGAAGTTGATGTCGGTAAAGTTGATGAGGGTGTTGTGGTATGAGACGATGATAGCAATGAGGATGAAGATGTCGATGTAGACAGGGGTGAAGATGAATTTGAAATTAATGTCGATGAAAAAGGTGACGAAGATGAAATTGCGGGAAAAGATAGACTTGAATTTAGATGACTGCTTAAATTATCAATTGGATTTACATTCGATTTATTTCTACCATAGTTCCAAAATAACAAAGGATGACCAGTAACAGCCAATTTATGATTATCATTTCCATGGTCATCTACCAATAATTTGGCATCGTTTAAAAGAGCTTCGGGATTCTGAATGAGTTCTGGTACTGCACGTTTATTTCCGGTTAATCGACCAAGCCACATTATAATAGCTTTCAATCCATTCAACTCAAAAGATGTTAAATGAGCATGCTGACCATTTTTAGATTTAATCAAACTATTACTATATAATGATAAATTGTTGGTGTTAGCTGATGAGCCCTCACTTAGAGGATTACCATCGACATCAACCGTCAAATGTGATTTACCAGTTAAACAATAAACATATCTTTGAAGAACATACCAAAGCATTTCGTGGTAAAATGGATAACGAAATTTTGCAGGAACTTTAGTTATATCTTCAACTTGTGCTATCCGAAGTTGTTTTTCAATTGCAAAGCTGTGTAGAAAATTTCCACCAAAAACAAGCGAATCTTCGGTTGTATAAACAGCATGAATCCATCCAGTTGGTATGAAAAATGTATAACCATCATATAATCTGATACGAGCACATTGTTCAACAGTATCTCCAAAAAATATATCACTTTGTTTACCAGATAGGACCCATTGCTCGAAAAGTTGAATGTTTCTTTCACTGGGAGGAATGAGCCAAAAAACTTTTTGACCTTTCAGTATGTGATACCAAACTGAAGTACCTCCGAAATCAATGTGAAAATCTGTATAGCAGCCTTTGACACTCATGAGACAATATCTAAAAAAGATGAGATCGATTAGTAAAAGGAAACATTCAATATAATATAGCATCATAATTACTTTTGTACTTTAGGGTATTTCATATCACCAATTGAATTGGTGGAAACAGTTTGCTGAAGTTTAAGATGTCTTGGCCAAACCCAATCAACCCAGTCAACCTGACGGACAATTGTTGGAGATTCAACCATTGAATCAAGCTTTGTGTGACTGAACTCCAGGCTAATCACGTTGAGAAGTCTATCCCGAACCGGATTTTCATAATATTGACACCATTCTTTCATGGTCATTTCGAAATCCTTTTGAGTAGTTACATCCATTACATCCAGAATTCGACGACTGCCAACACATTGTCGCACATCAGACACCGTAAAATTTGTGTCAGGCATTTTCAGTCCCAGACCTTTTGTATTTTTTATAACAATTGGGCTATCAAATCCATGCTCTTGAATATACTTTAAATTAAGCTCTGAAATAATGAGGAAAATTAAAATATAAAATATGCTAAAGTTTACAATTTCATAAAATATGAATTAAAATATTTCACCACATACCTTCACCTTTCATCTCTTTGACAAATAACTTGTCAAATTTATCGGACACCAATTTTTCCTCCACATCAAACATTCGAGCTCCTTCGATCTCTTCATCCCCAAACTCTTCTGTATAGCGCCGCCTTTCACGGGCTCTCTGAAAATTCCAAACAAGATTTAAAATTAGATATGCAAAAATCAGTAAACAAATAAATTACTTACCAATTTTCGTACCATTCTCTCGGATTTACTCATTTTTTGGCCTTTAGATGATTTTAGTGCAAAGTATAAATAATATAATCACGCATAATGACCAAGGAGAGTTAAGATGTGCATTAAACTGTATAAGATCACATCTTAATCTGAAATAGAGAGAAATTAAAACAAAATTAATTACATTTATATATTGTTAATAAAAAAAGTTGTCGGTAAAAAAGTGAAACAAATAAAATGCTACAGAGAGTACGACACTAGCGACGCATATGCTACTAGCAACATTCCCTTGATAATTTTCATTTAATACTCTTCGAAATTAAACTTTCAATCATCTTGAATCAAATGAAATTAGATCATCTTTAGAATGGAGTGACTATTAAAACATGTGAAATTTCTTCGTTACGTCTATCTTTGATTGAATGAGTCTACTAACGATCACTTTCTCATCTCTTTGTTCCATTTCAATAGCATAACTTGGTTATCATCTGATGGAACACAAAAGCTCATTATATCATTATATTAAAAATATTTAAATCATCTTATTATTATTATGGCTTGATTATAAGAAAATTTGACCAGCTCATGATAAAAAAATAGAAATAGATACGTTTGGCTATTAAATTCATTAAGGATAAAGAAGTAAACAGAGCAAGAGGCTACAAAGGAAAATTTTTTAAAGGTTGGATTGAAAAAAACATTTACTTGGAACATGAACCTAATTTTTGTGTTTAGTATGAATGATTTCCAAGTTTTATGGACTGGAGAATCTAATTGAGAGTAAATTTATAAATTGGTCACCGGAAATTAGTACACTCAACAAGTAAAAGAACGACAACAAAGAGAGAATAAACAATTAATACCTGAGAATGTGAATAGCACATACATAGCATTCCAAGTATAATACTTACAACTCGGTAACTGTAAGGGATAAGAAACACTATATCACCTTGCATGGACGGATTACAAATATACAAATATAGCATCGACTAATACATGAATCTGACATTTCTACAATTTAATTAAATATTAAATCAATACGAGATTGAGAAAATCTAAGTAATTTTAGAGATTTCTTACCTGAAGTTTAAGGTGATAGGCTTTGCCAAACAGTAAATGTGAAGTTAGTATGACTTTGTGGATATTTAGTTTTATTAAATAATTGATTAGACACAATAGATGGCTGAATTGATTGACAGAAACGAAATTTAAACAAATTATTAATTTGAGTAGATCATAATCATTATTTAAAGACCTTATAAATTTACTAGATTGAGTGAATAAAGAAAGAAGTACTATTTCCCAGAAGAGCCTGTCTTATACAGGGGTGTTAACTTTCTCTGGATGAGAAAAGCAACCAGGAAGGCATTTAAGCTTCCCATTTTAAAGGCATCGCCGCCTTATACAGATAGAGAAATAAAGTATTGCGATGTATTATTAGAGAAGAAGAAGTAGATTAAATGATGAGGATTAATTAGAAGATGGTTATTCCGATGGTTCATTTGGATCTGTAATAAAATTAGAGTTATTAATTAAGTTAAGTTGATATGTTGTATATGATGTTATGTATGTTTTGAGTGTGTTGGGGATGAGGTTGGGTAAGTTTTTTATAATGTTGATGAGTGAGGCGAGAATTTTCTTTTGATTGTTCGTCGTTGATATGATGTTGAAGTTATCTGTCTCTAAGAGTCGATTTGTGTTTGAGCATTCTTCTAGAAGATGTTTTAGAGTTCCATTTCCTTTATCGCAGCATTTGATTTGATGTATGTTCATTAGTATGGTTTTGGTCATTTCGACAAAAAATCTTATTGACTTTCCTCCTATCGATGGTCTGTCTTCAATCGTGAGAAAGGGGTTAAAGATGATGATGGAAGGTTTTTCCTCTCGAATTTTAAAGCTGAGTAAGGTCTCCAATTTCTCTTGTATTTCTTTCGTGATGTCTGTCATTCTCTTTATGGCTTCGTGTTCCTCCGGATTCCTGCTCATCTCGCCATCACTCCATTCCAATTCCAAGGGTTCCCAGGTCCAACCAAGATTTTTAATTTTATTAAGAATGATTCTAATAATTTTGATCTGAAGTTTGCTGGTTATAGTGATTGGAATGTGTATGTGAGCTTTTTCAATGGTGTTGTTGTATATCGATTCAGTGATAATGAAAATTCCGGTGGTTAGTTTTTGTTGTAGTGATTTGCTGTTTTTAATGTCAAATGTTTTAATTTCATTGTTCATGATAATGTTCATTTTGCTGCCTCTGTGGTTGATGATTTTATGTGTGGCAGGATTTGAGATTTTCATTCTCTTTTCAAAGTCTGATTTGGGTATTGTCTCGTTGAAGATGAGTCTTTTTTGAATATTCAGTTCTCTTGTCAGTAGGTATTTTTCTTGTAGTTCGTGTTCAAAGATTCTTGACAGAATGAAGGTGATTTTGTTGAGTAGTGGATTCTGGAAGCCTTTGATGTATAGACTGGTCCAGGATCCTGTCCGTTTGTAGCCGAGTAGATTATTGATTTGTGTGTTCGCCCATTTTATTACTTGATACATTTTATTGAGTCCTTGGGTGCTGTACTCTTTTACTGTTTGGAAGACAATATTGTCGAAGGCTGATGCAGTGAAAGCGTTCATTATCATTTGTTGGTTTTTATGGTCAAGTCTTTGTATGATGTTAGTTGAGTATTTGATGGGTCTAATTGCTTTTTCAAAGAGTTTTTCAATTTTGATTTCATCAATTTTGGAGTTGAATGAGTATCCCAAGAAGTTTATTTCATGATCAATCTTTATATTTGGGAGATGTTGTTTAAGTTCGTTGGCTTGTTGTTTTGTGTGTGTATGAATCGAGGTTTTGGTTTGATTAATTTCTAAATTTATAGTATTGAATGCGTTTTCAACATCTTTGATGATGAAGTGAAAACTTTTTTTGATTCTGTCAATAGGATGAATGATGGCGAGATCGTCGGCATAAGCCACGAATCTGTATCTTTTCCATTTTAAGTTGTTGAGTGCTTTTTCCATTCCTATGATGTATAGCAATGGTCCAAGACTTGATCCTTGAGGTACTCCTCGATCATCTTTTTTGAAGTAGTTGCAATTGTCGAATCTGGTTTTCACCCATCTGTCTTCGCAGAATGATTTGATGAGTATGACTGTCTGTTCATCAAGGTGTTTTTCAACGGTTTTGTAGATGGCTGTTCGATCAATGTTGTCAAATGCTTTTGTAATGTCCATTTTGATGACAGCATCTTGTTTGGTTATTAGTTCATTAAGTGTTATTATGGCGTCCACTGAGCATTTGTTTTCCATGTAGGCAAATTGATTGTTTTTAATCATTTCCTCAATCCTATTTTGTACCCTCATGGTTAATATTTTGTCTATTATTTTCATTAGATGGGGTTGTAGCCTAATTTGTCTGATTGAGAAGCCGTCGGGTTTGATTAGGAAAGTGACTCCAGAGATTTTGGCTATTTTTGGTATGTATCCTGCTTTGAAGATGGTGTTTATTAGTTTGATGATATAATATTTGTTGTTATTAATGAGTTGATTCCAAGAGCGTTTGGTAAAATCATCGGCAAAGCCTGATGATGTCTTTGATTTCCATTTTTCAATGAGTTTTATTTCATTCATGGTAAGTCCGTTGTTTGTTATTTGGATTTCTCGGTCTTCTTTGGTCTTTATTTTGTGATATTTGTAGGTACTGAGTGTTTCTTCGATGCTTTGTTGTACTTTTTGGTTATTTTGTGATATTTCTTCAATGCTTTGTCTTTCACTTTTCTGTATTATATATTTGTTGATGATGTTCCATTTTTTCTTGGAGCATTTGCTTTCTTTGAGAATTTGACTGATGTTGAAAAGTTTTTGTTTGTGTTTGATAATAGCGTAGGCTTTAGCATTGTTTTCCTTTTCTCTTTTTCTTAGTTTTTGAAATCTTCTGGTTTGAGTTGGTTGTTTGATTCTTTTTCCTACTTTGTTTGGGTGTTTTATAATGTGTTTGACTGCTAGGTTTAGTTTGTTTGCGGTAATGTCGTGATCAAGGTTGTATTGTTTGGTTTTGTAGTTTTTGAATTTGATGATTTTATCTTGAGTGAAAGGTTTTTTGGTCCCTCTTATCTCTAAGTGGGCTGAGATCTTTCTGTGATCTGATAATGAGGTATCTTCAATATGTGCATCTTTCTTTATAACGTTTTCATTGATTAAAATAGCATCAATGTATGAGATGGCGTAAGGATTCCTTTGAATTCTTGTGTAGTTTTGTTCATTGGGTTCAAGTACTGATGTTAGTTTTACTTCAAGTGATGAGATCCATGTTTCAAGCTTCTTTCTGTAAGTAATACCTTGTCCATTTGTTATTTTTCTTGTTGGAGCCCAAAGATATGTTTCCATGTTGAAGTCACCGGCTAGGACTGTTGGTGTGTGTTTATGCTCATTTATGATGGCCTCTATCGTATTCAGGGTTCGTCTTGTTTCAATTACTTTCGTTGGAAAGATGTGTACATTGATAATTACCATGATAAGGTGTTTGATTCTTATTTTTGTTGTGATTATTTTGTTGTTGAATTTGCAAGTATTAATTATACTGAAATCTTTAGGTATAATTATCGCGTTGTCTTCATTGGTTATAATTTTGTTGGTTATTTCAGCTTGTATTAACGTATTGATGTTGATTTCTTGTAAACATAAGATGCTGTCTTTGAATGAACTTTCTAGGTATTCCTTGGTAAGGCTGGAGTTTCTGTAGCAGTTGTGTGATATGACTTTTATCTCTTGAATGGTATTAATTTTAAGTGCATAGTTGTGATCAGCTAAGTGATTTGTTTTGTTCTGTTAAAAAGAAATAAATGAGAGAGTGAGATTTGTGTGTTTTATTTTTATTTTATTAGTAAGTCAGATTGTTTGTGTCTGATTGTACATGTGAGGAGCAGAGTACAAATTTTGCAGGTAAATGTTTGTTACATGTTTGTCAGAGTAATGTGTGTGTCATGTTATGTGTTAGTTGTTTTGATTTGTTTTGGTTTTAGGTGTCATTATCATGCTGTAATTCATGTTAATGAATTGAAGCTCGTATTGTAGACGCCAGATGAATTCAGTGCAATTTGGGTCGTTGAAAGAGTGACCATTTTTCTTACAACCTGGGCATTTGTATTTATTTGTTTGTCCATATATTGGACAGGCATGAATGTGTTGACGACTGCAAAAGTTACATACTGGTTGTTGTCCACATGTGTTGGTAGTGTGACCGTAAGAAGCACATTGGTAACACGCCAGTACATTGAAATTGTCGTACACATCATATTTGCAGATACCTGAGAAGATTTTACCTCTTTTCTTAACAATTGCTTGGCGTACATTAGGAGAGACTTCAATTACTACATTAAACTTTTCACCTTTGGCTACGACTGATTTTTTGTTTACCATAAAGATAGAGCCCTTATTTTTTGGTATCCATTTGTTCTTGTTTAGGATTTTTTGTGACCATAGATCCCAGTCTATTTCACCATTATTGTCTATGTTTCTGTTGATAACCCCATTAATACGAACACAAGGATTCCTAAGTGTAGGTATTTCATGGACCCAATTACTCTGTTTGCTCTTGACATATTTAACAAATTTGTCTCTGCTTTTTATGTCTTCAAAGTGAATTGTTATTACCTTGTTTCCTTTGGTGATTTTTTCTATGTCACCATATTCAAGATCTTCATCTACTAGAGTGTTTTCAACTTCATTTTTGAATTCCTCAGCTGTTATGTTTTCTTTGGTTTTGTGTTTTAGATTAATTATTGGCTTGGAGTTGTTGTGCTGTATAGCATACCAGCCTGGTTGTAGACCTTCTTCGTCTTCATCTTCCATGTAGGTTTTGCTGATCACTTTTCGTCTTTTTGATGGAGCAACATTGTCTTCATCAACTATGGCGTTGAGTGTTTCAGTGTCAATCTCGATCATATCATCATCATTAATTGTAGCAAGGTTGTTGGTTGAGGCTGTTTCAGGATTGTCGGTGTCATTTTCACTCCCTGTATTCTTCTTTGATCTGGTGTTTCTTTTGCTGCCTGTTTTGTTGTTGTTTTCTCCACCATTGTTAGTTCTTTTATTGGTACTCTTGCTGAGTTTAGCAATTTCGGCAAAATGTATTGATACTTTCGTGGCTTTTTCAATCAATTCAGTTGGCTTTTTTAAGGTCAGATCAGTTTCCTCCTTATCTTTCTTGACCATGCTTGCCATGGCGAGGACGGTTTTGTTGATATCACCTATGGTGTATTTGTCTTTGAAGGCAATATATTTGGTCGGATCATTAATTGCTTCGTATGCCAGGTCGATAGTGGCGTTTTGATTTATATTCCATTCATCCAAAAGTTTGATGGTTTGTTTGTCATTGGTGTTATCAGTTGACTGTGTGGTGGATAAAAAAATATAGATAAGATATGATGTGTAAGCGGATTAGTTGGTTCATTTTTGTTTGTTTTTAAAATTGTATATTTTTTGAGTTTGTATTTATAGTAATTTGTATCATTCAAGTTTTGTATGTATGACTGGTGTAATTTACACCAAATTTGTTCAGTAATTGAGTTTAATTAAAACAATGGTGTGAGACTTACCATGTTGGATGCTTGTATGAAGCACGTGTTTGTGAGCAAAAAGTGGTTAAGGTGTAATTATGATGTTTTATTGATGTAAAGATGGAAATTTAGGTATCGTTGGATGCCTTGTCGGTAGTTAAACACAATAATCACAAAATTAAGATTGTAGGATAATTAAAATAGTTAAATTAGTTGGTTAATCACAGGAGGTAAAATTCAGGTGACTACTCCGGAAGAAGACAAAATGTTAGTGAGAATAGCATATTTTGCTGTATGAATAGCGTAGCTCATTGAAAGCAATTGAAAAAAACTTGTTATGGTTTTTGTGCGATGTTACTGTTTGATTTATGAACAATCGTCATCTTAATTTCAGTTCGTTTAATGATATTTCATATGTGAATTTACTTAAAAAAGTCTAGTTTAAGTTGACCAGTGAAAAATTTAAGTGAATAATATCATGTTTACCTCGAGCGACATAAATATGATGCTCTATCAAATTGTTACATCGACGGCAAAGCATCGATTTGGGTTGATTCTCAAACACTACCAACTCGGAATTATTATTGTAGCTGAAATTCTTGGTCGTCGATCAACCTCTATAGTTTGTCTTATAAATTGCGATGACATTTGAAAATTTCAATCCACTCACTTATTGCTACCGTTCTTCATCCAAGACCATTTTTAGAGGCTTTGAAAATGTTCAATTTCTTGCATGAAAACAATGTAAGTTACATTTATTATCTATTAGCACATTGCTGTTTAAACAAAAAATATTATCAATTATGTGAGATAATCTGAGTCATTCTTTTATTTCCAGTTTCTCCCTCTACCATGATCACTTGCTATTGTCAAGATCAGAATCACATTCATAATGGCTTTGGTTAAATTTTGGCTCTCAATTTATTTGTTTAACTCACGATAAAGATTACTAATCAAAGCTCCCCATTTCAATTCTCTGCTTCTTTTGAGTGCCTTTTTTGAAGCTTTGTTCCTATTAAATGAACATTATTCCATTATTCTGTTCATCTGCTGATTTTTATTTCTTGGTCGAATCTCTCGTCAAATTCGCTTATTTCATGGATAACATATCATCAACAAACACCTGTTAAATCACCTTAACTATAACCAAAGAAAAAGGTCAGATATTTTCTTATTTGTATTTTTAAATGTTTACAATTTTCTTTCTGATAAGTGGAGCTCTCCAGGTCATCCGAACCGATTTCACCATTTCTACATATAAAAATTGATTTTTGAATCTGCTCTTCTAGTGTTTCTCTTTAATTTGCTATCCTAAATATTTTGAGGGAATTAAATACTCACAATTCCAATTGATCTATGATAAAAATATTAACTTTTAGTCGGATGACCTGCGGTACTTCGCTTGTGATGTTATAATCGGTAGGTTTATGCAAGATCTAATCCTTTATTGATACCTTTTACATGTATTTACTATCACTGAATTATTTTCTCGATTAATAAGCAATATTAGTTATTTTTAGTCATATTGCTTTGTCATTTGCAGTAGTATAAAGCTGAATACAACTCCTACTTCCTAAATCAAAAATTTGTCATTAGATTAATCGGATAATAAAGGATTTACTTGTAATTTTTCATAAAATTATTTTTCAAAAGTCTCAAAGTTCGGATCTGAAATCGTTTAAACTTTGTTGGACACATTTTAATGTATTTTGTCTCTTTCACTACAGGTTTCTATCGCAAAACTAAATCAACTGCTGCAAAATGTTCAAGCCAAATTATAATAAATTAAAGACTAACCTTAAACTGGTCATCCAGAGACTCAAAATGTTAGAGAAAAAGAAGACAGAAAATGCCTTGAAAGCTAGAAGGGAAATTGCTTCGTATATTGCTGCAAATAAAATTGATCGAGCCAAGATTCGTGTTGAGGCCATTATCAGAGAGGATTATCTGGTTGAGGCATTGGAAACTATTGAAATGTACTGTGATTTACTTTTAACCCGATTTGGTTTGATTGAACAAATGAACACCTTAGATGATGGAATTGCCGAAGCCGTTAGTTCAGTCATCTGGGCAGCCCCTAGGATTACAGACATTCAAGAGCTCTCAGTGATTGTTGAATTGTTTACTAAAAAATATGGGAAACAATATGTTATGGCAGTGAAGGAAGGTGGTATCAATACCGTTGGTACAAATTTAAAGAAAAAAATGAGCATAGAAGAATTGCCCAAAATCATGATTGAACGTTATTTGATTGGTAAGTTTGGCATTCCAATTTAAAAATTTTTGCTTTCTTTCCTCTTATTTACTTTTATTTTTATTTTTACAGAAATTGCTAGAGACCAGAATGTACAATACATTCCCGATATTGAAGTCATGTTACAGGATGATCTTTATTTAGCTGAAGAAGCCATCGCCAATAAGAGGCCTGGTTTTCTAATCGATTTAGGGCCTAGTCTTGGTCCGCCACCTCTTCCATTACTTAATCCCAGTGATCCTTATGCTGGACCCCCTCTAGGTAATGAAAATAAATTTAAAGAAATGTACCAAATCTAATTTATCTAATCATTTTTAGGATTTCAATATGGACCGCCTTACCCACCAGGACCATCAGGGCCGCCAGGTTCAGGAGGTCCAACACATCCGTCAGGACCACCAGGACCACCAGGACCATCAGAATCATTCAGATCATTAGGACCATCACCAAATTCAAGCATTCAAACAATGCCTACATCACACTATCCGAATCAAGGTTCTGAGAAAGGCCCTGTTGATAAAGATAAAGATATTTCTCAATTCGTTTCTCCTTCTAACTTTGGATGTTCACCTAAAGCTCCTCCTGATTCATCTGATTTTGATCTGTCACTAATAATTCCTAATTATGATCCACCCAATTACCACAGTATGTTTCCTGAGTCAAAACCCATTCATAAATCGGAAGACAAATTAACACCTCCTCCTCCAGCTCCTCGAAAGTCAAAGACGTCCAACAATGACGAACATGGTGACTTGCCTGACTTACCAAGTATTCCTAACTCTTTGCCAGATATCGAAGGAAGTGATAAAAATGATGATGATATTGATCTTGACGATTTGGCCGCACGATTTGAAGCTCTAAAGAAGAAAAAATAAACTAATGGATTTTTTTGGGACTAAATACGATCTATTTTTGATTTAAAATTATTAAATAAATCTATATTTACATGTTATTAGTTATGACCATCTTTAAAGAGTTTATTGAAAATTTGATTGCTGCCTAAATTTTTTATATTATCAAGCATACAATTTCAATCCAATGAATATTTTTATTTAATAAAAATTTAATCAAATCATTCAATGTTTCTCAATATCCTTTCCTTTTGTAACTTGACCAGACAGTGATATTAACAGCAAATGTTCATTCATTAGCAATCTTTTCAATTCACTTTCAATTGAGCAAACCGTCAACACTGACCTCACAACCTTTGATCTTATAAATTGAAACATTTAATTCTGTTTTTTAATCAATCAAGTAATCAGTCAGTTAAAAGAATAGAAAGAAGTGTAAAAAGTAAACAAATTGAACCCAAAAAACAATAAATTAAACAGACAAAATTGCCAATACATGACAGTTATACCAAAGTTAGGTTGTTCATTGAGTTACAACAATTGTCAAATATAACAAAAAAAGGTCCGAGAAAATGTTCAACAATTGACTGATTAAACTTTTGATAAATTGTATTGTTTGATGAATCATTGATTTTGAAATTCAAGAAAGTTTGAGGTTGACGGCGAACAATCCCAATCGAAGCGAAATAAGTGATCTTTTTGATAATTAAATCAAGAAAATTTCTATTGACATGCAATTCATAAAATCAGTTAAGGGTGGTTGTTACTGCGAAGACAAAATTTATTCAGAAATTGAAACAAATGGACGAAAACGGGTAAAAATTGATTTCTTTCTGATTTTCGATTAAACCGATCGTTTTCTGTTGCCGTAAACGTTAACGAGCTGAAACTTGTTATTTGTACATAAAACTGTTGGCTCACATCTTGGATTGAATACTCTCAGCAATTTATCAGCAGTTCACTTGATTTTGGTCATTGACCTAAAAACTTTTAGCCTCGACATTTTAAGAATGGCATCATCTACGATCATCATTCTTTCACCAAATTATCTCTGTACTTATTAATAATTCAATTCAATTTAGTAACTTTCCATTAGTGCATTTGGTTCATGATGTTCGGGTTGTAAATGCATGAGCAACAACTCATTCAACAAAATAAACTAATCTCAACCCATTTCTTGGTAAACAAACCAATTTTCTGGTTAAACTTACAAGTTTAATGCAAAAAGTACTGCTAAAGGCTCAAACATCTTAGCTAAGAGTTGAGACTTGGTGGGTCAGTAGGGACACAAGAACTGAATCCATTGATGCTATTAAATAATTCATCCAATGGACAGTTTTCTAGAAAATCGAGTCCAAAGTTTAAACTTCGACCGCTTTTTTCATCTTTAAGGAAGGAGATTTTTTCATTAAACTCATTTTAACGATGCAACTTTTGATGATCAACCAGAAAATGGTCTTATTTTGATGAATAACATTTTCTGTTTCTGATAAATAGATCAAGTTCAATCGCTAGTCAAACCGAACTCTTTCTGTGACCGTAAGAGTTAGAATGCCGAAACTTAACGTTATTATACGAGTGTAGATATTGTTGGTACAAATTATGGCTTGAATAATTTTTATGATTTAGCGACATTTCTCTTGATTTTGGACATTTACCTGAAACCTATCGATATCGATATTTCGAGAATGGTTGTACAGACAAGCATCATTGTTTGAACAATCACTAGATTTTATTATCAACTATGGTACACTGAAATATCAGATCAATCAAGATCCTACAAAAAAAGCTATAGCATTTTTACTTTGCTGTCAGATTTGGTTATTGATTTACAAAAGTAATTGTTTACTTCTGTTTTGTTAGAAGAATATTGATTATTGAATAAATTAGCTCGGATTTTCTTCGATATTTGATAGTAAATTGTTGTAACACATAACAAAATCTAATGATTCGCCGAAAAACGATGGTTGTAGAGGCTACCATTCTCGAAATATTAATGTTCAAAGTTTTTAGGCCAATGGCCAAAATCAAGAGAACGGTCAATTAATTGAAAAAAGTATTCGATTCTTGATGCATACCAACAATTTTCATGGCGGAATAATTCATTTAAGCTCTCTAACACGTATGGTAACAGAAAGAGTTCGGTTTAACTGAAAATCGAACTGATCTGTTTCAAAGTGACAAAAAACTTTGTTCCATATAATAAAGGACATTCTCTGTTTGCTCATCAAAAATTACATCAGTAAAATGAGTTTAATGAAAAATCCTGCTTCCATTATTGAACAAAAAGCTATCGAAATTTCAGCCCCGAACTCGATTTTCTCGAAAACTATTGATCATAGAAGTTTTTTAATAGCACAAATGGATTCTGTTTCTATTTACTGACAGACCTACAGAGTTTAAACTTGAAAGAAATTTGTTTTTCCTCGTTTTTGTCCATTTGTTTTTCAGTGCTTGTGTCAATTTGTGCATAAATGTAACAATTGTGTTGTTTTTGTATTTTTAATAAAGTAACAAAGTCGCCTAAATATTGCTGAAACATTGTAAATTAGAATCACGAAATCGGGTGAACCAGTTTCTTCAAGAATTGTACTTTCACTGAAACTGAAACAAACGATTTATATTAATGGTATGTCAATGCCTCAAGTTATGTTTGAAAGATACAAAAACAACACAATTGTTACATTTAAGCTAAAATTGACACAAGTACTGAAAAAAATGGCCAAAACCGAGCAAAAACAAATTTCTTGCAAGTTTAAACTCTGTAGGTTTGTAAGGATATAAACAACTGAATCCATTTGTGCTATCAAAAAGTATCTTCGATGAATAGTTCTCTAGAAAATCGAGTTCAAAGTTAAAACTTTGATCGCTTTTTGTCCGACTATGGAAGTAGATTTTTTCATGAAACTTATTATTTGTCCATAAAAACTGGGGGTTAACATCATGGATTAAATACTTTTTTCAATTCGAAAATAGTTTTCGTTATTTTGGGCATTGGCCTTAAAACTTTGAGCTTCGATATTTCACGAATGGCATCACCTACGATCGTCATTCTTGCATCAATTTAATCCCTTACTTGTTAGTAATTGGATGCAATTTAATAACTTTTCATCAGCACATTTGGTTCATGATATTCGGGTTGTAAATGTACAAACAACAACTTATTTAACAAAACAAAATCATCTCAACCCATTTCTTGGTAAATGAACCAGTTTTCTGGTTAAACTTGCAAAGGAAATGCAAAAAGTACTGCAAAAGGCTCAAAAATTTGAGTAAATAGTTGAGACTTGGTGGGTTTGTAGGGACATAAAAATTGTGTCTATTCTTGCTATTAAATAATTTATCTGATGAACACTTTTCGAGAAAATAAAGGTCAAAGTTGGAACTTCGATCGCTTTTTGTACCTTTATTAAAGCTTATTTTTTCATGCCACTCATTTTCCTGACGTAACTTTTGATAATCAACTAGGAAATGAACTTATATTGAAAAATATAACTTTATGTTTCTTGTAAAACAGATCAGTTCGATTTTCAGTTAAACCGAACTATTTCTGTCACCTTAAGAATTAGAGAACTGAAACTTGTTTTGAGTGTGCAAATATTGTTGGTACAAATCATAACGTCAATAATTTTTGTGATTTAGCGACATTTCTCTTGATTTTGGGTATTTAACTAAAAACTTATCGAAACCGATATTTCTAGAATAGCTGTACGGACAAGCATCATTGTTAGAACAATCGCAAGATTTTATTATGAACTATGTTATACTGAAATATCAGATCAATCAAGATCCTACAAAAAAAGCTATAGCATTTATTACTTTGCTGTCAGATTTGGTTCTTGATTTACAAAGATAATAGTTTACTTATGCTGTGTTAGAAGAATATTGATAATTAAATAAATTAGCTCAGATCTTCTTCGGTATTCGATCATATATTGTTATAACCCATAACAAAATCTAATGATTAGCCAAAGAATGATGATTGTCTGTTCAACCATTCTCGAAATATCGATGTTCAAGGTTTTATGGCCAAAGGCCAAAATCAAGAGAACGGCTGGTAAATTGAAAAAAGTATTCAAGTCATGACCTGTGGCAACAATTGCCCTGAACAAATAATAAGTTTCAGCTCATTGACTCGCACGGTCACAGAAAGAGTTCGGTTTAACTGAAAATCGAACTGATCTGTTTTAAAGAAACACAGGACTTTATTTCATGTAATAAAAGGCACTTTCTTGTTGCTCATCAGAATTTATATCAGGAAAATGAGTTTAATACAAAAACCTGCTCCCATTATTGCACAAAACGCGATCGAAATTTTAGCCGCTAACTCGATTTTCTCGAGGCCTATTGATCGGAGAAACTTTTGAATAGCACAAATAGGTTCTGTTTTTATGTCTTTACAAACTTACAGAGTTTAAACTTTAAAGAAATGCATTTTTACCCGTTTTTGGCCATTTGTTTCCAGTACTTGTATCAATTTGTGCATAAATGCAACAATTGTGTTGCTTGTGTCTTTTAAGTAACAAGTTATGATGTATTTACCAAAGGAAATCGATGTGAGCAAACTTCTGTCCATCATGAGTCTCGAATAATCCAATGATCCGTCCAATTCCGGTGTTATCTTCATTTTCACTTCTTTTATTTCTAGCCAAGGTAACAAAGTCGCCTAAATAAAGCTGAAACATTGTAAATTAGAACCACTAAAGTTGAAAATTAAAAACTAAAGATTTACCTCGACCCCATTGATTTTGGTGGACTCATAATAAATCCTTTTTGAAAAAGGATCTTTATGCTTTGCTTTGCTGGCCCAAATGATTTTAGTTGCCATTAAATTGATCTTGGCTTTTCCGTAACCTCGACTTCCAAGTTGTTTGTAAATTGATTTTGATTTACTTGCATCTTGTGTTGTGTTCAATGCACCTTTAAACTGTTTCTCGAAAAATGTAGCCACAAGCTCGGTACAAGTAGCATAAGAGTCTCTGTTCATTCCTTTACGAGCACCACGACGAATGATGTTTCTCGATGGCCCGGCCTGTTGAGTCGATTTACCAGTAGATTTCGTTCTGTGAAAAGTTAAAGCAATTGTTAGATTTTATTCATTTTAGATCAACATAATTAACATTTAATTATCATTTTAACATTTGATAAAAAGTTGAAAGCCACAAAACTTTTGCGTTAGAAGGATCTTCATCAATAAATGAATTAGCTCAGATTTTTTTCGGTATACTGTTATAGCCCATAGTGAAATCTGATGTTTGGTGAAAGAATGATGATTGTAGGTGATGCAGTTCATCAAATATTGATGCTCAAAATTTTTAGGTTAATGTTCAAAATCAAGAGAACTGCCGCTAAATCATAAAAATTATTCAAGCCATGATCTGTACCAACAATATCTACACACGTATAATAAGTTTCAGCATTCTAACTCTTCTGATTCTACTAACTAATTCTAACGGTCACAGAAAGAGTTCGGTTTAACTAGCGATTGAACTTGATCTATTTATCAGAAACAGAAAATGTTATTCATCAAAATAAGACCATTTTCTGGTTGATCATCAAAAGTTGCAAAGTTAAAAGAAGTTCTATGAAAAAACCTGTTTCCAAAGCTGCACAAAACACGATCGAAGTTTAAACTTTGGACTCGATTTTCTAGAAAACTGTCCATCAGATGAATTATTTAATAGCATCAATGGATTCAGTTCTTGTGTCCCTACTGACCCACCAAGTCTCAACTCTTAGCTAAGATGTTTGAGCCTTTAGCAGTACTTTTTGCATTAAACTTGTAAGATTAACCAGAAAATTGGTTTGTTTACCAAGAAATGGGTTGAGATTAGTTTATTTTGTTGAATGAGTTGTTTCTCATGCCGAACATCATGAACCAAATGCACTAATGGAGAGTTATTAAATTGAATTAAATCATTAATTAGTAAAGAGATAATTTGGTGGAAGGATGATATTTGTAGATGATGCCATAATCGAAATATCGAGGCTAAAAGTTTTAAGGCCAATGGTCAAAATCAAGAGAAAAGCTGATAAATTGAAAAAAGGATTCAAGCCATGATGTGTACCATTAATTTTTATGGACAAATAATAAGTTTCAGCTCTTAAACTCTTACGGCCACAGAAGACGATCGGTTTAATCGAAAATCGAACTAATCGGTTTTATAGAAAAAGAAAAGCTCTATCTCTTAAAATAAGTACATTTTCTGGTTTATAATCAAAAGTTGCATCAGTATTATGAGTTTCATAGAAAAATTTGCTTCCATAATTGTACAAAAAGCGATCGAAGTTTCAACTTTGACCTCAATTTTCTCGAAAACTATTGATCATAGAAGTTTTTTACTAGCACAGATGGATTCAGTTTTTATGTCCCTGCAAATTAACATCGGCTAAATTTGAAAGAAATTAATTTTTACCCGTTTTTGCCAGTTCGTGAATAAATGTGATGATTGTGTTAATTTTTTCTTGCAGTAATAACAGTTAAGAGTAGATACCCAAAAACTGGTAAGATAACTTCTCGAGCGATGCTGAGATCACCTTAAATGTTTACATCATGTGCAAATTTATTAAAATAAGTAATTTATGCCAAAAAGTGAAAATTTTCAGTAAATCATGTTTACCTCTAGTGTCATAAATTTGATTCCCTGCGACGACAATTTGCATAAATTTGGCGTTAATTCTCAAACACTTGCCCTAGCTCTAGAAATATACATATAACTGAATTCTTGGTCGTCGATCTACCTCTATAATTTGTCTCATGATTTGCGATGACATTTGCAAATCTCAATTCACTCAAGTATTACCGTTTTCATCCAAGACCACTTTAGGGGCTTTGAAATGTTTTATTTTCTTGCATGAAAACAATGTAATCCTTGCAATTGCTGGCTCATGTTTTAATTCGTGATAATCATTATTTATATCTCCCTTTGAACAGGTAATTCTGATGAATTGTTTTGCTTTTTGATTGGGAAGAAGATTATGTTTTTCAATTCTCTCTCTGTAACAAGAGTTTTGTTACTCTACTAGGCAAGGCTAAACTCACTACATTTTGTGTATGTTTAACGGTTCAAAGTGATTGCTATTTATCCAGAGGAAAGTAACTGTAAACAAACGTTTTATTTTTGCTTTCTATTCACAATAGATTCAGGTTTTAATGAATCTTTATCTATTTATTTCTGTTCATACTGTTCAATCTGCATTTAATTGTATCAATTCAATTATTGTAATGTATTTACCAATGGGATTGGTTACTAAATGAATTTTGTGAAGCTTTTCCACTGGAAACAACCTAATCTTGCACTTTTGTCTATTTCTATTTCTCTGTTTACCTTGTTTCTTAATTAATTTAGTTTAAATTGCGATTCAAAATGATGAATATTGATAGTCGTAGTGTTGAACGTTATTCCCACTGCTTGTGTCTTCATGTTCAACCAACCTCGCTCATTATTGGTTTCATTCATTTGGTAAGTTGACCCTTTTAATTCAAAACATTGTTTCAAGTTAGATCGTGCCTTTTCTTATCCATTATTTTCTTTCCATAACCTTCCAAGTTAATCTTTAATCCTATTTTGCTTTCAAATCCCTTTTTCATTTTATAGCTCACAATTGTCAGCTATTTATCAATTTTTGTAACAATAAATTCTTTGTTAGACTCCAAAAACATTCCATAATCAATCATGAAGTTAAAAAATTGATAAATGCCTGTATAATTTGAGTCAATTACGTGTGTGATTCTAGCCCATCAAAAAACTGCTCTTGGTTTTCAGTCGATTAAAATTAGACTCAACTCTTTTTTTAACAAATTGCTTGTTACTGAAAGTAACATGGCAGCCTGTGCAAATTATGCCTATGAATGGTAACTCTGTTCATTTTTGAAACGGTACAAAATTTTATATATTATATAACCGTAATCGACCAAAAAATTATCATTTTCCTCACCCTTTATCTAGACTTAATTATTGTGCAGACGGTTACAAAGATGGCATTTCATGTGTGACTACTAATATTAATTTCACTAAAGTGTCTCTATGCGTCATAAAATAATGGTTTTGTTAGAATAGAGATTTCTTTGCAATATTTACAAGCCTTTACAAGAAAATGTCTCTTTATTATTCTGATTGACGCAAGGCTCTTATTTATTATCAGATTTGTAATATCTATCAATATCTCTTGCATTTCTCTCGTTTTACCTTTTAAGTTGCTATGGCTTCAATTGTATACCTTTTCGTTCCTTTTGATACCCAACCGAATTAAGGCAACCTAAACCAGATAAAGGTGCAAATCAGTCAAATAGGGATTTTGGCTGGTTTCAATTTTTGGCGGCTAAAAATAAACACACTTATTGCTCAAATTTCTTGCCTTATCCCTTAAATTACAAAGCATGAATCTAAATGATTATAAAACTAATCTGATTTTGTTTTTCTCTTTAATGCAATGGCCGATTATGAATTAGATTTCATCTCTTTTGAACATCGTTCTTCACTTCGAGGATTACACGCAATACCACGATGAAGAGAAACGTATGGTTGATCTTCATCGATCAACAACAACCTCCTTAAACATGATGGTTAGCCTGATGATGGCCACTGTATCGGCCTTGTTAATCTATGGAGTAACCAAATCACGTCCATCTTACTTGATGCCCTTCTTTGGAATCAAATTATACATCTTTTTTTTCTCGCTTCCGGCATCTATTTCAATGCTCTGTTTTTCACCTCACCTTTCATCTCAATACGATTCCAATGGACGAACCTGGGGAGGGGAAATGAAGCGTCTCTGGTCTTCATCTGATCTCACCACTGCATACACTTCCTCCGTTTTCATGGCACTCATTGAATTCCTCTATCAATCCTATTTCATATGTGTTATTTGGAAATGTTATCGTTATTTAAAGCTTAAAGAATCGGTCATTCCCTTACACATACCTTACCATCTTAGAGGAGTTGAGGTAAGTTTCTGAGACCAGAAATAAACGCAAGACAATAGGAAACCAGATAAACGAGAAACCAAGGAAACAATGAATCCATAACCAGATTAGTTGAGATAATTAATGAGTGTAAATTGAAATAACTTTCATAACTGTTAAGACGTGTTTGAAGTAGCCTCAGATTTTGACAGGAGGAAGTTTATTTACCTTCTTCATCATGTGTTAAGACAGTCAGAAAACTAAATACAGAGTCCAAATTCATCATGACAAAAGCTAAATCAATTTTGTTAGAAAAAATAGTTAAAAAAACTCTAATAATGCTTTTACCTGGTCATCATGTCTGCTTTCCTATTTCTGGCTCCAACTAGTAATTTTGACAATTTATTAATCTTTTATTCTCTACTTTTCTTCCAACAGATAACAGTTCCCTCTGAGATTGCCACAACACCTAGTACTATGGCTCCACCCGACTATGAGACAGCAACAAAATTGAATCCACCGCCTGATTATGAATCAGCTTTAAAAAATTATCAAGGGATACCTGCTCCTGACCAGGTCACTGTAACTGAACCAGTCGAATCATGCAGGGAGAATCCAGACAGCAATGATAATATTAATGTCGCTGAACTACCTCGATCCGGATCATGGTGTGTAAGTGATGAATCCAAGGCCTCGGGAAAGAGCGATGAAAAGAGCACAACAAGCGATGCTAGTCATATTAACGATTCAAGTTCCCATAACAATAGTCACTGTGATACAGCCAACAAAACGGATCAAAATAACAGCTAAATTTGACGAGATGATCTTGGTCCTAACGAAAGTTAATTTAATCACGCTAATTACTTGTTCACAGGAATCGAGTCTTCTTCCCACCTAATTCATCATCGTCATTTTCATCATCCCATTCACTTGAATTCATCTTCCTTAGTTTTTCTACTTAGCTTTTTCCTCTTGATTAGAGGATAAATTACTGACAAGAGGAATCAACTAAACGAGAGTTTCCTTTAATCATTCAATGAAACTCGAAAGTTTCATCCTCTTGCGATTTTAAGAGCACATTTCAGCACACAATTGTTTTCTGCCGATTTATTCAAGTAGAGTTCAAACTTTTATCATCACTCCTCCATAAAAGGGAAGGATAAAGATGACAAACCTAAAATCTAGTTTATGCCGTTTCTACTTTAGTTAGAGACGATTTTATTCAAGCTATTATTCAGAAGAAACTGGAAAAAAATTGTTGATTATAATTATAACAGAATTATCTAAATCATTATCATGTACAGAAAAATGTATAAGTTTTATGCTAAATGAATTATTTGTGAAAGAAATTTCATCAACTTTTATTCTGAAAGGCAAAATTGTTTCTTTATTTAATTCAGATGAAAATTGAAAGCTAATTTACCTATTATTATAATTGTGTATATTTTTTTATTCATCACTATTCAAAGGTTTATCGTGTTTCAACATAAAAACTCAACAAACATTTTTAATTGTTCTAGTCTATCGATTCTAGTTTACCAATGACAATATCAATATTAACGATGCTTTTATGTATTATAAATAAAGATGATCACTGAATTAAAATTAAACCTCTTTTTTGGCTTATTTGATCTTTTAATAAATGTTACTCTTCGCTGACGGTAATCACGAAACCAAATTTAAAATTATCTTTATGGTGACACTCAAGAGCTTACGATTCCATTCAATGTTTCTCAATTATCAACAATTCATATCAAATCGTGAATATTTTAAGACTAAATTTTCGTGATTCATTGATTTATGGTAAATTAACTGTAAACCATTGAAATATGCCAACAATGAACCTTTTATAACTTGATATTAACAGCAAATGTTCATTCATTAGCAATCTTTTCAATTCACTTTCAAGCTTTTTCAATTAAGCAAACCGTCAACATTGACCTCACAACCTTTGATCTTATAAATTGAAACATTTAATTCTGTTTTTTTAATCAATCAAGTAATCAGTCAGTTAAAAGAATAGAAAGAAGTGTAAAAAGTAAACAAACTGAACCCAAAAAACAATAAATTAAACAGACAAAATTGCCAATACATGACAGTTATACCAAAGTTAGGTTGTTCATTGAGTTACAACAATTGTCAAATATACTAAAAAAAGGCCCGAGAAAATGTTCGACAATTGACTGATTAAACTTTTGATACGATAAATTATTGGTGAACTTAGACATCAGCAATTAAGTAAAAAGGTAGACAAGATTCTTGACAAACTTGAACTTGATTTGTTATGAAATGTGACTAGAAAAGAAGAAATTGTCGAAAGAAAATTGTCGATCTTACTAACTTATATAAAATGGTTTATCCTGATATCCCAATCATTCAGTGATCAACATTCGTCTTAACCATTAGGATTAAATTTATAAGCATTAAGTTAATATATAACTCTCCATCGATTCCATCCATAACCATAAGGAAAAGTGTTAATTTATTTTCATCATTTAAAATCCTTTACTTTCAACTAAACCTTCTTTTCATTTGTAACCATGAGATCATTATTATTCACCTTAACACTATTCAGTGTTATACTTTTAGTTGTTGCTCATCACCACCGTTGCCACCGTGAGAGGAAACACCAATGTTGTAAAAAGGAAGTTCATCATCATCATGAACATGAAGGTATGTAGATATTCTGGTCCAAATTTCACACAAAACAACCTTAAGTTTAATTGATTTACTCAAACCATATCAGTACATTTCGATGTCAGATGTTTCAATAATCCTTTGAAAACATAGAGTTAATCAGATGAGATAAATAGACACATTAATTGACTTCTTTGCTAAATCTCACACTCTCAAAACCTATCAGAGGCTAACAAAAAGTATCAAAAGCTGTAAGTTGTTAAGTCTCATGTGGAGAGCAGAATTGAATTTAACGGCTATTTTAAAATTGTGTTTTTTCAGCTAAAAATATAAATACAAATATAAATGTATTCAGAAATGTTAAGTGTAAAATTATCAAGAATTTAGTTTATTTATTTTGTGATTGAAATAAGTAAATTAATAATGTATTTTTCGTTTTCTCAGGTCACAAGGTTCATCACAAACATGCTCATGGACACGGACACAAGCACGGTCACCATCACCAGAATCATCATCACCATCATCATACAGGAGGTGGACATGGACACGGTCATCATCATGATGACCACGATGAACATGATGATCACCATGAACATAAATCTAGTAAATCTAATCAAAAACCAGAGCAACATGTGAGTAGCGGAAAGATAGGCAGCAAAGGACCCATTGCAAAGGACCCATTGCTATTGTACTTCAAGGCGATAATGCTGGAAAGTTATTGGAAAATGTTTTGAAAGCACAAAAAAGGCATCAACCTGCAAAGTCAGGATACGCTGAACTTGCTCGATCAGGAAAAATGAATTCTGGAGGAGGAATGCCTATGGGAATGGGCCTATGGGAATGGGAATGAACTCAATGGGAATGAACCCAATGGGCATGAATCCAATGGGAATGACCTCAATGGGTGCCTATCCACAATACCCAACGTATGGTGGATACAATCAAATGATGGGTGCACGAGCCATGTTTTAGTCTAGTTTTTCTGATTGGAACCCAACTCTGAACAAATCACCCAACGCTTTCAATTTACCAAGTAAATTGAAATTCATTTTGTAAATTTCATACTTCATCTATTTATTTATTTATTAATCTCACTTGCAAGCTCATTGGATGTAAAATACATCATTTAATTTAATACTGTTTGATATAGAAATTCAATAAATCCAAATTTCAACCATTTCTCTCTCAAAATTCAAATTATCTTTGACTTTATTCATTGCAAATACTAATAGATTGTTGAAATTGGTGCCAACAATCGTTTCATTCATCCTTTAACATTTCAATTTCATCCATGCTCTGACTGAGTTCGCTATTAATTGATGATAATGAGCAAACTAATTTAATGGTTAGGCGGACAAACATTCACAATCTATTATTATTGACAAAAAAAGTGATTCTGCTGCCCATCTAAAAATTCATTGTGTAATACTTTTAACCTGGTAATGATGATAATTTAGATTCATTGCACTATTTCACCATGTTTGATTCATTTAATTCCTCAATTTCACCATCTTCTTTATTCAGTTGGTTATTAACATGTAAAACGGAAAAACTATTTTCCCTTTTCAATGTGCTTTAACACAAAAAAAAGGTTGCCATTGTTAAGATTACACTTGACAGCACTTTTATCCACCTACATTTAACCTATTGAAACCTATTATAACCAGAAATTGTCTCTTTTTTGTATCTGATTCTTTCTCATCATTATTTTAAACTAATTCAATTAACTGACTGGCAAACACCTTTATCATTTCAATCGTAGTTAAAGGACAAAGTTAATAAAGTAAGGGTAAGTTGATTGTCCCTTCAAATTAAATTTTGTATCATTTTGTTTCTCTATCAAAAGCCTCTCACCACTTCAATGCCTGTTGACATGATTTTTCTTGGACCGGTAGTGTAAACCTGTCCAATTGTTGAAGTATCACCAACATCATAATAATAATCACTACTACCAACACAATAACTGAATTAACAAACCTATCTTTCCTCTAAATTGTTGAAAATCTCCCCTTCATTTCGATTTTAAATTAAAATCAATGTGCATTTATTGGTGTTCTTGTTCAACCCGCGCTTTTTTGATATTGTCAGCTGCTTTCCAATGTACTCTTGACTCACAAGTCTCAACACTTTCAGGCTTAACAATCACAATTCAGAGTAAATTTTATTATTAAATTAGTGTTTAATAGTGATATTAACAAGTTTAATCAACAAATTTCAACCTTTAATCGGAAATTTATCGATCTATTGGTGATCTTTAACGTTATTTTCCCTTAATCTTTCAATTGCCATTTTACGATATCCATTAGTCTCTAAAATTTCATCTTCCAAGTGAATTTATTTCATTAACAATTTTTCCCATTATCTTCAATTTAAAATACATTTATATTTAACTTTCGTGATTCAGTTTGGTCCATTTGATAGTTACCCTGTTTGCTATTATTATTGATATGACCTAAAACTTGACCAACAATTGACCATCATCATTTGCTTTCTACTTTTTTTTATAGTTATCTGCTGCATTTTCACTGTGGATTTGAATTGGAGCAGTAAAAATTTTATTTATATCAAAAAGATAAATAATGAAACAATCATTTGATGGACTACCAATCAAGGATGACCTAACATCAACCATATTTACCTGTTTCTTCAACCTCTCAGCATCTGATTAACCACCGTCCATACCAAAGTTGAAAAGTAACAGCAAATTAACAACAACATAACTCTTTTGGTGAGAAGACTAAACAATTGCCTGACCATCAATACATTCATTTTTTGTTTATATTATTTTGATTGCTATTATCATCATTATTCATTTCAATGCAGTATAATTATCATAGTGATGAAGATTATCATTAACGTTTTTTGATCGCTTCAATGGGAACCCGTAAATTATTATTGCTACCAAGCTTTCATCTTTACTTTGATGTTCAATTATTCTGGGTTCACCTTCACTCAAAACTTTCAACCTTTTCTCTCTATTGGTCATGAAAAACCTGTTCTTCTTTAAAGAACCGTATATTTGAAACTTTAACAAAAATCATCATTTTCATCCTCTTTTTAATTCCATCTTTTCCTCTCTCTTTTTTCACCAGCATCTCATTTCTCAACTCTTTCACTTGGCGATATTAAATCAATTCACTTTAAAGCCAATTTTGGTCTGAACACTTGGAACATCATTAAATATTCTCAACCATTTCCTTCTACACCAAGCATTACTTACCTGTTTCTCAAGCTCATCATCAAACTCTCATCCCTTCAACTCAAGTGATCTATTAATTTGAATCCCTCTTATTGAATATTATTATTTATAGATTTTAATATTTCTTTCTAATTCAAATTATCATTTCATTTGAGCCTCACCTTCACAAATTAATCGTTTTACTGCTCAAAATCAATCATCATCTTCTCAACTGTGTGCAACTTTTAATTTCCTTTGATCAGTTGGAATCAAATATCAGCCAGTTGATTAGCTTCATGGTGTGATTTTACTTCGGAATCATCGTTCACATCTTGCCAGTTATTACAAGAAACCACAACAAAGTTACAATAAAAAACAATCAAACAAGTGACAATTGGTAAAATGTTGGCAAAAAGGACGGATCCTTCAGACTGTTATCACCAATCAACTGTTATTTATTGTCCAGCCTATTGAATCGTGAACATTATCACATCTTTTTTTCCTACCTTTTCATCTGTTGCTTCTGTGAATCTCTTGCTCTTTTTTTCATTTGTGTTGTGATCTTTTCCTCTATTTTCATCTATTTTTCTCCGTTCCTTAATCAAGTTTTTTTGCCATCTATTGATGATTTTGAAGAATGTTAAAGATGAAAAAGAATCAAAAGAGTTAAGATCGTTTATCCTTCTCACTTAGGACCTGGCAATGACCTCCACTGATTAAAACGGCTTACATCATTTACTTGGCATCAACACAGCGAAACAATTCCTATCATTTCACACGTTGTAATCTGTGATCTTACTTTTTGCATCTCTAACTGTTCTTCCTCTTCCTACCATCAAAGATTGTTACAAATTGAATAAAGGACGTTTCTTATTTAGTGTTCAAACAAATGTAACAACAATTTTTTGGAATTTTTTCCCAAAATTCTCTAACCAAAGTGACCAAAGGACAGCCATGATAACCTTTCGTATTTCCCTTTGATGAGAAATAAACCAACGGATATTTCAATGTTTCTTCTATGATACTCAAGCTGAATTGCAAGTGATTGTTTCATCTCAAGCCATGATTAGATCAAAGAGACATCAAAACGTTAATCCAGGTAAATTTTATACTTTAATATGCTTTTCATGATCAAAACAATTTATCCAGGAATTTATATTTTCAGTGAAGAGGCTAACAATCAATGTGTATGTGATATTTGATTGAGCTTAGTCCATTTTAATGATATCCTAAACCATTAAACCAACCAAACCCGTTCATCATTTACTTGCTTATAAATGTATTGTAAATCTTGATCTTAAGTTTAACTGAATCCAAAAGTTATATCATGTTAAAGTTCATTATTTAAGCCAAGATAATATAATGAAAACCCTTATTTATCTTTGCTTAATATGTTTAACCCATGCTATTACAAAGTAAACATTGCTTTTGTTTGAGCTATAATTCATTATTTTATTCACTTCTTTTTCATTGTATTTCAACAATTTGATGCTTCTTTTTTTCAATTTTACTTCTATTAATCAAACCATTTCTTTTCTTGAACATCCTTTTTCCTTACCTTTCCTTTATCATCCCCAGTTCTTTACAGGTCATGTTTTCTTCGCCTTCCTTATGCATCCATTTTGGCAACCCTCATCGCCATTTGTGGACTGGTTATTGCAATGGTTTCATTGGGACAGTCAACCATGATAACCGATCGACTCTTAAATGAACTACTTCACCGAAAACATATCTGGTATTATATATCAAACTATTATTACCAACCTTCAACGCTCTATCAGTTTCATCATGACTTCAAGCTTGGAAACTATCATTTTTTGCTAACACCTAGACATCAGCGTCAGAAAAAGCATCCCATGTAAAAAATCACTATAATTTGCTAAACCAATTCATCCAAAACAAACCTCAGACTCTCCAATGTGTTACCTTGATTTAGCCAAAAAACTGTCACAGCTTTAACGCTAGACAAATTGTGATTGTGCTGCTTTGTAATTTACTTAAATTGTTAGCAATTGTCATCAGTTGCAATTTGATTTTAATAGGTTTCCATTTGAAAATAGACTTATTCTTAGATTTCAGTTTCACCTTAAAATCCAAGCTTGACTAGTTCTGAGAAAAAACTTGCCAACATGAAAAATTTTCTGGATTAAACACAATTCACTTTCTTTATTATATTTGAAATTGTACTTTCAATGAAATACTAATGTTTCCTTTCAATCTTTTTTAAGGTACCAAGAAGCTCAATGGATTTACTCATCGTTTTCAATTCTCGTCTCTATAACCATTCTAATCAACTTGTTGATTGGATGCATGACAACAGGCCGTAGAATCACTCGTTATGGATCAGTCAGTTCATGTGGTTTTTGCGGAAAATTGACCACAATTCTTCTCAAAATGATCTTTGGATTGAATTACTTACTCTTCTTGATCATCTTGATTCTTACCTTGATTGGATCCATAGCTTTATTCAACTGCTATGTTATGTCCCGTCTATGTAATGATGGACTGGCTTATTCATCAGACTCATCTTTACCTTCATCATCGTCTTCACCATTAACAACAAATGGCCTTCCTGAGGAAACAGTTGACCTCAACCAATCATTGAATCTCAAAATTTTTGGCTCATTATTGTCGGTTCGATCCAATGAAACTTCACTTCTACTTTTCAAAGGACATCGATTGAAAAAACTTTGCATCGATTACATTTCAAGTCTTTACCTTTATTTAATACTTACCTTTACTGGATTCCTGCTATTGACTTGGGGATTCATTAATTTCCTGATCAACTTAAGTGTAAATATGGCTCGAATAGCAACTCGGCGTAAATGTGCCGAGTTAATCTACATAAACAGTCCAGAGATGGCAAATTTTGTCAAAAATATCAACAAAGGAAGATTTTGATTTATTTTTCCAATTACAATGTAAAACGTTGATTGTAATTTACAATTTGATTTATTGTCATCTCACTGTTTGTTACCTTTTTATATTGATGCGATAGTTTCATATTTTTATATTAAAGCAAGGATAACAAAACATTACAGCTGATTCCGAACCATTTCATATGATACATTAAAATGGTGATCATAAAAAATTAACGGTCAATTATCATTGAATCATGTCAAGTTTTATTGCATTTTTATTTCAATTTAATTGAATTTTTCAGGTTTACGATAACAAGTTATAAACTTAAACAATTACAAATAATTATTTGAAGATGGATATAATTAAGATGTGATAAAATGGAGTTGTGACAACAAAACATAATGAAAGTCAATTTACAATTTAGATGGACATTGTTAACCCCGATTGAAACCAAGGATAAAATCAAGAATTATTTCAACCAAAGCATGGAAAATGGCATCTCCTAAACGACCCAGGAACCCGTCAAAGGTGTTAATAAAGGCTCTTGATGGATCAACTCTTAATTCATTGAAAAACGATCTTATTTTACCGAAAAAACCTTCCCTTCGATGGCCATCAACAACGACTCCATTACCTAAGGTTGGGATCCAGTAAAGATCTGGAGATAATGATGAACCGACTGGTAATTGTGCACTAATTGGTGAAGGATGTAAAGCTAATGGTGATTGAGATTGGTGGTTAAATTGAGGGCGCAATTGGTGACCAGGAAAGGAAGCCATTTTCAAGTAGCCATGAGATGGTACATCTGATGTGTTGGCCAATGGCTTTTTCAATGTAACCAATTTACTGGATACACCATTGATGACCATCCAAAAGGTTAAGAAATGAATTAGAGATTTCATTTTCAACGATTAACTGATTAACCAAGATGAAATTTCGCTTCTTTGGGTTCAATCAAATGTCCACTTGATGCACAGATTTTACAATTAAAGGTGTTTACAAGACAAAATATGAGCACATTTTCAACATTATAAAGTTGACTTTTGCTGGTTCAAACTCAATGTGATCTAACTTGTTCACTAATTTACAATCATCTGATGACAATCAAATGATGTAAATTCACTTTTAAAGTGAGATTTACACAAATTTTCAATCTTATTGTTGCCCTTTTCATTTCAAACCATTTTATCGTATTTCTTACGATTCGTTTCTTTTAATCATTTCCATTAAATTGATTCTCTTTTCTATGGGGCTCTTTTAATATCTATTGTCCTTACCAGGCAACTATTTTGTTAACATGTTTCACTTAAGTGAATTAGGCTTTGATTGTTGATTTCAAATTTGGGTGAAAATCAGTGAGAAGAAAAGTCGAACCAGCAAAAGTGGAAAAAATGCTTTAATAATACTTTCATCTGTAGACACACTAATCATTAGTAGGTCATAAACACGGCCAACATTTGTTAAATGGTTAACATTAACATTGATTAACTTTTTGTGTTCATCTTATTGTTGATGTTATCAAGGGTGTTTGTGTGTGTTTTTTCATAAGTTACATCAATCAAGTCAATAATGTAAGGTGTTGAAGATGGTATAATAGGTGCAACTAGCCATGAACAAATGTATAATTCATAAATGTTTTGATTAGTTTAAACGTCAAATTTAACATTTAATAGTAACTAATATAATCACCATCATGATCATCTATTTATTATTAGAAAGTGTTAACCAATTTGGATATAATTAAAAAATTATTAACCTTTCGTTTTCTCAGGTTTTTTATGCTTTTCACTGAAAAACTCATTGAACTTTCATTCCCTCTCAACTGTCCTTTAGCAATGTTACTAATACAACTGTAATGATTAGCGATTCGACTAGTGTTGGATGATCTCGATCTTAATCATGATCAATTAAACCCAAAATTATTTTGAAAATCGATATAAACTTCATAGAGTGAACAATAAAGCATGAAGTTTTTCAGTGAAAATCAATTCAAGATTGCTTTACATTAAAGTGTCTAATAGTCAAATTATGAAGTCGAAGGCAATTCAATTGGCTAATTATCGCTGGGCTGATCATCGAACGAGTACTCTACGATTATCGATAACACTTCTCTCATCGATTTGATTGATCGATTTATTTATTTGTATCAACATTAATTAAAGGTTCGACGTTAATGCATGTCTTTGTTTACCCAGCTTACTTTCAATTAATTTTTAGTTTCCTTTAATCAATTAGATTTGTTCAACATATTTTATTTTTTAATTTACTGTAAATAATTTAAAATGAAATCAGAATCAATTAAAGTGAAATATAAGCCAATCTATGAACCCATTTGTGTTACTGAATGGTCTTCTAACGGTCTACCTGATTGGGGTAGCAAAATTGATACAACTCTCAAAACAGAGGGGAAAGAGTTACTATTAGAGTGTAAAGATCCTCTAAGTGATGTTCAATATTCTGGGAAACAATTTATTCCAAATTATCGGAAATACATGATTCTTGAAATTGAAGGTAAGTGTTTTTTATAACCTTAATAGTCATAACTTTATAAAAAGCAATCTTAAGTTATTATGTTTTCTGGCATTTTTATTTATAATCTTTATCCTTTTCTCAACAGAAGGCAAGGCTCATCTCAAGCCATGTGCTTATTTTCGCATGAAACCACAGATAAATATGCCTAATCGTAAATCGGGTAACTTGTCATCTCTATCTATAAAAGAGCAAATGGATGAATACAATGAAAAATTTGGATCAAAGAGGACCATCAAACGGTTAGCGGAAAAGAAAAAATTTGCAATTGCTTTTGGAGAGGAAGATTACGAGGAAATGAAAGACAAGACAGCTTTGATAGCCAGCAAATCGTCTGCACCAACAACTGAAGTCACTAAAACCAAAGCTGATTCAACAGACATTCTTAATGACGCCTTTTTAATGCCTGCTCGTAACCAGAGTGCTACTTCAGCAAGAGAAGTCTACAATATTAACGACATTGTTTCGGAAAGCATGGTAACCTCTGTTGAATCATCTTATGACCTAGAAGATTTCTTGAAATGTATCAACTCTCCACTGGTTCAACATTTTGCTGGCAGCGCTAAAAGTAATCTGGAAAAAGTTTGCTGTATTTTCTTGGATACTTTGATCAAGCTTAAAAATTTTCGTTCTCACGACTTGAAAAGGGTTGAATCTCATGGGCTACTTGGTTTACAAAGCATGGTGCTTCAACAACACATCTTGGAAAATTATACAGTCTCGTTGCATGAAAATAAAAAACCCGTTCGAACCATGACAGAGAAATGTAAAGACAAGATTATTATCCATGGTTTAATTTTATCAATTTATCTTAACCATTTCAAGCCATTGCTCATTTCAGCATTATCTAAAGTCTTCCTCACATCAGCACTCAAGATGAGGAAATTGGGAAATATTGTTGGCTGTCATGTTGATGTAAACAAAACTAAGACTGACAGAGTTTTCATCTTTCGATTACCTTTGCATGTAATGGATGATAAGGTGTTCAAACGAAGACGAGCCAATTAATTTACTCAATTCCACCTCTAATTTCGGAGATAGAGGTTTCATCGATCTGTGAATAACCGATAAACCGTTTAATTTAAATTGTTATAAACACGGACCGAAAAGAAGATGAAATTATATTTTTGTTTTGGAAAATATTTAATAGTTGAACATTACGTTACATGATGTTTAACTTGTAAATTAGTGTATCAAGAAAAGTTAAAAATCCATGGAATGGAAGAGGGAAAAATTTTGCTAGATAAATGATGAGCTAAAATGATTTAGATGATTGGAAGGAAGAATCAAATTCTTTACCAGCCTCCCCATTCATCCCAATGATCACATCCACAATGGTCTTTGATGATTATGTTTTCACCTTTACCCTTCTTTCCACTGGACAAGATGGTTGAACCACATTTACCTTGAAGGACAATATTATCACCTCCTTTGTCACCAGCTTCAACATTTGATGAAACGATGAGGAGAACAATTAAAAGACCGCAAAAGAATTTGGTATTCATTTTGATTTTGGTTGGTGTTTGAGCGATTTAGCAAAAGATGAAACAAGTGTTGAACTGTTGAAAAGAAAAGAAACGAAAAAGGATTTCTGATTAGTATCGTTATAAATCGAAAGTTGGTTCAGTTTTGTTCAATAGACAACTTACCTGGAGAATGAACTGATTGGAAATGATGGTTTGACAGAGGCATCAGCAGCCTTTAAATACTAACTTTAAAATTTAACTAATTAAACCATGTCCAACCTTCTTGGCTGTGCTTTTCCCTTATCCCTTCTAATCTACCGGGCTAATCAACGGGTTTGATGATAATTTGATGGAAACAATTGATCACATTCATGTAACAGAACGCTTAATAAGCCACACGAAAATCGGAAATCAATATTAATAAGTGTCAACTAAATCACTTGATGACTAGAGTAGGTATATTGTTATTATAACCATACATCTAATTTGAGAGTAATTTGCTTTTCACGGAAAGCAAAAAGATTAAAGGTCATCTCTTTTGTTCATATTAAATTATCAACAATTTAATTAACTTACACTTTTTTTTCCTAAAACATTTACGAATGATTTGTTAGCTGTTCATGTTTAGGCATTTGAATACATCAGAAGACAATCCTGGTATATTGAGATTTGATTTTAAGAAGGAGATACACAAAAATGAAAGTAAAAACCAATTACTCGGAACAATTTGATTTTACTTTTTAGGAATTAGATTAAATGATGATTATAAAGCAATGAGAATAATGATGATCAGTGATCAAACAAGCGTAACATATTCTGTTATGATTATTGGAGTGATTATTTTTAAGTCAAAATCAGTCTCAACTCCTTAGTATAACAAAAGAACGTTATTTAATGTTTTAGTCACCCTTTTTGTATAATGTAGATGTATTTGTTCAACCAGTCTTAAATTTAAACCAATTTACCAATTAGAGTTGTTGATATTATTATTATCAATCGATCATCTTTTGTTATTTGTACATTAAGGGTTATTATTATAGTCATTTTGTTTTCCACATCCTGTAGTTTAATCGTCAATAATCAATATGCATTTATGTATAGGAATATTGGTGAAAATTTCACGTTATTTTTGTATCTATTGTTGATATCGTAATTAGCAAGTAAGATTTTCCTCATTAAAATGTTATTAAAAGTGCTTTAAATTGTAAATAATTAAATTCCTTTTAGTAATTCCTTAAATAAATCAATTTCCGTACTTTTAATTGAAAAATTGTTTTTCCCGGTTTATTAGGTTTTGTGGGGCTTAAGCTTAGTTTATTATTAGTTATTGCCATCTGGCGACTTTCAAATTAACTTCACTTAACAATAGAAGTGAAAGGCTGCAAATTTTTATGCTCCTGTGATTTGATTAATTTTTTGATTGAAATATTAACTTTTATCTATCTTTCATTTTATTTGTAGATTCAAAAGTGCTACCTGCAACCGTACGTAACTTCCGGGACGAGGAGGAAACCATCCAAGGAATAATGGCATCAATAAATCTAAACCTGCTGGTGAGTGTATATCCATTGTGAGATAATGCCCTTTGGGTTCTTGTTTTTCTCTTCTATTTTATATCTAAATTAGGAAAATAAGTGAGAATTAAATAAGAAATATTACATATAAGAAAATACTTAATAAGAAAATAATAAAATAAGATAACTAATTCAAAGAAATTATTTCTACCCTCAGAAAAACAAAATACTCTCAAAGAAAGAAAAATACAAGATCGTTCTTGACTTTGTGATCTCACAAGGAGAAATCAATGAAACAAATAGGATGGTGATACTTACAAGAACCAAAGACTTACCATTTATGGATATCCTTAGTGAAATGATTAAAGATACAAACTGGTTAAAACACCACAAGGATGCTATCACATCATGCAAGAATTTTCACTGTGAGCTAAAACAAGTAAAGGATGGCTCGATGATATCCTTTGAAGATGCACCTGAAAAGACTTTGGAAAACCTCTCAAACAATGCAATCAGAAAGAATACATGTCAAGGTATTTCAAAGATTAGCCCTCCCTCTACATGGTATCAAGTTGAGGATATTGAAATCTGGCCGGTCATCATAGCAAAATGTATCGACATCTCCAAGAATAAAATTGATGCTGATGTTCCAACTCAACTTCGAGATAAACTGGAGGTAATACTTGCGGACAATGTTACTAATATTGGAAATATTGTAGACATTGAATTAGGTTATGACTGCGTCAAGATAAGGTGTGATACAATCTCAAGTCGTACCAAGGTTCTGAACTTTTTGAAATCGCAACTACCGACCTGGCTACTAAAGATTCCTCCTTTAAGAAATCCTATGATCAAGATCAAAAATGTTAAACTTAATTGTGATAACACTAAAGAGGTAAAAAATTGGTTGGACAAGCTCATTATTAGAAATAATTGGAATAATGCGGATGATAGCATAAAGATAACTCACTGCTTCAAGAAAAAGCAGGGATATGCTGATGTCTTAATGGTAGTCAATCCAAATACTCGTGAGAAAATTGAACAGAAGATAGGAATGGTAAATCTGGGGTATGGAATGGCAAAGACAGTGGACTATTTCGAGATTAAGATTTGTAAAGGATGCTGTGCTTATGGTCATAATTTAAGTACATGTAGTCTTATGACAAGATGTGCTTACTGTGGAGAAACTCATCGTGGTAAATGTGCAGCCGAAGAGGATAGGACAAAACAGAAGTGCCCAAATTGCTTGGTGGAAGGATCGAATGCATGGGATTCTGATTGCAAAGTTTTTAGAACGAAGTTGAAACATGAACTGGAAAAGATAAATTACACTTATAAGTTAATTATGAAATAAGATATAATAAGTAATAAGACAACTGTCTAGAAATATCACTTAAGTGTGAATACTTCTCAATTGAACACAGATGTTGATCTGTTAAATTCTATTTCTTATCCTCCTATGTACTTAAAAGTGTCAAGTGCAACTCTTTTCTAATTCCTCAAATGAATTTAGCTCTTACTAATTTTTAACACCTCAATGTTAAGTTCCATACAGTAACACTGTTAATTACCATACTTTTACAACCCTCTAAGTAATCCTGTGTCAACTGACACTCACTCATTATACACAATAAGAGACAACTCAATTAAGCCCGAAATACTTCTCTCGAGATCATTTTTAACATGATCTCTTTTGACTAAAGTTGAACCTTCTGTAATAAGTTGAACTTCTGAATTTTCCAAAACATCAAGTTATTCTTCTGAATTAAAACTCATCATTTTCCTCACAGTAAACCTTCTTATATCACCAAAAATGTCAATCTCCATTACTCATCTAAACACTAGAAAATCATTTGTACGCTCTAAAGAACTGATTCTTGACACACTTAAGAACAACAACTCTATTACTTCAATTGTTGAAGCCAGCAGACTATCCCTGGTGAAATATGCTTACTCTTCTAATGTGTTAGTGAACGACCAAACAGCTCTAGTAGTATCAATGGATATGACTGTCTACTACTATGATATATCTCAACCCAACATCATCTTGGCTCTAATTGGTAAAAAACAAAGATCGATACTGGTGTGTGCAGCTTACTTAAACCCATCTCATCTCAAGGAACTTATACCGATGTACATCAAAAAGCTGGAAAACATAACTCATCTTCCCTTCATTACTCTAGCCGATGTAAATTGCCAACATACTCTCTGGTCCAGAAAAGGTAATGATAGTGGTATTGCAAGCAAGATTGCTAATTTTATAAATAAGAACAAGCTTAGAGTCTACAATGGACCTCCGACTGAAGAAAACTTTACATTTGAAAATAGTAGAGGCCATCAGTCATGGATAGATATATCCTTTGGAAATATATCTATTAATGAGTTTGAAATATCTGATATAGTAATTGATCATAAAGCTATCAGAATAAAATTTGATCTAAATGATATAATAAAAACAGAAAAGACAGGTCAGAAAAGTATTATTTTTAAAGGTATTAAAAGTTTTAAGTTTGATGAAACACTGAAAGGAGAGAGCAACCAAGATTTAGATCAGTTTTTCAGTAGAATGATGTCTTTTCAATCCAGAAAAGGAAAACCATGCATTAGAAAGAATTTCAATCAGAACTGTAAAGTGCGGAAAATAAGATCAAGGATCAAACAACTTAATAGATACAATAAGAGAAACTTCTCTCAAGAAATACTAGAAACTATTAAAGAGCTAAAAAGGAAAGAGTTTGAAGCTAGAAAAGATTCAAAGAGAAATATGATAAGCTTCATAGAGAATAACATCAAAAACCCAAAAATTGTTTGGCCACTAATTAACAAGTTAATTAGACCGGTAGACAATCTTACACCATTTCTTAAGCGTTCAATAGGAGATAGACAAGATCTTCAACTTTACAGTAGGAATAAACCTAGATTTACTCCAACTGCAGGTCAAATGGAGAATACTCTTCTGGAGTCGGAGGTAACATTGATAGACAGTATGAAATTTAACAAACAGTCAGGTTATGCTGATGACTTCAGTTTGAAAGGATGGAACCTTTTCTGGACGGAGAACAAGGAGGTAATAATGAATCTGATAAGGAAGACATTTGAACGGGGATACATCCCCCAGTCGATCAAGATATATGGAGCACATCCAATTCCAAAACCAAATGGTGGTGTAAGAATAGTGAAGATATCAAACTTTTTCCTTAAAATCTATGATATGATTCTGTCCAACAGAATCAGAAAAGTTCTCCATAAAGTTATAATAAAGAATACCCAATTCGCTTATCAGGATAACCTGAGTGTGACAGACATGCATGTGGTATTAAGTGAAAGATGGCATCCATCGAAACAACTTCTCTGTACTGATATATCGAAAGCTTTCGATGAAGTAGATGTGAACAGTGCGATAAATGAACTGGAAAAGCATATGGTGAAGTCTGATATTCTTCTCATTAAACAATTCGTACAAGGAAGAATACTGAGATCTAAATTTGGAAATGAATATTGGTACAAAGAGGACAGAGATGGTGTCCCTCAGGGATCACAAGTTGGTCCACTACTTTTTATTTGTGCTCTTAATAAAGTAATAAGAGCTCTTAAACTACTAAACATACACATATTGGCTTATGCTGATGATATGTATGCGGTAATTACTCTGGGACAGAAAATGATTGCGACAAAACACATTGAGATGGAGTTACGAAAGATAAATCTTCGACTTAATCTGGAGAAGACAAGCTTCTATGATAAATTCAGTACACCAATTAAAGTAGCTGGAGTTTACTTCAGTTTGAATCATCTTCCTTTGGACTTTGATACAATAATCGAAGAAAACGGTCTTTTACTTGCGCAAAGTAAAAACATCATTGCCAAACTTCCTTATAACACTCGAGGACACATCATAAATGTATTCCTCTCATCAATACTTCACTCCCTACCAGTGCAAATACTTTTCTCGAATAAGGAATACAAGTTAACTCTAATACACATTATTCAAAGAATAAATGTGTTTCTCAAGAAAATAACCTTATTTCCAAGGTTCTTATCAACTTGGGCTCCAACGGTAATCCTCAACATAAGAAATCCAATCATTACATGGGTGATGAATACTGCCTTATCTGTCATCAGAACATCGTTCAAACTCAATGGATGGCCTTTCCTGGAAATGATGAAACCTCTACCTCTCTTCTGTAAAACTCCACACACAGAGAACTTCTATGCCTTGAAAACAACCTATCCGATACATCCTCAAGCAGGATATAAGGTCAAAGGTAACATGATTCAAGTTATATGCGGCAAAGGATCAAGCTTCTACAAGATTGACAATACATGTGGTGACAGAGAGATACAACTCCTAGGAATTTATATCATGGTTCAACTGACGAAAAAAGAAAAGACGACATATGTCATTCCAAGGTATCTCACAGAGTTTAAAAACTCTCCAACAACGAAGTTCATTGCGGCTCTGATAAATCTCAATGAATCTGAACATCTATGGATGGACTGCGATAAAAACAACGACCGAATTAATCCCAAAGGAAAAGTGGTAACAGTGAAAAATAACATCGTGACTCTTACTTCCTTTAAACACAGAGCTAAGAGAATTCTAAATGAATTAATCAAAGAATTGTTTGAAGAAGAAAAGAAATCACTGGGTTACTTCTTTGATCTAAATGGTATCTACATTAGGAAGTATTGGATTGGAAACATGATGGCATCGATACTAATAAAGAGGATCCAGAACATAATAATAAATACAAGAAGAATCAACCTAGGCAAGGACAAAGATCTGAAACATTATCTCTATGAATGTGGAAAAACGGAAGAAATCCGTAAAGAGATAAATAACTGTTGGAAGTTGTCTTGGGATGAAGTATCAAATCGCAAGATTGCTACCGCAATTGGAAGACTGGACATCTTACTTGAAGAAAAATGGAAGAAAAAGAACACTAAAGAAAAAACAAAATAAATGAGAAAAGTAACTGAGAAAATGATATATAAATCACGAGAATTTAATGATAAGATATTATTGTACATGTTTTTGTATTTTTAAATTTCCTACCCAAACTGGGTCTCTATGTACTCAGATCACCATGATTTGTCTAAAGCAATGAGTGAACTGCAGAAAGATAAACTGTAGTGGGCATGTGTAAAGCATGACTCTTTTCTGTATTGAATTGAGAATAATAAAACAATAAGCCAGCCTGAAGTGAAATGGTCGCTTGACGCATTCACAGGTAACTCATTTTTTCAACAAGGTGATCTAAAATTTTCTTATTGTGATTAAAAATATATTATTTTGATTTGTCCCTAATTACACGAACATCCCTACAACATCAACAATCATTCACCATTCCCAGCCAACTTCAGCGAAACAGAGCCTATATCTAACACTGGAAAGCCTCTAATAGCTGGAATCTCAGTATGAGTAAGGATCACAGTAGCTCAAAAAGCTCCCGTAGTAAAAGTCCTCGCCGAAGACGTAGATCCAGAAGTAGAAGCTGGGATAGAAGCAGACACCATGGAAGACCTTGGAGATCTCCACCTCGTTGGTCGGATCGATGGAGTAATGGTCGACGTGACAGATATGGTGATAGGTCTCGTTCAAGAAGTCCAAGAAAATATAATGATGAATTACCTCCAGAAGAGAGGGATCAGCGTACTATTTTTGTTATGCAACTCGCTGCTCGAGTCCGGTCTCGTGATTTGGAAGAATTTTTTTCTGCGGTTGGTAAAGTCAGAGAAGTGAGATTGATAATGGATAATAAAACTAGACGACACAAGGGTATTGCCTACATTGAGTTTTATGATATCAGCTCTGTTCCCTTGGCTTTAGCCTTGAATGGGCACAAACTTTGTGATTATCCTATCATCATTCAGCCAACACAAGCTGAAAAAAATCGCGCCGCTGCCTCAGTACAAAGAGGAGTCTCTGGTCCTATGAGACTCTATGTAGGTTCACTCCACTTTAACATAACCGAAGACATGTTGAGAGGCATTTTCGAGCCTTTCGGCAGAATCGATAAAATAGAATTAATGAAAGATCCCGAAACTGGTCGTTCTAAAGGCTATGGTTTCATTACGTTTCATGACGCCGAAGACGGCAAAAAAGCACTTGAACAATTAAATGGCTTCGAGCTAGCTGGTAGACCAATGAAAGTAAATCATGTCACAGAGCGCACCGATGGACTCATTCAAGGTCCCTCCATCCTGGACAGTGATGAGCTCGATAGGACAGGAATCGATCTAGGGACAACTGGAAGACTTCAACTTATGGCTAAACTAGCTGAGGGTACTGGAATAGAACTGCCCAAAGCAGCTGTTTCTGTTCTTCAAATGGGTCAACTTGAAGTTCAACTTTCTCACGTTAATTGAGATTCAGTCATAAATATCATCCGATTGTGTCTCTAATCAACCACCAATGGTCAATGGCTTGTTTAACTCATCTTTAACTTATTGATCAATCTGATGGTTTGTTTAAGCAGTAACAACTCTGCATTGCTGTCAGTAGAGCTGAAGCTGTTAAAAAAAGCTCTCGATCAATTGATCAATTTAATCGATCAATTACTCAGTAATAATTATGATTGCTAATTACGATTGATAATTATGACTGCTTTTAAATCTTTCAAAGCAAAAGATAATAATTAAATAAAGATTACCATAAAAATTAAACCATAATTGGCATCTTATTAGATATGAAACCATTTAATGAATATTTTAGAAGGCTTTTTCTATCTGTTTTTATAAAACAAATGATTAGTTGAGGTAATCTGTAACAAACATGAATTAAATCAAAACGAAATACCATTAATTAACGACTCAATTGATTTTAACTGGCTTCCATCAATTGAATGCGACTATTAAAAAAGAGATCAAATAAAAGCCATAACAGTCGGTTTAATAACTAGAGGAATCAACATCATGCATCAAGTCAAACTTGACTCCCATCTTGAAGGAAGAAAATCAATCCCCCATCAGGATGAAATGAACATCATTTAAATTGGAAATGGTTTAATTGAATTCCCAACAATTGAATCCAGCCTTTCGATTTTCAAACAAGTGTATCAAACCTTTGAAAGCTCAGGCCTGAGACTTTACAATAAACAACAAGTGGCATATCAAGATTATGAAAATCTGACAGTTTGCTGATATAATAATGATCGTCAATGTGATGCAAAAAGATTCCCTGATTTGATAAGATTTATTAGGTTTACCAGAATACAAAAAAAGACAATTTAAATGTGATAAATAATTTTGTCTGATGCACTACAGATTTACCAGTGTTTTTTACAACTTTAACTATTCTTGAGCGAACTAAATCAACCCAATTGCTTGTGAATAAGGCTTAATTTTTAGCCCTTTATATTTTGCTTTCAATCCTTTGCTAGTCATGTAACCAACAATTGGACAGGAATCACATCCAACTATGAAAATTTTGGATAGTTAAACGTGCTTCTTGGAATTAGTTTTCATGATTCAATCATGAGGTTTATCTGAAACGCTTTTAAATTTAAAACGTTTTCTATTTCGTATTTACTTTCATTTGAACATGCACCGTGATATTCAGTGGTAATAATGGTTCAATTGATTTACTATTGATCATCAAAAAACTTCAATAACACGATTCAAGTGAAAAAATTGTCAATCATTGGATCCTTTAGACTTCTTTTTTGGGTATTTTGTTACAATTCATAGCACCACAATTGATTAGCTTTGTTTGATAATTTGATAGTCACAGCATTGTATCCAGTTAAACCTCACGTGCAAGTTTACCCTGACAGTCTGGTTAAATGATCATTGTTATCTGGTTAATCGAGCTTATTGTCAGAGCAAGCAAATAGTCAATAAAAAGTGCAACCTGATGGTAATGTTAATAATAATATCGACTATGATGATGAGAAGGAAAAAAGCAAATAATCAATGTTGATCTAATTGTCACGTTGATTTGAACGCGTGATTAGCATCAAACCTTATAGGCTGTTAAAGTTGATCAATCTTGATAACCTGATAAAAATCTGAATTTACCCTTCGATTTGAGGAATCAATCTTTGAAACAATTAAGTAATATTCATATTCAGTGACATTCACAATAAAAATCGGCTAATCTTTACCAATGTCAACAAGTTATTAATATGTAGAGTAAACAGTAAATCTTAATAATAACAATTGGGTCAAGTGTTGAGTTAATTCAAGTCAATCAACTCACTCTGGTTAATATGTTGACTAAGGCAACAATTACCAATTGCACGTTTAATGGTCACAGGCATTTTTAATTTGTTGTTGTTTGGAGGTAAAAGATTGCTGCCAATTGTAACTCAAGTACATTGATTAACAGTCGTAGGTTGAATCAAAAATTTAAGATGATATTTGAGAGCCCCAAAGCCTATCAAATACACTCTCATTTAAATCAATTTTAGTTGCTGAACAATCAGCAGCTTTTTTGATCATCATCATCATCCTTATCATCATTAAAATCAATCAATCAATAGCCTGGTCATGCTCACTATTTTGATCAACTGAAAAGATTCCCTGTCAATACATATTGGTTGATATACAGATTGATTTGTATCAGTTTATACCTTTTACCTTATTGTATTCATCATCTCTTTCTTTTCTCTCTTACTTTTTGTTCACCTTCACCATCACACTCATCATCACGTTCAGTGACAAAATCATCCTTATCATCATTATCACCATTGGTACTTCCATAATATCATCATCTTTTGACCCTTTCCAACACAAACAGCAAGAAACATTGCCATGACTAGTTTGCTTTATTTCAAACTTTAATCCAAACAACAATAACAATAGTAATTTTTATTAATTTAAGTGTTAAATAGCAACAATAAACTAGTAATAATCATCAACATAATTGTATCATATTGTAATAATAATACAAAAAATATATCAACAATTTCCTCTCAAAATTTAAACACTTCAATGTTTACAATCTTTGACTATTTATTTCTGTTTTTATACTCTACAAGCTGTGTTAAGTGAAATCTTGGTAACAATAATTTTAATTGCTGCGATTTTCTGGTTCTGGTAACCTAACTCTTACTTAATTATCCTTAAAACTCTTGATCTTAACTATTCTGATGATATCTAATTATTCTTTGGATGATAAAGATGGTTCAGATCATTCACAAAAAACTGCAACTCGGCATTCTGTTATTCAACGGAAAAGGTCTTTCTATGGTGACAACTCTAGGGATCAACAACGCCAATCGGGAACCAATCAAATGTCTAATGATCAAAAAGTTTGGTTGTCACAATTAAAAGTTAAACATCGAAGTCTTGCAAACAAATTGGAGAATCAAAAAAGACAGCTGACAACGATTCATAATCAACTAATTTACTTTGACCTATCCAAATCGGATTGGATTCAACAGATACCCTCATTAAAGGTAAGACAACCGCTAATTTCAAAATTAGACAAAATCAGAAATCAAGTTTTACCTTATATTTTGAACGATGAATCAATCCTGATTTACATTGAAATCTAAAAATTGCCGTTTCTTTTTGTCTGTTTAATCGGTAAAACTCAATTTCCGATACAAAAAATCGAAAGATAATCAACTAATTTGACTTAAGATGATGGAATCGACTAAAAAATTAGTGTTAAATCACAAATGTTTACTTGGAAAATATAAAATTATACAAAAATTTGAATAAAATCACTTTGTTTTTGCATAAATGGTCAAATGGTCCATTATGTAATTGGAAAATTGATAATTTTCTCATTTTTTTCAGATCTATTTTTCAATTTACATTGATTTACTGATTTCAATAACAATATATTGACCTATTGTTATCATGCGTTGATGAAAAGCTTAAATCACGTTGTTAATAACATTAAGCTGAAGTCACGTTATGTTTAATCGCAGACATTTGATGATTATTTTTCCTATTCAACGCAATCATATTGTATCATTTATATAGGTATGGCAGTTTATAATCAACTTGAATTAAGCAAATTAAAAAACATTGGATTAAAATAAAGCATAATTTTCAGCTGCATCACCTGTTGATTGAAAAAGTCGTCAGCCGTGAAAGTGTAGCTTGAAAGCCAAATGAATGTGCTTTTGGTGGCTTTATTTTTTGTTATTTTTAAACTTGCTTTCATTTTGACTAATCACATTTCTTTTTCTTCTATCAAAATATGATTCGTCAAATTAAGTTTATTTATTATTATTGATGTTTTATGTTTTGATTTTTGTTATATTTTTATCTTTTCATCTCTATTATTTTCCATAGGAATTGGCTTTCAATCAATGGGAAGAGCTGCTGGCTTTACGCCGCGACTGTGATGAAATTAAAAACCGTTTCTTCCATTCAGACAAAAATGTATCTTCATCGTCTTCATCATCATCATCGTCATTTTCCAGTAGCTCAAAGAGAGCCTCAACCACATCAGTCTTTTCGACGAGTGCTCGATCAAATCAAGAACAAAATGATCCAACCTCTATTGATGACCTATCGAGATGTCTATCTATGAATAGCTCCAATGCTTTTGGTAATTTATGGTCAACAGCCGGATCTGAAAAGAGTTCAATCAATGGTGATATTAATAATTATAATGGTGGACGGTGTTGCTCTGAATCTTCATCTGAACCACGGACGGTCAAACAAGAAGTAAATGAAAATATTGATAAAATACCGTCGCCATCACATGGATCCTCTTTGACTCCATTAAATAAATCACCAGCTGTTGTACCAATCACTGTAAGTACCAGCCACAACAATTCAAATACACTTGACTCTTCAGATTACTCCAACAATTTAACACCATTAAATAGACAAACCCCAATCACTTCAGACCGATCTGATTACTATACTAATGAACTCAAAACAATAATCGCAGCAACAAACCATGTAACAAATTTAACAGGACCATGGAAAACAAATGGAGTGAATGAATCTGATCCCGCTTTTTCTTCACCAACAAACTATAATCAAAATATTGAGCTAACCAATGGAGTTAACCATGGATCAAATGGAATGGCCAATGATTTAATGGTCAACAGTCCAATCCCCTCTGGACCAGAAATGTCTATAAATACGGACGAATCATCCTCTTTTTCAAATGGGTTATCCAACTATGTCCACCCAGCAAGCAAAGACCAGATTTCCCAGCAACCTTACCCTTCTCATAATCCTACTTTTCCTCCACCTCATCGTCGTTGGTCACCCTCAACTGATTCATCAATGGGTGCTATGCCTATCTCCCTTTTTTCAACAACCAAAGGCTACAATCGTCATCCAGTCCCTGGTACATCATCATCATCATCTTCCTCTTCTTCTTCCTCTTCTTGTTATTTTTTTCCCGCCAAGTCAAATGGGTACACTTTGAATGGCTGGTTAGGATCGGAATCGTCTGAATCACAAACATCGAGTGAAAATTGTTATGAAAATATTTCTGATGGATTTGACCATTGTTCAACCCCTATATCATCTAATGGTCATAGCTCGCTGGATCGTCGTCAAATGTCTGGATCAATCAATGGTAATGCATCTGAAGTGGAAAATAATGTTAATGGTCAAATTCACGGCGCCAATGACGGAACAAATGGTCTTACAAACGAATCCTTCTGTGAAGCTTTCTCTTCAACTGGATGCTCTCCATACCCTTTCTCGTATCTCTCAATGACCCCTAATTTTGGTTCATTAGGTTCAAATATAATACAAAAAGGTTCACCATACATCAACCATACTTCAAATCGATCAACATCTGATTGCTCAGCTAATTCTGAACTCTCTTTTCTTGGACGCGATATTATATCAAATTCACCTCATCATGGCTCTAATTAGCTAACATTCTGAAATCGCACTCGTTATTGACCGTTTCATGTTAGTTATTGATATTTGTATTGTTATACGTAACCTAATCTTTAATTTTGACAACTGTGAAAACCAATTCAAGTAATACACCTTTTTTCACCAGCTCAGTCTCTTGTAATGACATATTTTTGATCAAAATAAGTTGATCAATAATTTGCACAAAGATATTAAAATTTGTGCCCTCAACTGTTATTAAATTTGACTAGTCCATTGAAAAAAGTGAAAAACTCTAAGTCTATTAATATCTAAAAACATTGATCATGTGGTTCAATCAGAATCTATCGAGACAATATCAAGGCAGTAAAATTCCCAATACTCCTCTTGAATACTCGAGGTAACATTTTCAGTCAGCAAATTTACTAATTTAGTTTGACTTTTGAATTGGTCTCTCTCTCTAATTTACTTCCCTAATATGCTACTAAATCACTAATCCTCATGTTTAATCACAATTGAACTTGTCAAAAAAAATTGTATCCAAATGTTACTTGATTTGGCCAAATAATTTCTCCTAAGAATGTTCCTCAAAACCTGTGATTATTGAATACAATTTAAATCACCATTATATCTCAAGTTAACTCTTGTTAACCATCCAGAATACTTCAAACAATCAACTAAAATTGTTACAATTCTCTCAATTTACTGTAATTATTTGTTTTCCAATCCCCCTGCAAAATTAAATAAACTAAAATCGTCTTGAAGCAAACAAATAAAGAACAGATAAGTTCATCTGTAATAGCGTACGTTAATTTTAATCAATGAAATTTGAATTCACGATGGCTGCTATACCCAAACAAAAACCATTAAATCATCTACAATACTTGGAACGATCGTAATCTTGTATCTTTTGACAATTAAATCACAAGTAAACAATCTTATATCTAAACAGCTAAAAATACAATCAATTTTAAAATCTGATTCTTCCAGTTCCCTATCTTGATATCACAAACTCGATTCGGTTTGGTTTGTGAAAATTAACTCAACTCGTTGATTTGTCGGTAATTCAAGCGCTATTTTATTGCTAAATTGATACAAAACAATGTGTACAAAATGAGTTTACCCCTTGAAAAAACACTATTAGATATTAAAATGTTTATCCGAAAATTCTGTTGACAATATTCCGTAAAGTTGATCGTCTATTATTGTTTTGATGATTGGTTCCTTGGAATCTATTTGGAAGCCATGGTGCTTTGGCCACTGTGCCTTGTTTCATCAAATCAGGCAAAGGATCATTTGCGCTCAATGAGGTCAAACCGTGTCCATTTGGAAAGTTATTGAATTGGTCTTGTCTACGTTCACCATGAAACTCGTGTCCTCTAGAACCAGGCGATGAAATAGAGTTTCTTCCTGTAAGCGCGGAATCGTCATAATCATATCTTGGTAAAAGATCCAATAATCTGTTGATTGGTCTCATGGCAAAAGCATGTACAGGCAAAGCTGCTGTAACCCGTGAAGTTGCTGATGAAATCATGGGAATGAGTCGAGAAGGTGATAAAGAGGATAAAGGTGACAACGAGGTTGGTGCAGGAGTTGAGGCTGATCGATGAGACAATGCTGAGCGAATAGCAAAATCACCCAAAGGATCTTGTTTTTTAGAGTCTGAGGAGCTTCCTGATGAAAGCGATGATCGACCAATCAAGCTGGAACTTGGTGAGTTAAGAGCTAAATCACCGAGTGGATCAGCATTGGACGATGATGACAACGAAGTTAAATCATTTCCAGATGGAAGGCCAAAACGATCGGCCACGTTAGACTGTGAGATTGAAGCACAATTGATTAAACAAATTAAACTTAGGCCTATGAAACAAGATAATGAAGACATTCTGCTTTTCAATATTCAATAACAAAATATAAAGGTCAAATGTAAAGTGGACAAAACAGAGTGTTTGAATTTACAAAGCTAAATAAACTTAAACTGCTTAGGTTGTCCATTTTTAACAGAAACTCTCTCAGTGCTCACTGAAAATACCATCGACCCTAAGGCCAGTAGAGATTTAAAGTGAGATGATCCAGTCGATCCAGTATTATAATCAGTTTCTGTTCATTTCTCCTCTTTTCAGTTAACACCGGAAGAAAAACAAGGATTTTTCAATTGATGGGTCAAGCTTATTCAAGACTAAATCTAGTTTTCGCTCTTCATTTCCTACAATCTTTCCATTGAAAACAAGCAACAATCTGTTGATACTGTCATTTTTAAAATAGTGCCTTTCTGATTTACATGTTTTCTATTGGTATTTATCCACATTTTTTGAGATCACAACCAATATATCAACATCATTAGTCACAAACTTGTATTATTTTGCTTCATCCATTAATGGATTTGGATTTTAAGGTAAACCTTGAAACTGGTCCTTCCTATTAGTGTATTATTGATCACCTTGATTGTCAACGTGAATGAACCATTACCTCCGGGATTAAAGGTCAATCCTTGTTTTGTAAAATATACCAAAATGTCATCACACAGAAAAGCAATTTTCATTTCATTTACATCATCTTTGTTTGTACATTTCATTGAACGTTTATTGAAACAAGCTATCATATTATCAAAATTCAATATAACTATAATACAATGTAAGAAAATAAGAATAAAATTAGTTGTTCGCAATCAGCTAATTTTGTTATTGGAATCCAATTTGTCTGCAATGGCACTTTCAAGCTTCTTGGTTCATCAATCGTTACAAACCAATTCAATAGTTCAACAGCTGCCATTTGGGTGATTAAGGCCACAGATATTTTATGGTTGATAAAAATTGTATTCAAAGTTATATACATCCTGGTCAATGTTGTTTGGTGATGTTGATGGACACGAGGTTGATAGCTCTTGTAGATCTGTGTGTTCAATTGTGGTAGATTCAGAGTTAATCTGATATTGATAGCTTTCATGTTGTTGAATAGTTGACCAATTCTAGCAAAGAACATAATAAAAATCAAAAACAATTAGTTATGTTAATGAAATCACATTGAAATTGACTTACAGTAAATGTGAAGCAATTGGACTCTCCATTTGATGTAAAAGTTTTATCTTGGCCATCTTTAAGCAGCAAAGCCAAATAATTAATATATCTCAATGCCAATCGCAAGGTATCTAGTTTGGACAGTTTAGTATCATTTGGTACCCAAGGCAATGAGCTTTTTAATCTTGAAAAGGCCTGAATCGAGTAAAAAAAACAATGAGATTCAAATTCAAATATTGACTTCTGATTTCAATAAATTGTATAACATGATGAATGGACAAAACACATGATTTTCAGCTCATTTGTCTTTCAATAAACGTTTCATTAACTGCTTGAGCTTATCAAAATGTCTTCAAGTTGAGCAAAGGTTTCAAAAAACACATGTAAGTCCACGACAATTTATAAATTTAGGTAACTACAAAACATTTGATTGATGATTTGTTTGATGAGTTGTAAAGTTTGAAAAAACTGATTTACTAACCTTACTAAGGACTTTCATCCGAGCACGTTCCCTTGCATTGGCAGTTTTTCGTCCGTCAAATGATTTCTTGGAGCCAACTAATCGTCTTTTAACCATTAATTTGGAGTCTGTACTTGAATACGTTGATGACTGTGGAGATGATGATGATTGTGATGGTGATATTACTGATAAAAACGGGTCCAGTGATATTAAAGAGATATCAACATCATAGGTGGAATAGCAATAAGATGAATTGAGCTCAATCATGATGGGATCACTAGAGATATTCACTGTGATGAAAGAAACGAAAAACTAAACGTTAGAATCAAAGACTTGACTAAAAATAACCATTAATTGTCAATTGAATTGTTTTAAATATATTCTCACTTTTATTAGTCTCTCTGTCTCTCTGTCAGTCGTCTGTGCTGACATGAATGACTTTTATACTTGCCTTACCACAAAGCCTCGAAATCCTACTTTGGTATTATCGTCTTTGGTTTTTACCGCTTCCTTGAGGTTAACAATTTTAAGATAGATGATGAAGATTAAGAGCCAAGAGGATAAGATGAAAATGGTAAACAATTAAGGTAAACATTTTCCTGCATGCGATCAAATCGATTGTTTATTTACATTGATTCGCGTGTCCTTCCTTCAAGATGCGTAATAACAGACTTCTTTAAGCTTCAGAGCTCTGGATTGCATTTTCTCCTGTAAAGGGTCATCTTAGCTTGTGTTTACACTTTAACCCTTAAGATGGGCAATTACAGACCACCTTCAGTGGTCCATGCCAACTGGCTTGAAGTCAGATAATCTTCCAGAGAAGGTCATCTCAGCTTGTGTCGTCTTTTTTGCTGTAAATCAAGTTGTTTGTAAATCAACAGTCCAAAAACTAGAATCTAATGGATATCATTCCAATCAGTTCATCAATCTTGATTCCAACTGAAAAGAGGCTTCATCTGAAAAACAAAGAAAAATTGAAACGATAATTCAGGAAATAGTAACATTATTGAATTGTTTTCTTATTTTCCATTCAGTGTTCAATATTCGCATGCGTTACTAATATTCATAATAACACTCAAAAGCGTTGGTATTCAATTGTAAATCGGTTGTAAATCGATCAGAAATTGGGAAAAATCGATTTGATGAAGAAAATTTTCGGTAACAGTCTAGTTACACGGACACAAGGAAGAGCGTTAATTTAACACACGATTTAAACCGATCGCAGTAAAGGTACGTATGTGTTGGTTTAATAATTTTTACATAACAATGATACAATGATATTTTAACTAATATTCAATTGTTGAATTAGTGGACAAACAAATTGACCAGCAAGCCGCTCCAGAATTAGCTTTAATATCTATCTATTGAGCTATTCTCGATTTTTACATTTAATTGATTGATACTAAATTCAAACAGATTGACAGTCTTGATTGGTTACTGATTTAAAAGTCTTGTGTAACTAGACTTTTACCAAATTTTCTTGAAAGGAAACTTTAAAAAAGTTTTCATAGAAACTAAATGCAAATTTGTTTTTTCAATTCATATTAATATTTTGACGGATACATTTCTGTTGATTTGGTTCCAAAACAGCAAAATGAAAAATAGCAAAACTTAAACACGTTGGACTAGCATGAGAAATGCGATTTTCTTTATCACCAGCACGATTGAAATGCCTTTGGCTGAAATGGATTTTGCTTAACTTGACTTTGCTGTTTCGGTTTTGCTATTTTGGAACTTTACCATCTCTGTTAGCTCAGTTTTGGATCATTTAAGAGTAAAGCAAAGTTGCATAAGTTATTGAAAGATTTGAGGACTCAAAGCAATTTTGCGAACGTTTCCGGAAATTAGTTTTAAAATTATTTCACCTTCATCACTTTAACTTTTTACGATCTGTTTTGTTTTGAATTAAGAGATATAAGTGATGGAAAAGAGACGTTCGCAAAAAAGTTGCATTCTAGTATTTTTTGTGTATTTCGTAACGTTTGAACGTTGATTTCATCGATTTGAAATGATATGACTGAAATCAGTCCACTGTAATTTTCTGTTCTGAAGCATCGATCAAGCTTAAATTGCTTGATTGGCTACACTACCTCAAAGGTGCTCACTTAGATGCCTTCAAAACACGTGGAAAGTACATTGTACTCCTGGTATTTATCGGGTGTAGCGAAAGTTGGTGGAATAGGAAAAAGCTTTAACTTGATTTGTTGTTTATTGTTGTTGATTTTTCGCAATTTATGCCTCCAGTGAGATAAGACAGAACTTTCCTTTTACCACCTTTCGGTTGTCTCTTATTACTTTACTCTTTGCTAAATATCCATCTACTAGCCTTTGAAGTGGACATTGTCCCTTACTATCATCAAAATGCTATCCTAAATGATCTTACTATATCGATCTGTGCTTTATCTTATGCTTAATCTTACACAAAATGAAGATTGCAATTTAGCTTAGCCATTTTGAAAATCCACTTTTTGTCTTCTTTCTTGACGGGCAGCGCCTAAACGACTTGACCGAATATCTACAAATCTGGCCCGAAACACGAATATTTCAAAAGTGCCTGATTTAAGAATTGAAACTTGAATTAAGGCCATCAAAGTTCATTGCTGAAGATTTTCAAAGTTCATTTGAAGGTTCGTTCTAATCCCTCTCAAATAGGTTAATTATTTTATCATTATAGCCATAAAAATATGACTTTAAATACAAAAAAAATTTACAGACACACGCAAAAAACTGTACAATTTTGTATTAGCTACGCTGCACGATTTGCAAATTGAGTGTATCTCTGTCGTCTAAATGAACACTTCATGATAACTAGAAAGTAAGTCGAAGTAATAACATGCTCCCCGTAGGCCGCATGAGAAACGAAAAATTGAACTCATGAATATTTTTTATTTTTCCAGTCTTGAAACAAATGATACACCAACAGATAACGCTTTGAAAGGTTATCCAAAACAAAACGCCCCCACCTAAAAACAGTTTTTTCTAACATAACTCAGCAACCCTAAAAGATTTTCAATTTCCTGTAAGAACTAAAATTTTCTTGAATGTTGCTACTGAACGTAAAGCCTTTACAAAAATTTAAACTATATAACTAATATGAAACATTGAAAAATTGAGAAAAATTGAAATTGATAAAAATACGATAGCTTTAATACGGTTTGGGCTCAAAACCGAGAAGGACAAAACAGTGAAAGAAGAAATAGCGAAAGCAAAATAGAGAAAGTCGAATCCGCGAAAAATATCGATGCGCATATTGCTATATAAAAGCAAAGATTTCATTTTTCTTTTTTTAATCAGTTCGTAATTAGGAATGATTGCGGAAACAATTCTATTGGTATAGATTTGAATGAAAGAATGAAAAAATTGCAAACTAAATGAAATAGTTGAGTCAATTCAGTTCATGACAATCAAAGCATCTTGTTTAATTTTCAGAAAAACTTTAATGAATTTAAGCAAGGTATGGGCACTAAAGTTTGTCAGTAAAATAATATTTGAATTAAACACATATTTATGGGGAAATTAATCATTTATTTGAGATAATTACTGAAAAAGGACCTTGTTCGGCAGCTTGAGCAATTTTTTTCTTTTCATTTTGAAATAGTTTAACAAAATAATCGCTATCGAACTCAGATAGCTTCGATTTTATTCTTCGCTCTAATTGTGCGAAATTGTCAGCCTTCCAATTGTCAGAGTAAACTTTTTGTTTGAGATGGGCCCAGAACTTTTCAATGCACCTCAATTGTGGTACATTTGGCGGGTTCAAATCTTTTTTGACATAATTTATCTCGAATTTTTCGAGAACCTCTATTGTGTCTTTGGCGTAATGGCAAGAAGCGCCATCTGGCCAAAACAAATACCTATGGTTCCAGTAATTTTTTTGGATAAATGGTACCAATCTTTTCTCGATACACTCAGATCGATAAATTTCAGAGTTAACAGCACAATTTGCTGGCACAAAAAATGGCTCTGAGTGGCCTCGTTTTGAAATGGCAATCTAAACGCACAATCTCCTCTCGAACTTAGCCCTGGGTTTACATTTTACTTCAATGGGAATATTTTCCCTACAACTGGCCAAATAATGCTTATTACCTTTGCCAGATAATGAAAAATAGCTTTCATCATCCTCAATCAGGTCAATAATACCGTTAACGGGCACCAAATTTTCTTTCATATTTTTTAGTCGCGCCATCTGGCGGCATACCTGTTCGGGTGTCGATTTTGGGACATCAATCCGCTTGTAAGTTTTGATTCCAAATTGTTACAGTAGCTTTCGACAATACGGATGAGAAATGTTGAACTTAGAGGCCAATTCACGTTGAGAGCCACTCCAATTCGCAGCAACTTTTTTAAACTTTCTCAATTTTTGTCGTCCATTTTTACGGACTTTAGGCCACAATTAGAATAATTAGAAACACTTTCACCATTCCTAACTCTTGCACCAACTCTACACACTGATATACGACAACTGACGGTGACATCGAACCTTTCTCTGGTCAAGCAAGTTGGTGACATTTGCTATAGATAGCTCATGGCGGTAGTAATTTATCAAAACAAACTTTCTTATTTCAATAGAAAAGATCATTTTATGACAACTTACCTGAAACACCTGACAACTTATGACCAGCTCTGAAAACAAATTTTACTATATGGTCGGGGGTATAAATATATTACTTTACGGTATGGACTATTAATGCAATTGCACTACAGTGATGTGCCAGATAATGAGAATGCCAGATAATGAGAATAATTTTTTCAACGGTCCCTATTGAAGAAGAGTTAAATTTTATTTAGAATTTTTCAGTTATTAATTAACTTAATTTGATTTTCTTTCGGGAAATATCAATCAAAAAACTCAAGAGGGCAGATAGCAATGATAATTTTATGCGAAATCAATCTATTAAGCAAGATTCAAGTGCCCGACGAATAGTGGAAATAAGCTATTTCCACCTATTCTCATTATCTGGCACATCACTGTATATCTCACGTTTAACACTCTTAACATAGTTTCAGTGAACAAAACCCTTTTACAAGGGAACTAAACTAGATGTCTAGAGCCGAGGAATGAGGTGTCAATCGATAGAGGGCATCGAGTTATGAAAAACTGCCAAGGCTTTTCCGTGCAAACGAAGTGGTTCCTAAGATATTTGAGTATAAAATTCGGGGATTTTTGTTATAATCATATCTAAAATTGATAAAAATGGGTAAAAATCAAGAAATATTTATCAATATTTTTCATTTTAATTGATTCATTTAAAGATCATTTATTTCTTAATTTTTGCCAAAAAATAATTAAAGTGAATGCATTAAATGAGAAAATAAAATTCAATAAAAGGAGTGAGGCTACCAAAACCTACATTGTTACCCTCACACCTTTAACCACTGAGCTAAGCTCCAATTCACATTTTCACTAATTTTAGATACGATTATTACAAAATTATTATTATTGCCCGAATTTTATACTCAAATATCTTAGGAACCACTTCGTTTGCACGGAAGGCCTCTACAGTTTTTCATAACTCGATGCTTTCTATTGGTTGAAATCTCATTGATTGAAATCGGCTCTAGGCATCTCGTTAAGTTCCCATGTTAGAGTTGCATATGATTTCTGACAAGCGTTAATTCCGATAGATTCATCACCTTTTCTCAATATTTGACGTTAAGGCCACAGTAATTCAGTGGTTGGCACTAAGAATTTTATCTTTTCGTTTACACTAGAAATGCATTGCTGAATTGTCAAAAGATCTGCAAATATCAGAAAGTAAGTTTTATTTGTTCAATGACAGTAAATGATAATGTGATCAAACAAATTCTGTTATTTCCGTTTCCATACTTAAATAATCAACTTGCATATTTTATAAATATAAAGCGCATGAATGTATTAAAAATCAATTGGTCTTGATTATTGAAGTATGACTTTTTTAAATTGATTTAATCATTTGCAATAAAATATCTCAATGCGACGAAAGAGATTACAATGTGGAAAAGTTCAATTTACAAGTTCTTGTTTTTTAACTGCATTGCAACATCAGCGGTAGAAATTTGATCAATTACTACTATAATTACAAATATTTACGCACATTGTATGTCTCATGTCGTATACTAATCATTTATTTTCACAGAGTGTTGAAAAGCATAAATTGAAGGCAAAAGGGTGGGTTCATCGATGATAAAATTGGATAAAAGCAACTAATTTGAAACAATTCAATTCATTCAAACGGTTCGATATTGATACTAATTGCTCAGTTATAAATCTATAAGCAAAATGTTATGGTGCAACTTTATTTACATCCTCTTAGCAATCATTATAATATTTACTGAAAGTAATTATGGTTACAATTACTGTATTGATCCACGTACTTACACATGTGAAGATGGACATAAACCTACTTACCAAGAGGTTCGTTCATCTTTTACTAAAATTTTTACCGGTCGTGGTGTAGATATAGAACTTCAATCTGCTAGAATTTATTGTATATACGCCGAGCGATATTGTGATTCTTCAGTTTTCGATCGGAATTCACCAGTTTACTCATTTAATGGAACAACTGGAGTACGCCAGTGTGATTCAAAAGACCGGCTTCTCAAATTAGGACCAACCCCGCGTACCAGTTGTGCTAATGGAGAGGAAATTTACGTTTATAAACTGCGAGAACTTTGTTTTGAAGTGGCTGGATCATATGAAGACAAAGAATTGAGGTCAAAAGAATTCGATAGATGTGACTTTACGTCAAGAGGAAACAACTTAAAGCAGTTCATATCTAGAGGAGATGCATTTTGTGAATATGTCTTGCTTTATTGCAACAAATATAAACCTAACATTGAAGTAAAAAGTTAGCCTAAGTTGTTCTTCTGGAAACAGTTCACTAAAATAAATCTCTGTAACCAATATTTATGAAGTCTGATATGGTATAATGAAAATGATTAAAATAATTTCAAATTAACTTACAAGGGAAGTGACCTTGCTTGTACGATCATTTTCGATTTTTTTCCACTTTATTTTGTAGAGGACAAGACAATCATTATGCGATAATCATTGTCGTGTTTTTTAACCCTCTCCTTGTCCCTCTTTACAGCCTCCATTTTAGTGAGGATATTGCATTGAAATCTATTGGAGTCACTGAAAAGTGTTTCACAATTTTTATTAAGATTTTTTCATTTTTCTGTTTTTCATTGTTTTACTTGCTTCTCAGTGACTGCAATTCATTACTATTTTCAATTAAAAGTACCTAAATATCAAAAACCGCGCACCGGCGTAAAAAAAGCAAAAATACGTGTCTAATTATTTTTTGTCCTCTACAAAATAAAGTGGAAAAAAATCGAAAATAATCGTACAAGCAAGGTCACATCCCTTGTTAGTCATTAGTATTGATCTCACAACAAGAACTTATTGCTGTAGAGTAAGTACTTAACATTTTAAAATGAAGAGGGCGCTGGGTTTATTTTGTACATTATGTCCCCCTATTTGGGGGGAAAATAGTCTCCTCCCATTCCGGTCCATAGTCAACCTTTACTACTGAATTATATTTTCATCAGGATCAGGAAACGGTCCAGAGAAATAAATCTGATTGTTACAGCTGACATTGTTAATTTAATTCACTTTGCTTCTCATAACCGGATTCAAAATATTGTTAAAACCTGATTATGAATCGTTATTAATGATCAATGATACATACAAATAAAGGCATCACAAGACACGAATCTGACCCATCTCAATTATAATCATTAACTCATCATCAACTTGACATTATCAAATTCATCAATAATCATGTATCATGTATGATGTATTCAAATTAATGTTAAATTCATCTTGTGATTTTTTCAATTTGATAATTATCCTTAAACTTGTCGTCTTTCTGTTCATTTGATTGGTCAGGAAACTGTTCCAATCTATTTATACAATCAATTGTAGCCAGTTATTAAAATTGAAATTACATGTAGACAGAAAATGATTGAGTTAATTCAGTAGCGATCAAGAGAGAAAGTAAAAGGCAAATTTTGCTAGTTTGTATGAAAATCGGGAAAAAGGTCAATTGCAATGAACTTTCGAGTTCAATCGAGTGGATTTGGTGTCAGTTTTTGACAACATAAATCAGCCAAATCCACTCGATTTTGCTTATAAAAGAGTTCGAAAGTTTAATGGTTGAAAATTTTACATGAAATATAAACATTCCAATTGTACCTGAAAACCAGGAAGAAATGAAATTGAATGACTGGATTTGTTCAGTCACAACAAATATCCATTTAATTAATTCAATAATTTATGCATTCAGCATTCATTTGATTGGTAATTAAAGTGAATAGCTAAAAGGATATCAAATATTCAATCAAATATAATCGTTTTAATTCAAATCAAATAGATTCAAGTCAAAGATATTGAGCCAATTATGTAAAAATTTTGTATTAATTGGCAAAATGGTCGAAGGTCTTGGTCGAAGTCTTTATTAGACATGAAGTAGGAAGATTATGGCTCTAAATTCAGGTCAATCTGCACAATTAACCGAATAGTTTGAGTGACCTTTAAAGGTGTTAAACATGAGTTATGAGTGAAATATTTAAAATGAAAATTAAAAAACAAATTAGAAAGTAAAATGGATTTACAGCTTCTAAAGTAGTTTAAGTAGACTTATATCCAAGATAAGCGAGTCTGGGTTAGAAGAAGTTCAATGAATTGCAATGAGGATGATTAACTTTGTAAATGTTCAAGATTTGATGATGAAGGAGAAACGGATTAAAAGAGAGTTAATGATGTTAATAACGAAGAGAGACCATTGATTCTAAGCAATCCATCATTAGCCCAATTTGGATCAGCAATCTATATTGGAAAACAGAGAAAGCATAAAGAATGCGAATTGAAAATAAAGGGTAAAAAGAATGAAAAAATTCTTTGAATTTTGGCATTTCCTAACTGGTCCAGTAAATCATGTATAACAGTGATCCAATAACTAGTGACTTGTATTTGAGTGATGATAGATATGTATTCCGGGTTAGATAACATTGAAGATACCTTAAAGATAAAATCACTTATGAACACGAGTTTGATAAATATTGGGTAAAGTTGAGTGAAGCTTGTTTTTTTCCCTTGCGCTGGCTCTGCCAGTATTCAAAGTTAACTGTTAATATCAAGATTGGCTTGAAATAGTATCGCCTCCAGGAGATGCTGAAATTTTTATTGAGGACAAGGAATGAGATGAAGATGATACTGATAGGATATAATAAACAAGAATGATGATGATGGTGAAACAAATGAAACAACTGTAGGATGAAGAAATGATGAAAACAAGCTCAAAGCCACTTTAAAAGCACATTTTGACCTCAACACAATTTTCGCTGGTACCTTAAATGAAAGATAAGTCAATATAAAACAGTAAAATCGTAATGTTTAATTGAGGTGACAATGTAAAGTTAGATAATTGTTGTAAAAACAAATCATTCCATAGATGGGTAAAAACAACCGTTGACCCAATGACGACACAACGGTTAACCCAAAGAGGAGCCCCTAACGGCTGGTTTCAACAATAAACTTCTTTATTTACATCATGCATTTTATTGAAAAACATGATATTTCTCCACCTTTTTTTCATCTTGTTTTTTCTCTTTTAGCTTCGATCTTAATCCTGAAAGGTGAAAGATGAGGAAGGTAGGGAGTGGAGAAGATTTAGAGAGAGTAAAAAGATGAGAGAGTTGAAGGAGAAGGAAGATGAAAGAGCTCTTCAACTTGTGACACTAACATCTAACATGAAAACCTGTCCACCAGTTCAACAATTTTTGGTCATAGTTTCTCATTTATCCTCATCGTTCATCGTTCAGCGCCATTATTTCCGTCAATTTTGTGCGATGAATTGTTTTATGTGACTTTTATTTTTTTTTTGTTATTTGATTGTTTACCTTCTCGCCTCTCAACACAGTTCACTTCAATGACGAGCTTAACTGCCCGGTCAATAAAATTGGCTAAAAATGTCATCAAGCCTAAGCTGTCATCGAAACATCGGGATAATCTTGCAACCAATATTACGAGAATCTTTTCAACATCGACCTCCTCAATATCAAGGACTAGTGATAGTGATCTGAATTATCGGACAATCCCATTAACCCCATTGGATCTTGAGTCTGCTGGTAAACTGGTTAATACTTCAATAAGCCATTTTGATATTCGCAATTTACTTCGTGAAGAAACAATTTTATCCTCATTTGCTTTGGAAAAGGTTTCATCTCTTCAATCAGGACTTTCCTCCACTCACCATCCAATCATTTCGGTGGCTCAAGAAATATTTCAAGACTCTGATACAAAATTGATCGACTCTTTGGGTGGATTTACGCTTCTTCTTCTCGCTAAGTCACTTGAATCTGTACCTTCATTTACTTTTAACCAAGAAGTCTGGGAAAAACAAAAGATTTTCGCTGAATGCTATGAAATGATTGATAAAGCGATGTACATTCATCATAAATCCATAATTAATTTACCCCTGGAATCGGATGATACCAGAACTTTAAACATACTCAACAATGGTAATAAACTTGCTGTCCTCGGAGGAGATTATCTTTTCTCATTTGGCATCATTCGGCTCGCTAGTTTAGTTAGACGTGCAAATGTTTTTGACTTCATTGGTGCTTCAATTGATGAATTTTGTGTTAACCATTTTGATAATTATCAAAGAGACATTAATAATTGGATTCTACCCAAATCAGGAATGACAATGGAAACATGGGAAAAGTATGGCGGCTATTGTTCAGCCAAGTTAGCTGCTTACTCTGCTCAATTCATTACCGTAATGACAAATCTATCCTCAATCAGATTTGAACAGGCAGCATTCAATTTTGGATATAATCTAAAGCTCAAATGGAATGTAAGTAAATTACAATCAACAGAAGAATCAGTTTCATTTGAAATTAAAGCTTTTATTTGAATAAAAAAATCATCAAATTACTTCTGTTTACTGTTTGTAAACACCACTTTCAAATGATCTACTTTAGCGGGTGAAGCTTCAAAACTCAATAATAACTTTAATTTACATCTATGTAGCTTTCCATGTTCATTAATTTTTGTATTTTAATATTGTTCAGCGAACAATTTATACAAATGAATGAATCAATTTAAATTGATTTCCAAAGGTATGAACATCTAATTAGATTTTTCATTTTTAACTCCTTAGATTAGATTTGCCTTTGAAGTTTCAATTCAACATTCAATCCAAAGAGTAAAGGAGAAGAGGTTTCTCTCAACACAATTTTGTGAAGCTTACAAAGTGGCTCTGGCGAGGGCGCTTTAAAGGTATTTTTAATAGATTAGATAAAAAAATAAGATTGAAATTAAATTGAAAGAGATTGAAAAAGTGACTGATTTGAGCGCCTCTCGTTGAGGACCGCTAACTAAACTTCTCATTGAATCCTATTGAGAGCTATCTCTTCTTCTTTACTCTTTGATTCAATCTATTTCCATTTATTTCTCAAATAATTCATTGTTTAGTGTTGATTGTTGTTTGCATTGTAATCATTCGATCTTAAGCTGTTTACTTTGCAGTCTTTTTCCTGTGGTTCAAGTCCACTTCAGTCAAGTCTTGATACTGAATGTCAAAAACATTGAAATTTGATTTTATTGAGACTAGATTATTTGATTTTGGTCCACAAAAAACAGGAATCTTGGAAAGCAAACTCGAAGCTGAATATGATTGAGTTTAATCTCTATTTTTGTTTCAAAATAATGATTGAGAAAATTATTGAAAATAATGAATTTTATGAAGAAGATGATGAATATACAATTGGTTCCTTCAAGTGAATGCCCTTAATCATCGTTATTTATTGTTGATCATATAAATAGAATCAAGAAGGACTAGTTTGTTTCATTCAATATCAATTATTAACTTTGTATGTACTTTAGTAGTGGCTGAAATGATGTCCACCAATTATCAAGTAAATGGTATAAATCATGTAATACTATTTGATTAGCATACTTTCATACCATATTTTAACCATCAAACAATTTAAAAATGTTTATTGTCTTTTGAACAATCTGACAGTTTCTCGTTTAACATGTAATTGAATGAAATGAAAGCTTTTTGAAAACCAATGGTTTCCAAGGGAAATTGATATTTATTGATTTTGCAAATATAATTTACTAATTTGGTTATCTTTCACAGATGGAAAAAGACATTCAAATGTTCCTGGAGAAAGATGCTAAAGGATTGAGTCCAATCTCGGCTCCAATAATCAAATACATTGAACGAGATCCTGGTTTTATCAATTTTATTGCCGCACTAGACTGGGAAAAGGACGAAACTAGCAATAAAGTAATTATATTTGTTTATTGTATTTAAATGACTCAATTCTAATTGTTCGTTTTCTGTTTAAATTGTTTCAGATCAAGAAAATTATTTTACAAACTGATGTTATTGATGAATGCCAAAGTCTATCCAAACAATACTCGGACAAATGTATGAAGATCCTTCAATTGTTTCCTGATTGTCCGAGTCAACGTGTCTTGGAGTCGATTGCCCAAGAAACAAATTTAATTAACAGCAAATTATAAGCAATGAGAAGGTATTTTATTAAATTATTGTTCATAAGAAGCTCACATGTTAAATTCACAAGACCGGGAATAAAATCTTTCTGTTAAATCTTTAGAATCACTATTTTCAATTCATACTCTTTTGTTAATTTACAAATTACTTGAATTGTTGTATTGTATTGGTTAAAACGCTTTCCATCCCTTTTTGTAGAGTGATCTTTCAATGGTAAATTAAGTGTGATTTATTATTTATTTTTCATATAAATATCAAATTCAAAATATCTCTCTGTAAATGTCTCTGGCGATATTTTGCGTTATTATTAGCCATAGTAAATATTAAATTGTTGAAAGAATGATTATTTCAATTTTAAAAAAATGGACTCGATTTTGATGGTCTCCTTCAAACGCACTGAGTCTCAACTCTCAACTCTTACCGCGAAAGTCATAGTTGAATATTTCTTCTTGATATTATTTATGTGCCTCAGTAATGTTCATTCCCTGGATGAATCTAAATCAGGATGACCAAAGCCTTCAAGTACAGTGAAAGCAAAAATCAGTGCAAATCGATAGCCATAATCCAGCTCCTGGACCTCTTAAGGTTTCTCATGTAAGATGAAGTCCAAGCAGCATGTCAACCAATTTTGGGTTCCAACCAACAATAGACTAAAAGGCTCTGGTCCTGGTCCAGGTTCATCTCATCATCCACCGAAGTTATAATCGACTGTAAGCAACCACAGAATTGAAGTAACAATCAAATTGGGTGATTTAAGTTTATCAATGTTTCTAAATTCACGGAATTGAACAACTGGATGATGAAGAGTTAATTGAATAGCTCAAAACATTAGATACTTTTCAGGTAAACAAAATTCCAGTCTTGTCATTACTTATTGACGCAGCAAGTAATTATCTGCAAAAAAACCTGAAAGTTAACCATAAAATCAACTGTTTGTCTTGATAATGTTCACATTGTAAATATTATCTGTTATAAAAGAGCAGAGTACCTTACTCTTTGAAGTACCTTGATATTTTATCGCGAAAGAATTTTTTCCGAAAAAAAGAGTCAATTTGATTTTCAATCTTGCATTCTTTAAGAATGATTTGTAGAATGATTTATAAGCACAGAACAAGAAAAATTCATGACATGCGATTATAAGTTAAATTATATAAGAGGGAATTAACAGTAAAGGAGACACCAAAAAAAATTGATTACAGGGTATAAAATAAAGGGTACGGAAATGTATAGGCAAATATATTTAAATCAATTCAGGAAACAAGTCATCAAATAGATTAAGATTTGATTCGTAAAAAGCGCTTTCACTGGATAATATACTGGAATCTATTGGATTGAAAAAGTTTAAAGGCTTGTTAACCAAATTATCATTTGGTTGAGGTAATGATGGATAGCAGAGAGAGCTTGTGTTGGATGTTGATGGTTTTGGGGAGTTTTCGGAGAAAGAAGTTGTATTCTTTACACAGTTATCTGTTAAAATGGATTCAGTTTCAACTGTAATAGGGGACGTTGTGGTGACTGTCATTTCATCTACTTGTGGCTGCACCAGAAAATCATTTCGATGGTACATGTGATCAAATGTGATCAAGTCCCTGATTGATTCCAAATCTCTCTCTTTTGGTTCCTCCGAAGCTGGAGATAATCGGTTAGATGCTTCATCAGAATGGGATCCACCATCTTCAATTCCAGAGTCTTCGGATAGTTGGTCGATATTTTGGTCCAATAGTTGCTCTGAACATCGGTGTAACCATTTGATGATTTCTTCGCATTCATCCCCATCAAAATTAATAAGGGAACTAATAGCTTGGTCCAAATCGCTGAGATCTCTTTGGTTCGCTCCTGGTTCTTCGGCAGAGAGCCACTAATGAATGCTGCAGATTCAATGGAGTTAACTTTTGATTTCTCAGTGACTAAACTTTCACTATTAGATTCGACCTTAACTTTGTTTGATTTTTGAGACATGTTGCGAACGGATGGTTGAGCTGTTCCTCGAATAGAATCATTGTTGATTCTACTTTCTAATGCATCCAACCTTTCTCTGAGTTGCTTGTTTTCAGCTTGCAATTGTTCATTATGCTTTAGAAGTTCACTTAGTTTATTGAGATCCAACTTCTTTTTCAATTCAACGTTTTCTTTTAAGAGTAGACAATTAGCTTTACTCATTTGATTAACTTTACATTCCAATTCAGATAACTTCTCTTTTTTACGATCCCTTGCTGTTTGAGCAGAAATACGATTTTTTAACTTTCTCCTCATCAACTTTTCCTCTTCAGATAGATGATCGAGTTTTTCCCTTTTCCTTTTGACACCAGAAGACCCACTGTTGGAGGTACCATTACCAGTAATGGTACCGGCAAAACTTGTAATACCATCACCCATTAGACTAATATGTTGATTGCTTTCATTAACACCGAATCCCAAGCTATGTTGAAATGAGTTTTCCTCATTTGATGTATCTGAGGAAGGAGACATAGGTGAAGATGATAGTGAACAATTTAAATTAGAATCGATGTTGAAATTTTTTACAGATAACATGTTTAAAATAATAAATTTGAATAAATTTATGAAGTAAATAAATTAACAATCAGAATTAAGGATAGATAAAGGGATAGACATAGGGTTCACAGTGGAGACATTTTGATGCGTTGTAGGGTGTTGGTCAACAACATAAGAAACAGTGGATAAACAAAGTATAAAACAGAATAGCATCTAAACAGTCGTGATTACTTCGTCAAACTGATATAATGGGTCAAATCTTGCATCAAGATAAATTTTGAAAACAAGAAATTAAGTTAATCAATTGCATCATTTTAATCATCAACGTCAACACACTTTCCCTTTAAACCAAAGCAAGCAAATGCAGACATATTGCTGTGTTGTCAACTTGTGATTGGTTGAAATGCTGGGGATAGTAACTAGGAGGGAAGTCAGCTGAAGCTGGTTATTCATTCAAGGCTTGGGTTTCATTGAAACTTTCAATGAAAGTTGCTTAAAAAACGGTAAACTTATACACAAAAGTCTTATCTCTCCATGTTTACACTGAACAATAATGATAATTATGCAAAAAATAAAGAATAAAAGACTTAAAATGAGGCAACAATATCAAAATATTTCCAGATTGATAAATAGCATCAAGAAAGCTTTGTTTGCTCTTCAAATAACAAGTGTTGCGTGAAATAGCTCACAATTATCTTTTTATCTTTTCACAATTATCTATTTCAATGATAATTAAAAAATGATAACGATGCCAATGGACTTCTTCACCTCTACCGTCTATATCTTGACCATTTCCATCTTTATCAATTTTTCAATAATCGTTGAGATAAGTTAATTGAAAATTATGTGACATAATCACGTCACACAACACTTTCAAAATGATAATCCGTCGTCCAATTAATCCACTATATCCACTAATTTTTTTACCACATTGTCCAGCTTATTGGTCCAAAATGTAAATCCCTTAAACTTTCCCCCTACCTTCCCCCGGTCAGGGTCAACATGAAAACTCCGGATGTTCAAAGGATTCCAGTTTTCCGGAAAAGATTAAGATTAACTCTTAGGTAAAATATCTGGATCATAAGAACCCTTCAACTTGGATCAGAAGATTAGTTTTACTTTGAGTTTAAGTTTGTGTAGATCTTTTCAACTTTCACACTTTTATTATTTCCATCATTTTAATCACTTTCATCATCATCTTCAACTCGTTCTGTGACAATGGAATCAACACCTTCAACACCTTTTGACCGTAGACCACCTTTCATGCCTATGTCATTCCAGCCAATGTCTATGCAGCCAATTTCAATCCAGCCAATTTCAATCCAGCCAATGTCACCAACACCCCCATCAGTCTTTAACCACAGACAACCTGTTCATTCCATGCCAATGGTACCAAGGCTTAATCAATTTCCACCGAACACATCAATGCCTAGAATGCCAGAATATAATATGGGACCATTTGGACTTAATCGAAGTATGGAGGAGATAAACAAGCAATTGGATTGGTTTGTCGATTATATGTATTCAACTGCAAGGTTGAGACCAAACGTTCCTTCAGCTACAGCAACATTAGGCCAACCAACTCCTTTCAGTCCAGCTAGTCAATCTGGATCTAGTAATTTGGCTCCTGGTTTACCAGGGTTACCAGGGTCATCGATGCCTTTTTCGTCCGAAAACAGTGCCGAGGAAAATAAAGTAGAACTTCTTATTAAAGGTTGGATTGCTAAGAAATTGCAAGAAACTGATTTAGCCCCACTTCCACTAAAGAAAGGTAACCATGAAGGTTTAAACTTGACTCAACTCGAAGAATCAACCGTTAGATGTTTGTACAATGTATTCAATTGGTTGAACCAGCCGCCATCCCTTGCTGGACTCAATTCTGCCGAATTCTCTCCTCTCAAATTTAACCAATTTTGCTGTGAAAAATTAATGGCTGCATGTATGTATCTACCTGGACACTCTAAATTATCTTTCACAGATCGATACATGTTGGCAAATTATGGCTGGGCAAATGCACTATCGGTTAAAAATCATCTTTTAAAGCTAGCGCGAGTTAACACTTGGCAAGTAATTGAAAATTTATTTACCTTCAGCTAACTTTTTTGTTTCAGACTCAATTTTTTGAAATGCTCAATATATTCATCTGTTCATTCAAGTAGGAACTACTTTTTTTACAAATGAGTTACTTCAGAGCTAAGTAAATAATAAATCAAGTTTAATGACTCTAATCAATATTAAATCAGTTATCAGCCTTTCTACATCCCTTAAAGTAAACCTAACCTTTATCTTGACTATTAGCTTGCTTTATTGCGTTTGGCATAACAAACATTCACTAATCATAACCCAAGCAACAATGTAACTATTAGCTCTGATCACAGAATATACTTTGAATTTGATATTAGTCATGAATTTAATTCAATTTTTGTCCATTAAAAACAATCGTTATTAATTAATCTATTCACCATCATTACTTGAAAAATGCTAACGATTGTTTTTATCTTTTTACTGCAATTTAGAATGGAAATCAAAAGCATGATTCTTCAAACCCTGCATCTGATCACTCGACCTTTTATGACCTTTGCGCTAACCCTACTGTATTTTGTATTTTGGTCGCAATCATGATTTACAATCCAGATCTTGTGAATTTGCAAGCAATTGAATTTATTCGGTAAAAATTGAAACTATTTCATTCCATTTTAAGCTTATACTAATTGTCTTCATTCTCATTATCTAGATTTGAACAATATTCATATATTTATTTATTGAAAAGATTCCTGGAAGACACATTAGGCAATGCTGAACGAGCCAAGCTGGAACATTACAAGTTGATCTACACTATCGAGAAGATCATGATTATACGACAGCAGACGATGTACATTGAACAATTTAGACGAATTCAAGATTAGATTTTCTGGCTTCGAATGGACCCAAATTGCTGAAAAAATGCTGAAACTGTATTTTGAAAACCCGATATTTCGACGTCATGTCAAGTGACAGAGTTTTACTTAAATCATCTCCCAATCAAATCATATTTTTACATTCTACTTGAAATCCATTGTGTGTCATGAATGCAAATCACTCAATGCTCAATCATAATCGCTTAATCTTAATCTGATTTTGACAATTCTGGATTGAACGCTTTATTAAACGGATCTCATAATCTAATAAATAATCATTATCTAGAAAGGATGTCAACTTATTCCATTGTAAATTCAGTTAGATTGCTTTCATCTATTTCAACTCAAACAGTAATGAGTGTGAATCTAATTAAAAGGAAGACTCTTTTTTGCTAATCAAGTTAGTCTTATGTAAAAATAATCAACTGAAAGTGATAAAAGGCTGATATTTATGAAGGTTACTCTGGCAAGCAGATTGGCGTCAAGCCTTAGAGTTAATCAAGTTGATGAAAATAGGCCATTGTTTCGTATTGTTTCTGACTATCAGATGTTATTTTTATGCTGTATCCGGATTTAGTCACATTGTATATGTGATTGTCTTGACATACCAAGCTAATTAATTCGTCAAGATGATTAAAATTGTTATTTTGTAATATTACGTCCATTCGGTGCGTACCTTTAAAGTTGACAATCACGCTTAAAGGACTGGGAAACTGAATTGCTTTTACTTGAAATACTGTGTAATCAATGGTAAAAGATGAACAGTCATGAGAGGTTCATGTAGAAGAGAGTCAATATGATTGAAAACAATGATATCTAATGTTAATTGTGAGCCGCAATGTTTTCAACAAAAAAATCACTGACTGATTTAATGAGAATTGTGGTTTAACAATGAAAACACTTGTGCAGAGCATTAGCAGCTAGCAAGAAAACACTAGAATCTCTCATACTTGTAATTTAGCTGAGAAATAAGAGTAACTGGATTATGTAGATAATTTATCGATATAACAATTAGATATATAAATAAAATTAACCACTAATCACTAAAAAGTTATTAGATAAGTAGGATTTATCAAATCTCAGTAAAAAAAGTGAATCTGGATAAGCTATTGAACACATGTTTGGAGTCAAATTTGGATAACTCAACTTGATCCGTAAAACTAACAACTTGCACTTGTATTTATGATGTAAGATGTTGCTTGTTACCAACCTTTAATAAAACTGCCAACTCTAGAAATAAACATGAATGTCAATGACTACTTGACTATTAAATATTAAGTAGCAGATCACATAATTGTTGATGTAAGCATCTCGAAATAACTGAACCTTAAAAAATATGATAGACTTAAATCTGAGACTTGGCAAATGAAGCAGTCAAGAACGGTCATGAAGGTAACAAGAAACAGAAAGTCACAAGTAAACAAAGCTACAAAGCCGGGTTTCTGGTGGTAGGAATAATAATTAATGACTTACCAAGTAAATTGACTTAATATTAATCACAAAGGTTGACCATGGTTGAATATATTATAGTTGAATTGGCTTAAATGAATACGTTTTAAAAATAATCCCTCATAGAGAATGATTAAACAATAATAACATCAAAAGCTCAAGTCACACAAAAAAAGTGAAGGCGAGAAAATGACGGAAACATGAGAATTGAGATAACTTGTAGAGAATGAAGAGAGAAAATCATTTGCAGTTTGAGAGTTTCAATTAGAGAGCAATTATAATTTCTGTTGATGCAAGCAAGTTTAATACATCTAATCGAGCGATCATTTATTCTGGCTTTTTGTGATCTAAACATGCATACATACAAAATTATTATCATAAATTATGAAGATTCTAAAGATTAGAAAATTACGCTTCTTTGACCAAAGGTTTTACCCAATGTTTGACCATTTATTGACTGATAGTTTGATAAGTGATAGTGAGATGTTCAACCAGAACATGTATTGATTTGCCAATGAAGCAAATATTTCTGCAACATTATGATTCGAAGGTTTGTAATGAATTTTAAACACACTGTTTCCATGCAAATCATTTAATTTTCCAGATGGCAAGATGCTATAAATAATAAATGGTGATTGCTATAGAAATTAGTAAAGATACTAAATTCTTAGAATACATAATTGATAATATTATAAAATTTGTAAAACATTTGTATAAAATATTGACATAATAATAATGTTATCAATAAAATTGATAAACACACGATTTATCTGTAACAGTAGAAACATATTCTTGGTAAAAATTCAGTGTTTGTGGGGTTGGAGTTGAATAACCAATAACATTTTGTTTAACGTATTCTTCATAAATAAATTTACTTTTTGGACTAGCTTGAGTAATTTTGGAATCAAATTTCATGCTTGAGATACTGAATCCATCGAATCTCAATGAAAAAACTGATTTACTATCAGTTTCCATTAAAGTTGATTTTTTAATTCCATATTCACCAGCAGCGATACCATCATTGACATATTTTGTATACAAATCAATGTCTTTTGGTTCTGGAGTTTTATACAAGGCACCATAATTCACTTGAAAACATTCACGATTAAAGTAATCAAAGGAATCTGACTTGGAGCTGATAGATGAGACGGATGGAGCTGAATACTTGTAACCATATAAGCTGATGTCTTCATCACTCGAATAATCGTCATCACCTTCATCATCAGTAGAATTGGAAGAAGTGGAAACATGTCCAGATACAGATGGATTAGGAGGCAAAACGTTCGAGGTAGGTAAAGATGATTTTCGTTTTCCAGGCCTTTGACGAACAAAAAATGGACTATGTTCTTTAATTACAGTACAGTTGGGCATAAAATGTCTCTCCGTGTGACTAATTTCGAAGAGAAAATAATTGGCTAAAATTGTTAACTCATGGGGACGATATTGTTCACAGAAACCATCAGTCATCATGTCAACATCTTTAATAGATGCATCGTAAAATATGTTGTTGGGAGATCCTTTGAAAATTTCTAGTGATGATCTAGGTAAGCATTGAGCGATTCTGTCATCCCACCACTGTGTAATTGGAGTTAATGATTGGTTGAACAGTGTTTTAACGAGTATCTCTCCATTGTGTAAGTAATAATCAGTGCTCAAATCCCAAATATAAGGTAAACCTGGTTCAGGTCTGAAGACTCCGAGAAACAAATTTATAGCATCTTGTTTATCAGCATCAGAAAATGTATTACTATAATATCGAGATAAGGTTTGCATGATGTCTCTAGAGTGAGATGAGAGTGGAGCTATTTTACGATATGTTTTAATACGATGAACCAATTGCGATCCGCCGTATTGAAGAGCCAATGTATCACCATGATCTTCATAAATCTCTTCCAACATTCTGATAGCATCAGTATCGAACTCTAAAGTAGGAGTGGAAAGAACACCAAGAACATATAATTGATAGGCCAAGGCACACTTTCCTAGCGCAAATTGAGCTGTATTGGTTCGATCTAAACAATCAACGCAGTTAACTCGAACAATTCCAGTTTGTACTACTTGTCCAGTTGAAATAGCAACACCGCCAAGTTTACTTAAATATGATGGATTAGGGAGATTATTTGATTGTTTGCTTTGAAAAATTCCTGTTAATTTGAGCATTCTATATCCAATGTTAGACAATTTTTCCATCACATTAACATCTTTGGACTTGTTTATTCGAGCCATATCCAGACCAATATAGATAATGGCATGTTTTTGCGGTACAAATTGATTTAGGTATTGAATAGCCTCTTTAATCTCCTTAGATAAAACACTTTCATGAGGCTTCTTTTCACGTTTCTTGACCAAATTTAAAACAATTACAGGAGATCCATATCGTTGGAGAAGATCATTGAAATGTCGACCTGCTGTTTGAAAATATGGATCAACAAAATCTGTCGTGATTTGTGGCTTTGGAACAACTTTGAAACTGTCTTGAGACCAATGAGATGGAATCGAACCTCTTATTTGAACAAAAGATGTGTACTTGACAACGTCAAGAGATGAAAGCGATGCATCGAATGCAATTTGCTCTGTTTCAACTTCATTGGCTACATCTCCGGCTAAATTTGCTCCACGCTTTAGAAAACGAGTCCCGGCAAACTTTTTCGAACGACGAGCAATCAAAGTCAAATAGATGGGTCTACCAAAAACACAGATATCCGTCTGACTCACAAAACCATGAATCACATATAGAAGCCAATCTGGATGCAGAATGACTCGACTCAACAAATATTCGTTCCAAACAAATTTCCAATTAGGCTGGGTTCTGATGGCTTCAATATTCAATGACGGACCTTTTTCCAGTTCTAATTTTCCTTGCCATATTGTTTGATCTGCTCTTTGCACAAAATGGTGATTATAATTAAGAGGCAACAAATTGTGTTGAAGTGTATGAGTCAAATCATAACTATAACTGAAGTAAAAATTACTAGAAAGGTCAACATTTTGAAACATTTTCAAATATTTTGATTCATCTGGATTGTTTCTTTCAATATCATTAGGAATGTAAAGCATACTCGTATCCAATATTTTATAGATGTTATGGTGACCAATTTGAGCAATTTTTCTAGAATAATAATCGTAAGAAACAGATTTTCCAATTAAAAGCCTGTGGCATATTGCACGGTAAAGTGTTGATGTATTTACCTTCTCTTTGTTATCAAAATCATATAATAACCTTCGAGAAACCGAACGAAGCCAAATATTCCATAAGCTGAGATCCGATTCGGTGTTTGAGGCGTTTTTTTCTTGTTCCCATTTGTGATGCGAGCCAATAACTCAGTAATTTCCTTCTTGTTATATTTAACGCCATCATCAACCAAGACAAGCTCTTTAGGTTCAGTGCGATCAATCTTAATCACTCTAAATGTGGTACCCGCATTATTAGAACCAACAATGAAGTATCTCTAGATAACAACAAGAAAATACAGAACATGAAAAATTGCAAATATACTTCGGAAATCATATCTATGAATGTCAACTTACCGCTTTGGTCTCATAAAGAACGATCTTTTGAACTCCACTGATAATCATGTTATTCAAGCTAAAGTTGCCTTAAGCAAACTTAAATGAATTTACTGATAAGTTTCATCTAGATTTAAAATTTTATCCATTAGAACGGTGAACCAGATTGCAATAGCAGATTTTATTTTTGTTGTCAATTACACTAAAATATAAAACTCAAAATTGGATGATTTGGTTGATCAACTGTCAAAGAAAAACACAGAAAAACATCAGCTAATCAACAACCAAAAACAGCTGTTTTGACAAAATTATAACTCCTCCTTTACAACTTCAACAATTTTATTTTCATTTATCCTGAACTCTGTTTCATACTTGTTTTCCCTTCTTTTTCAGAATAACTGACTTGTATTCATATTATTGTACAGTTTTGGTCTCAATCAGGATTTGATTTTAGTCTACTCGAAAAAGTCGCCTGACAACCGATATTAATATGCTCGTAAGTTATCTATCTTAAAATATGTTAACTTTGCTGGCTAAAGGTTATGGTGCCATAGATAAAGCTTGACCAAGTTTTTTCAATGTTGAAAAGACATTTTTATGAAACCAACCATGTGTATCTCATGATTAAAAGCCAACACTTAGCAAAACAGATTAACTAAGTATCGATCTAACCAGATAATAACATAATATTTACATTCATCCTGATTCCCTGTTTTTGGAATCCATCATCATGTTGATTTTAAAGGTTTAGCAAACTTCCAAACGATTTAGTATTTTATTTTAATAGCTCTTATCTGGTTGAATATGGTCTCTTTTACAACAACAAACTATCATTTGATTGTTGAATTGTAACCAGCTATATTGGAATAATTTACAGGTTACATTACTCTTCATAAAGCAAGTAAACAATATTGTTTATCCATGTTGAAGCCCTCTTCCAATCAATAGTTGTTTTAGCAAAGAATCGAGGCCTGTTATTAATCTATATTTTGATCATTATGATATTGCTTTATTAAATTTTGGACCATTTTATGTAAATCAGATAAATAATGAAAAAATAACAGCCATTATCTATCCAAGTTTGTCACCTCATTAAATTTTAATGATAATCGATCTCTAACATTTATATTTGTATACATAGTATCCATAACACTGACCTTTATACTGCGACTGCAATTTAATTTTTTGCCTCGGTAATCCCAACAGTTAAAATTCATTCTTATCTCACAAATCCAGTTCTTGATTGATGTAGGTTGGATTATATGGATCATTCAGATAACAACAAATATTGAAAATTGAACTTCCCTCACTTTTCAGGCTTTTACTAATTCATCATCAACGGCTAATTGAATAACTTGATTTGCATAAATTACAAGAAATATTGTCCATTACCAATCATTAATACTGATTACCATTTTAATCAATAAAACCAATGAAGCAGCCAATTGAAACCAATAGTCTTTGTAGCTGGACCATTGAATATTTTTGTCCACCCCAACAGTCCTTATATTTATCAATGTAAATCTCATTTTCAATCAAGAGTATTGATTGTTGATTTCATTGTCATTTTATATAAATACTGTCTTCATTCAAATTACTATTAACTGTTACTGTGAGTGTTCAATTCATGCTGAACTTGTTTGTTCCTTTTAATTTGAACTGTAGCCTTTTGACAATCATTTCATTTTTCCTTGTTTATCAGGAAATCTTAATGCTTAATAATCATGCTTTCATTTAATCTATCCAACTTGATTTTTTGTTGTTACCTTTATTGGTGCCATTAACAGTCTCCGTTGTTTCATGAGTGTTTGAGACGGTAGGATTCAATGGAGATACTTGACCAAGCCGCTAATAATGGGTATGTTAAAAGCGGTTAACTAATCATTAAATCATCTAACCAAATCTAATTGATTAACTAACCATTCATTGAGTAGTAACCAAATATCCAAACATCCAAATATCACATATCATTACTAGAAGTTGATTTATTATGTCTGTTGCTCTGAATCACCAATAATGTAATTATAATAACTCACTGTAATTTAAACTTGTATCAAAGTCAAGCTTTGTTTATTTGTGTTTTATTTACAAGAAATTTACTTGATGAAATGATTACTTTTATTTAGATTGTTTTAGGTTGCAGTCAACAATTAGATTCAATTGAAATTTATTAAAAAAGACTTAATTGTTAATCTTTGTTAGGTTAATCACAATTGAAAAAAGCGCCTATCACGTGACATTGTTATTGTGTCAGTAAAAAAATGTTCTGTTGGCTGTTATTAATGTGAAAACTCTACCTTTTAGTCAGTATTCACTTGCAATTTTTAAACTTTGTTCAAATATGATTAAGTTGTTTAATAGAAATTGATAATGTAATCCTAATTTTGGTGTTAATCATGCTTTCATGTCTCTCTGTTGGGTCAACTCAACATACGATGGCGTTTGGCTGATATTTGACTTGTTTAACTGATCTTTGACCGAGAGTAAAATGATAAAATAAACGACTTATTGTTTTACCTAAAACCTATCTTTATTTAAGTTAAAATTCCTCTAATCTACAAACATTCATCATCTTTATCACCTTGTTAATCATCTGTTTTTTTTCAAACTCAATTGTTCTATTTTTACATATTTTATGTTCTCACTATAAATCATGGTTATAATAACATCATCGCCAAGTCAAATGGAAGAGGGTAAACCGTTGAAGCTATTAAGCTTAGTTTTGTTGGCCTTACCTTTGATTGTGATACAAGCTTACCAACAAAGGGATCAGCAGTTTAATCAAGTGATCTCAATTGATTATGACAATGTTTCTATTGATCGAACGAATAATCAATGCACTACAAATGGTTTATCAATATTTTTATCTCGACCTGGTATTTATGATAGGAAATATGCTACTTTCTCAGAATCAATGCGTTTAGAGATGCTTCAGAAAACTCGTGAAATGTTCCAATTTGGCTATGATAATTACATGAAACATGCATTCCCGAAGGACGAACTTAATCCAATCCTTTGCACAGGCAGAGGGCCTGATATTTTGAATCCGTAAGTTTTTTTGCAAAGCTTGGCCTATTAGTCATAGAAAGTCAATTTAATGCTGATATTTTTTCATCCACAGATCTAATATCAATATTAATGATGTTCTTGGTAACTATTCCTTAACTCTAGTCGATACCTTGGATACCTTGGCAATAATGGGCAATGTATCTGAGTTTCAGAAAGCTGTTCAACTTGTGATAGATCAAGTTTCATTCGATAAAGATGTGATTGTTCAAGTTTTTGAGGCCAATATTAGATTATTAGGAGGCTTACTTTCAGCTCATTTACTTATTATGGATCCAGAGAAGCCATTTGGACCTATCAGGCCTTTTGGATACAATGGACAATTAATGGAACTTGCTCATGACTTAGCAACTCGCCTTCTCCCTGCCTTTGACAATAGCTCAACTGGATTACCATATCCAAGAGTTAATTTAAGACATGGAGTTCCAAAAAGTCAAGATTGTAATTGGTGTGCCACTCATACATGTACTGCCGGTGCAGGATCTTTACTCTTGGAGTTTGGAATATTAAGTCGTCTATTAGGTGATCCTGTATTTGAAAGTGTTGCTCGAAGAGCGGCCAGAACTCTCTGGTATCGGCGATCAGAAAATACTGGCTTATTAGGTAATGTCATTGACGTAGAGACTGGCGAATGGATTGGTAAAATGAGTGGAGTTGGTGCTGGTCTCGATTCATTTTATGAATACTTGCTAAAGGTAAATTTATTTTCAACCAGTTACATTTAACTGCTTATCAAAGCATAATTAAAACTTAATTCTATTCTGTTACAGTCATACATTGTCTTTGGTAAAGCAGAAGATCTCAGAATGTTTAATGAAAGTTATCGATTGATTAAACGTTATTTACGTCGAGGACGAGATGAATGCAACGAAGGAGTCGGTAATCACCCGGTCTATGTTAATGTTAATATGATCGATGGACGAACCTCAACTCTTTGGATTGATTCATTACAAGCTGCCTTTGCTGGGATACAAGTTCTTAATGGTGATATTGAGGAAGCCATTTGCACTCATGCACTTTATTATGCTATTTGGAAGCGCTTCGATGCCTTACCGGAAAGATTTAACTGGCAACATTCTAGCCCAGATCTCTATTTTTATCCACTACGACCTGAACTTATCGAATCAACCTATTTATTATATCAAGCTACTAAAAATCCTTTCTATCTTCATGTGGGAAGAGATATCCTTTATAGTCTTAACAATCATACTAAAGCCGAGTAAGTTATTTCGCTATCTAAATAATCGAGTCATCGGAATTTCGCCAAAATTAATATTTTCTTCCAATTAATTTTTATTTTTAGATGCGGTTATGCAACAATCCATAATGTTCAAGATAAAAGTCTTGAAGACAGAATGGAAAGTTTTTTCTTGAGCGAGACCTGTAAATATCTTTACCTTGTAAGTAAAAACAAGTTGTTATGATCACAACTAAACTCAATTGATTTTAGATAAATTCTAATAATTTCTATTCTATTTTATCCAGCTTTTTGATGTTGACAATCCTTTGAATAAAGATGCTGCAAAATTTATCTTCAGTACTGAAGGACATATATTTCCAGTTTCATGGAGATATCGTAGGAAAACTTGGAAAGATGACGATTTTGAGGGAGAAAATGAATCAAACTTGTCTTCAGATAAAAAGAGTGATTCAAATCAAGCAGAAACTAATCATTCAACTAAATCATGCCTTAAAATTAACGAAGAGAGACATTACATGTTGCCAATCAAGAATGAATACCTTCACCAAGTTATACATGCCTTGGGTTCAGAAGCCTGACCAAACTGTCCAAAACAATCATGATGTTTTTTTCTTTATCTTTCAAACATGTAAATGTGTTGCTTTATCATGATCAACAACTATGTTTTATTTAACTATTAACAAATATGCATATTTAAATACAAAGTGCATGGAAATTATTTTCAACTTTATTTTCATAGAAACCAGTTACAGCACAAATTCAATGAAAGAAAAGCTTGAAAATATCATTTTTTATAAAATATTGAACTCGTTGATCATTTGACATTACATTTGTAATTTCATTACATTATTTTTTCATTGACTATCGAAGGCAATACAATTTGTATGATATATGTAAGATATAAAATAAAATTAAATCGAATGGGTTACTAATTAAAACAACGAAAGACTCAAATCATCTCGTCAAATCTCGCGTGAAATTAAACAAAGTGTCTCTAAGAATTACATTAAAGTTAATTATCTTGTAGTCACAATAAAATCTATTTTCTATCAAAATTATTATCAGGCCTAATACCGATATTAAAGATTTGATCTTTGATCGATACTTATTTTTTACGGTTAACCTGACCGCTCTGCTTTAAACTTACCTTTAACATTACAAAGTAAGCCACTGTCACTGACCTTGTTTTGATCAATGGAACCTTTGTTACCATATTGTTCCCGTAAAGGTATTGGTTGACATTTTACCTTTAAACGAGGTGACCTTTTGTTCATCTTAAAGCGATGAACTGTTTTCAATGTAAATAATTTCCATCGTATATTTGAAATACCTTTTCTCGGTGATTTGTTGTAATACTTCAACTATTTAAAATAATATTAAAATATAATTTAGTTTAATATATTGTCTGAATTATTTCTTTACCCAAAGTCACTGGGATTTGTAAATATTTGAAGACCATCCATGTTATGGCTGCATCATCCAGAAAACGACAACTTTCTCAAGATCTTGTAATTTGTGATCAGTGTGGACAACCGGTTGATAAATGTGTATTACATGATGATAATAGTGACTATTTAGAAGAGGCAATTGCCTTATCCGACTCTAGATTAACGAAATTTTTTGAGGGCCAACAATGTGAGGAGTCATTGGAATTGAATATAACTAACTATTGTCTGTATGATGAAAATGGCCACTTTATCTCAATTGATTCTGGTCTAATTGAATCAGATAAAGCTGTTTATATGAAAGGGTATTTGAAACCTCTAACAGATCTGGAGGATGATTTGAGTCAATCTGTTCCAGCACGAGATATTGGACCGATTGAACAATGGTGGATCTCTGGTTTTGACGGAGGCGAACGAGTTTTAATTGGTGTTCAATCATCAATTTGTTGTTACAATTTGTTAACTCCTCATCTTAAGTATAAAGCAATTTGTGAAAGCTTGGAATTTAAAATAACGTTAACCAAATATATCATTGAATGGATTGAATCTTCACCGCAATCAACTTGTTCCCAATTGCTGCATAATTTAACAGTCAAGTGTCCAAATCTCGAGCTATCTCGATTATATCAAAGTTTACCATTTATAGTTGATCAAATCCTCAGCTATGATGAAGCTGGAACATCAAGTGATCTTAAAATTCTTGAAACTCCATGCATAAGACAGTTAATTGAAACAGCATCACAAGGATCTTTAAAGTTAAGGTCAGCAATCTCTAAGAAAGTCTTCTGGTTAAAACGATACTTATGTTGATCTAAAACCAATAAAATCTAACAAATGCTTTAACTTTTCACAGAACGAAATCTGCTGGTAAATCGACTCAACAGGCCGGGCCATCGAGAAACATCATTCGTCGTGGTGCTCGTAAAGGAATGAACAGAGACTCTTATGCTACTTGTACCGAGCTTGTGGCTACATTTTTCGAGAAACAGTTTAAAGGTGCATTGAATACAACACAAGATGCAAGTAAATCAAAATCAATTTACAAACAACTTGGAAGTCGAGGTTACGGAAAAGCCAAGATCAATTTAATGGCAACTAAAATCATTTGGACCAGCAAAGCAAAGCATAAAGATCCTTTTTCAAAAAGGATTTATTATGAGTCTACCAGAATCAATGGGATTGAGGTAAATCTTTAGTTTTTAATTTTCAACTTTAGTGGTTCTAATTTACAATGTTTCAGCTTTATTTAGGCGACTTTGTTACCTTGGCTAGAAATAAAAGAAGTGAACATGAAGATAACACCGGAATTGGACGGCTCATTGGATTATTCGAGACTCATGATGGACAGAAGTTTGCTCACATCGATTTCCTTTGGTAAATACATCACAACTTGTTACTAAAAAGACACAAGCAACACAATTGTTGCATTTATGCACAAATTGACACGAACACTGAAATCAAATGGGCAAAAACAGGTAAAAACAATTTTCTTTCACGTTTGGACTCTGTAAGTTTGTTAAGACATAAAAACAGAATCTATTTGTGCTATCAAAAAGTTTCTCCGATCAATAGTTCTCGAGAAAATCGAGTTCGCGGCTAAAATTTCGATCGCGTTTTGTGCAACAATGGAAGCAGTTTTTTTTCATTAAACTCATTTTCCTGATGTGATTTTTGATAAGCAACCAGAAAGTGGCTTTTATTGCATGAAATAAAGTTCTCTGTCTCTTTAAAACAGATCAGTTCGATTTTAGGTTTAACAGAACTCTCTCTGTGACCGTAAGAATCAATGAGCTGAAACTTATTATTTGTTCAGGGCAATTGTTGCCATAGGTCATGACTTGAATACTTTTTCCAATTTACCAACCGTTCTCTTGATTTTGGCCTTTGGCCGTAAAACTTTGAACATCAATATTTCGAGAATGGTTGCACGGACAATCATTATTCTTTGGCTAATCATTAGATTTTGTTATGGGTTATAACAATATATGATCGAATATCGAAGAAAATCTGAGCTAATTTATTTAATAATCAATATTCTTCTAACAAATCAGAAGTAAACAATTACTTTTGTAAATCAAGAACCAAATCTGACAGTAAAGTAATAAAATGCTATTACTTTTTTTGCAGGATCTTGATTGATCTGATATTTCAGTATACCAAAGTTCATAATAAAATCTAGTGATTGTCTAAACAATGATGCTTGTCCGTACAACCATTCTCGAAATATCGATATCGATAAGTTTACAGGTAAATGTCCAAAATCGAGAGAACTGTCGCTAAATCAAAAAAATTATTCACGTTATGATTTGCAACAACAATATCCACACACGCCAAATAAGTTTCAGCTCTCTAATTCTTAAGGTCACAGAAATAGTTCGGTTTAACTGAAAATCGAACTGATCTGTTTTACAAGAAACATAAAGTTATATTTTTCAATGTAAGTTCATTTTCTGGTTGATTATAAAAAGTTACGTCAGGAAAATGAGTGTCATGAAAAAATATGCTTTAATAAATTGTTGTAAGATTTAAGATTCGCGCTTATTGAGGATGGCAACCCGGTTGCCATCAATAGCTGTTGCTACTGGAAATACTCGGTATTTCCTTATTCTAAAAAGTATTTCCTTTAAATGTATTTCCTTTATAATTTGTATAAATAGTGAATCTAAATTGTAATTAATTAAGCTTCTGTGATTGCTGACCTTTGGTTAAGTAAAAGATATTTTGTGATTAATCAAGTGTGTCTAAAAGCTTCATTAGGTTCCGAGAACCTTCTCATCGGTTAAGAGTATTCCGGGAATACTCAGTGTTCCAACTTGGTTGGAAGATTCTATTGTTGAATCATTGTGTTTCAATAGTCTTGGACTATTAGTGTAATTGTTATACTTGTGAGTTATTGTTATAGCTACATTGGTTCAAGTTCTGAACTTATATTCAACCGAGTTGAATTGTGAGTAAAATTGACTCAACCGGGTTGAGTCAGGAATAGAGATTCTAAGGCTATAAAGCTGAGGCTTTGGAAATATAGCTTAGACATTAGTGTTTCAGGCTTGGAGCCATTAGTTATACAACATTTGGTGGAGATGAAGTTCGATTTTGGTTTTCTTTTGTGAATAGCGAGTTATCCTGTTATTTCGTTGGTGTTTTGTTCTAAGTGTGGGGGAATTGGTGAATTAGAAATAGAATTCCGAGAATTCTTTGCTGTTAGCTTCGATGGGTGATACTGACAATAGGCCACCGCCACAGACCCTATCAGAACAAATGAATTTCCTGATTACAAAATTTATGGAACATACGAAAGAGTACACATCGTTTAAGGACCAGATTGTTGAAGCTCAGAAACAAAATATAATGGAGATAAGAGATATCCGGACAATAATAGGTGATCATGCAACTTTGATTCATCGACTTAGGTTGAGTGAAGCTGGGAAAAGCAACTCTGAAGCTGTTCAATCGGAAGCTACTGTGACAGATCTACTCGATACGACAGCGAATGCGACGAACTTAACAGCAACGGAACAATCTACGTCTAGAGAATCGGATTCTCGTAAGTCAAGATTTCAGTTTCATTCTTTTCTTGATAACTTACCGAACACTGAAAATGAGAGAGTAAGACCTGCCATTATCAAGCCTGCACCTTTGCCTACGTTCAATGGAGAACATGAGAAAGCTAGAAGCTGGTTGAGAGCCTATGAAGAAGCTGCTGCTTTAAATTATTGGACGGAAGCTGAATTAATTAGGGGAGTTGGTGCATGCATGAAAGGTCCTGCGTCGACATGGTATTGGTACTCGTATGGTCCCAAATATTTTGAAAAGGGGTTTACATGGACGACCTTCAAAGAGCAATTCTTGAAAACTTATCATAAAGCTGGAGATAGACATTTGGCATTTCTGAGGATGATGAACCGGGTTCAACAAAAAGACGAAAGGATATCTTTGTATTACTTTCAAATGTTATCATTGTGTATGGACTATGATCCTGATATGTCACAAGATGAGATCATCGATAGTGTACTAAGAGGTTTAGAGCCCGGTATGAAAAATATTATTGCAACTGGTTTGCGTGGTAATAGGACATTGGAAGCCCTCGAAGAACTCATTGATATTAATGATACGGTCAATGAGAAGCTGAACCCTGAGTTAGTTTCTTTTGTCAAACCCAAGAAAATTGAGAAGCCTGACGTGAAGTCAAACCAGAAAACGCCATCGCAACCTGAAAAGAAATCTCCTGAAGAAAAACGTAAGCCATTTTTCAGAAGACGCGATCCAACGAATGTGACTTGTTATAATTGTATGAAGACTGGTCATTACCAGCGAAATTGTCCTGATACATACGATGCTGCGAAAGCAAGGGCAAACGCTTTGCAATTAAAAGGACAAAGAAACGCTGTGGTTAATGCAGCTAATGTTGGGGATGTTCAGGGAACAACCGATACTCCGGGAGTATCCACTGGTGATGTTCCGGGAACATCAGGTATTCCGAGAATACCAAGTGAAAATACGGATTCTCAGAATCCAGGAGAAGTTGATGTGTTGCGAACTTTCAAGGATGATTGGGAAACGATTTCCCGAGAAATAACCATTCATTCTAATGATGTTGCTAACCCGCCGATAACACTTTTCAACTTCATTGGAGAAGTTTCTTTGCCGTCATTACTTATTGAGATTAATGAGCAAAGAACGAGTGCATTAATTGATACCGGAGCGAGAGTATCATTAATGAGTGACGAATTTCGAATTCGTTGTGGATTGGAATTAAAGCCATGGAACTTTGGCATGCTGACAATGGCAGATACAAGGCCATGTATGCCGCATGGTTACACTGAATGTAGGATGTTTATGGATAAACATATCATTCCAATACGGTTTATTGTAATGAAGAAGTTGACGATGGACGTTCTTTTGGGTGCAGATTTCTGTATACGCCATCATATTACATTAGCGTTTGGAGAAAAGAAAGTGATTAATTTATGTAAACCACATTCAGATGTAGTGAAAACGAGGAGACGAATTAACAGTGAATTTGTATTCGATCCCATTGCAAAAAGAGTTGTTCATAAAAGCAGATTAAGTAGTATTCCGTCAAGCATTCCGAATGCAAATACTAATGAACTCTCTATTGCAACAGTTGATTTAAATGAATTTGAAGATATATTCAGTAAGGCATCAAATGATGTCGGATGCATCCCGGATGCAGTACATTCAATTGATACTGGAGATCATCCACCGATCTATCAAAAGTATTACCCGATCGCAATGTCAGAAAGAGTTGCAGTCGATAAACTTTTGACTGATATGTTAAAAGATGGAATTGCCATACCCAGTGAAAGTACATGGGCAAGTCCAATTGTATTAGTTGGCAAAAAGAATGGTCAAACAAGATTTTGCGTCGATTACCGTAAATTAAATGAGATTACGGCCCTTGATCCCTATCCCATTCCAAAAATTGAAGATGCTTTGGACTCGTTGGAGGGATGCGTTTTGTTCTCGTCGTTGGATGTTGCAGCAATGTATTGGCACATCAAGATGAATCCTGTGGACCAATGTAAAACTGCTTTTGTGGTTCCACAAGGCTTGTTTGAATTCACTAGAATGCCTTTTGGGTTAAAGAATGCACCAGCTACCGCTGTCCGTACGATGAACCGAGTTCTCGCGGGACTAAATTACATTTCCTGTTATATCTATTTTGATGATATTCTGATATTTGGTAAGTCAGAAGAAGAACATGATTCTAATTTGGTTAAAGTATTGGAACGACTGAGAAAGTTTAACGTTAAATTAAGAAAAGAGAAATGCTCGTTCAATTGTGAAAGCATAGATTATCTTGGATATCATGTTGGGAAAAATGGTATTTCCCCGAGTCAAGCAAACATTGAAACTGTTCTCAGGTTCCCGGAACCTTGTTCGTGTAAGGATATAAGGAAATTTCTTGGTTTGTGCAGTTATTTTCGAAGGTTCATTCCGAAATTTAGTGAAGTCGCCAGACCATTAATGATAATGTTAAGAAAGAATGCCAAGTTTGTATGGAGTGATAGAGAGAGAGAAGTCTATGAGAAACTCAAGAAAATTATCACTTGCAAACCTGTTCTTGCATGTTTCCAGAATGATGGGAAAATTGAAATTCATACTGATGCATGTGATTATGGCATTGGTGCTGTAATGTATCAGAGTCAGTCTGATGGAGAGCTGAAGCCTGTTTGTTACATTTCCCGAACGCTGAATCCAGCAGAAAAGAATTATGGCGTAACCGAAAAAGAGTGTTTGGCTATTGTTTGGGCCTTACAAAAGCTTCGCCATTATTTGTTTGGGAGAGTTTTCGTCGTTGTCACTGACCATTGTGGACTTTGTTGGTTTACATCGTCAAAGAGATTGACACCGAGATTAATGAGATGGGCAATTAAATTGCAAGAATTCAACTTCATAGTGAAATACAAAAGTGGAAAACTGCATGGAGATGCAGATTGTATTTCTCGTTATCCTTTGAAAGCTAACGAAAATGATGAAGAAGAAGAAATAAATCTTCCCGGAAGATTGAATTCTAATGGAAAAGATCAATTGAAGATTTGCTACATTGAACCAGTTGAGAGATTTAAAGATCTTCAAAAGAAAGATGAATATTGCTTGAAGATCCGGGATCTTCTGTGTTCAACCGAGTTGAGCAAAAGAGCTAAATGTAGATTGAATAAAAAGTTTGTTGTCCTACAGCAAACTTTGTTTTTCAAGAGAGGGAAGGAATTGGTTCCTGTTATCCCGAAAGAAATGAGAGTTTCTTTAGTGAAAGATGCTCATGAAGAGGGACATCTTGGAATGAATAAATGTCTCGAAAAATTGAAATGTAGAGCATACTGGCCTGGTATGGCTCAAGATCTGTGCGATTGTATTCGTAGTTGTGGAAAATGCCAGAAGAGAAAGCCTTATCCAACAACTAACCAAGGTTTGATGATACCAATAAAAGTTCCTAAACATGCATTTACAGATATAAGTCTGGATATTTTGGAACTGCCGAAATCTAAAAATGAATTCAAGTATTGCATTGTAATCAACGATAGACTAACAAAGTTTGCAGTAGCTTCTGCAGTTAGTTCAACAGAAAGTGAAAAAGTGATCAGTGCATTGTATGATGATTGGATTCTAAGATTCGGAGTTCCCGGAACTCTTTTGACGGATCGAGGGACAAATTTGATGTCTGAAGAATTCACAAACTTTTTGAAGAGCTTTGGAATCAAACATTTGCCGACCTCTGCGTATCATCCTCAAAGTGATGGACAAACGGAAAGATTCAATTCTTACCTTGGTATCAGTTTGTGTATTTATTGTGATAATAATCCTAATGAATGGGATAAGTTTTTGCAAGAAGTCGTTTTTGCATATAATGTGACACCGCACAGAGTCACTAAGTTTTCGCCGTTTTATTTGTGTCATGGCGTGGAAGCCCGGCTTCCTTGGGAATCGAGAAGTGGATTGCCTGTCGAGTGGAATAAAGTCGAAACTCGAGAAGAAGCATTGATTAAAGCAAGGCAAATGGCTCAGGAAAATATTTCCATATCTCAAGGAAAATCTAAAGAGTTGTATGATAAGTCGCACAAGGAAACCGAGTTTCCTCTGAATTCATTGGTGCTGCTAAAACAACCTTTATTGGTAAAGGGCAAGAATAAGAAGTTCATGAATCGATTTCGTGGACCTTACCGAATTGTGAAACGTATTAACCCGGTTAATTACGAATTGATTAACCTGAAAGGGCCGATAAAGAAAGAGATTGTGCATGTCTCTAGATTGAGACCATTTCATGGAGAAAATGTTTCTCATTCCCGGAATGAGAAAAACCATGAAGATGATGATGAAGTTATGGAGTTGTTGGGTTTAAATTAATTGTCAAAAACTCAATCAATTCATTTTTGTAAATATTAACTTAATTTGATACATTGAATTAACAATCGATTAATTGGTCAAGGGTGTCAAGGAAACCCCTTGCGTTGTTACCCTCGTTGCGAAGGAAATGGAAGTGGAGAATATTCTCTTTGGAGAAACCATTGTTTTAAGTTCACTTCTCATTTTTAATTTGGGTTTTATTTCTTTTGGTGTTAATTTTTAGTTTTTTTGGTGTTTAATTGTGTTTCGGAAAGACATCATCTTGTGTTCTGGGAACACTCTTGTATTCTGGGAATACATTGTCTTTGTAAGACTTATTATAGTCGAGATTTGGAACCGAGTTCCAACAACAACTTTAAGTCAAGACTTTTGTGTTCTTCTTTTGTATTCTGAGAATACATTTCGTTATTACATTGGGTAATTTTATGATCAATTTGAACCGAGTTCAAACTGTTAAGAGAAAAGAAAAATGGATTTTGATGATGATGATGATGTTCAATGGATTCCAAATGATTATGCTGTACCTGGACCCTCAGGATTGCAGGAAATCATCTTTGATTCACAACTCTCTGATGCTGATGGACAACCATTACCGGTGGGAACTGTGATTGGCAGGTATACGATGATTGGACCTGGAGGTCGACCTGTACCAATAGCACCCTTAAACGACGCTGTTCAAGTCAATGATAGTTCAGAGGAAGAAAATTTTTACGCCATCGATCAAAGTCAGATAGTGAATGCGGAAAGTGCTGAAGAATATTTTTGTCAAATGTGTTATCAGCTTTGCATTGATCCTGTGATCCATGGAACGTCTCCGCAACCCGGTTGCGCTGGAATCTATTGTCGAAAGTGTGTTGAGTCTTACATTCGGACTGCTAATCAACCGAACGTTGAGCACAGACCTAAATGTCCGCTCAGATGTAGTGAAGAACTTTTGACTACTCCAGGAGCAATCGTCCCGTTACCAATGGACGCTCCAGATGGTAAGAAATGTATGCGGATAATGAATAAGCTTCAGATCAAGTGCAAGTTCCCTACATGTGGAATGATTGTATTATACGAAGATTATTCTCGACATATTGAAGGATGTGAACTCTGTGAAACCTGCGAAGTTCCTAAACGTAATCATGATTGTAAAGCTTATATCAAGGAATTGAAAGAGAAAGCTCGATCTGCTCAAAGTCAACTCGAAGAGCGATCAGTCAGGGTAATCGACCTGATGATGGAAAATGAGACTCTACAAGCTGAAGTTGAAAGATTGAGAAATGTGACTCGGCCGCAAGGAATGATGAATAATATAAGGGTTCGTGGTGAGTACCGAACTGCACCAACCGTAATTGTTCGATATGGAGATCGAGCTGAGAGATTTGCTAATTTGGATCCTACAATGCGAGCTACCGAACTTCGATCCCGGATCGAACGCACCTTTGGTACTGAACTAGGTTCAATAATTAGAGTCGATTATACAGTCCTTGGCAGTCACCAGACTTTGCGCCAACATCAAGTTGGGCATCGTCCAAGTTTTTGGATAGCTTTACCTTCTGGTCAAAGATTGACGGATGGACAAACCATGGAAGTTTCACTTGGTTCACTCGGCCCCACGGTTTAATTTGAGTACGGGGGAATGTTGTAAGATTTAAGATTCGCGCTTATTGAGGATGGCAACCCGGTTGCCATCAATAGCTGTTGCTACTGGAAATACTCGGTATTTCCTTATTCTAAAAAGTATTTCCTTTAAATGTATTTCCTTTATAATTTGTATAAATAGTGAATCTAAATTGTAATTAATTAAGCTTCTGTGATTGCTGACCTTTGGTTAAGTAAAAGATATTTTGTGATTAATCAAGTGTGTCTAAAAGCTTCATTAGGTTCCGAGAACCTTCTCATCGGTTAAGAGTATTCCGGGAATACTCAGTGTTCCAACTTGGTTGGAAGATTCTATTGTTGAATCATTGTGTTTCAATAGTCTTGGACTATTAGTGTAATTGTTATACTTGTGAGTTATTGTTATAGCTACTTAAGGTCACAGAAATAGTTCGGTTTAACTGAAAATCGAACTGATCTGTTTTACAAGAAACATAAAGTTATATTTTTCAATGTAAGTTCATTTTCTGGTTGATTATAAAAAGTTACGTCAGGAAAATGAGTGTCATGAAAAAATATGCTTTAATAAATGTACAAAAAGCGATCGAAGTTTCAACTTTGTCCTTGATTTTCTCGAAAAGTATTCATCAGATAAATTATTTAATAGCACCAATAGACACAGTTTTTATGTCCCTACAAACCCACCAAGTATCAACTATTTACTAAAATTTTCGAGCCTTTTGCAGTACTTTTTGCATTCCCTTTGCAAGTTTAACCAGAAAGCTGGTTCATTTACCAAGAAATGGGTTGAGATGAGTTTGTTTTGTTAAATAAGTTGTTGTATGTACATTTACAACCCGAATATCATGAACCAAATGCGTTAATGAAAAGTTATTAAATTGCATCAAATTACTAATTAGTGCGGGATCAAATTGATGAAAAAATGATGATCGTAGAAGATGCCATTCGCGAAATATCGAGCCTCAAAGTTTTAACGACAATGCCCAAAATAAAGAAAACTGTTGTTAAATTGAAAAAAGTATTTAGTCCATGATGTTAACCAACAGTTTTTACAGGCAAATAACAAGTTTCATGAAAAAATCTGCTTCCATAGTCGCATAAAAAGCGATCGAAGTTTTAACTCTGAACTCGATTTTCTCGCAAACTATTGACCAAAGATACTTTTTAATTTCACAGATGGATTCAGTTTCTATTTCCTTACAAACCTAAAGAGTTTAAACCCGAAAGAAATTTGTTTTTGCCCGTTTTTGTCCATTTGTTTTTCAGTGTTTGTGTCAGTTTGTGCATAAATGTAACAACTGTGTTGCTTGTGTTATAAACATAACTTGAGGCATTGGCATAACATTAATATAAATCGTTTGTTTCAGTTTTAGTGAAAGTACGATTCTCGAAGAAACTGGTTCGCCCGATTTCGTGTATTTAATTCAAGAATGTGATGATATTTTATTGTATAAAGTAATTGATAAAGTCGATGTAGACTTTTGTTGTGACTTTTCAACTAACGGACAATGTGATTATCACTGTGACCGAATTTATTCCAAAGAGTTTGGCTGGTTTAGATGTTTTAGTGAAGAGACTCGCAACTTACTGGAAGCTAAATCATGTATTGGCTGTTATTTGCAAGAAAAGAAGCGAAAAAAGACTGAAATTCAACTGTATGGTCACTACATGGACACAGACAGTCGATCTTATTTTACAGAAGTAAAAATAGGCCGCAAAACCTTTAAAGAAAATACATTTGCACTAATTTATCCCGAATCTGTAAATTTACCTGACATTCTGAGCAAACAAAGTGAACTCAGTGAAAACAATGAGCAAACCTACGACGAGTCTCTTTATCCCGAACGCTATCGGAAAAGATTTACTGAATTTACCAAAGGATCATTGAATGATGCTAATAAAACTTATTCAATTGTGAAAATAAAGAAAATATTCCGCAATATTTTTGATACCGATGATGATTGTCAGCTTGAAGTGCAGCTATTATATCGACCACACAATTGTCTTGAAACATTCGATCTACTTTTAGAGGTTCCACTCGATGAAGTTTATCTAACTAAAGATGAACGAGTGATCAACTGTACAGCACTTAGAGAACCTTGTAAAGTCTATTATCTGAACAATCCTCAATCTCGACCCGACCATAAGTTGCTTCCTAATCGTTATTTCATGACTTATTGCTTCAACCATTACACTAAAAAGTTCACCCAAATTGAACCCAACGACACATTAGAGTTTCCTCCATCAGAGTCATCGTCCAACACTCATTCACCATTGAAAACACTGGACTTATTTTCTGGATGTGGTGGGTTGGCCGCTGGTTTTAAAGAAAGTAGAGTCTCTGAGACATTATGGGCCATTGAAAAGGAACCCTCAGCAGCCAAATCATTTAGCTTTAATTTTCCATCGGCAATTGTTTACAATGAAGATGCCAATCACATGTTGAAAAGGCTACTTGAGGGTGAACAATTTACATCCTCAAACCAACCTTTACCTCAAAAGGGTGAGGTTGAAATGATACTTGGTGGACCTCCATGTCAAGGATTCAGTGGAATGAATAGATTTTCAAATAGACTTTATTCAGTGTTTAAAAATTCACTCTTGGTAACCTTCCTAAGCTATGTTGACTATTACCGACCCAAAGTGGTAATCTTTGAAAATGTCCGCAATTTTGTTCAATTTGAAAAATGCAAGATTCTCAAGCTAACCTTGTCATGTTTGTTAACAATGAATTATCAGGTAAATTATGGCATACTCCAAGCTGGATCCTTTGGAGTGCCTCAATCTCGTCGTCGTACATTTATCATAGCGACTGATCAGACAATCAAGCTTCCAAAGCTTCCAAAGCCTTTACATTGTTTCTCAAACAGAGCTTGTCAGCTTGATATTGTGATTGGCAACAAACGTTCAAAGTCAATTTACCATGCAAATAAATATGGATATTTCCGATCTTATACAGTAGCTGATGCTATAAATGATTTACCAGATACTGTTGGTTATGCCTTGGATTATGCTTGTTCCTATGGTCCTGTTAAAACATTTTACCAAAAGTTGATGCGAGCAAATGATTTTGATGATGGTCAGGTAGGCCTGCATGTTGTTCCTGCGATGAGCTTACTTAATCAAACTCGCATCGAGAGGATTCCTTGTATTCCTGGAGCTGATTGGAGAGATTTACCCAATATTAAATTGACATTATCTGATGGAACTGTCGTCGAGAAACTGGAATATCTTTATGATGATGTAAAAAATGGTAAATCTTCCAATGGTTCACTTCGTGGAGTTTGTAGCTGTGCTTCTGGAGAAACCTGTTCAAAGCAAATCTCGCGACCAGAAAATACTTTGATACCTTGGGGTTTGGTTCATACAGCCAATCGTAATTACCAATGGTCAGGACTGTTTGGTCGGCTTCAATGGGACGGATTTTTTATTACAACCATTACTAAAACAGTTCCTAGTAGCAAACAAGGAAGTGTCCTTCATCCATCTGCTAATAGAGTCCTTTCAATCAGAGAATCTGCTCGATCTCAAGGTTTTCCAGATAAATATCATTTCTTTGGTTCCATGGCTGAAATTAAGGTTCAAGTTAGTTGCCTTTCATTCAATTCACTCCTTTATCATCCAGTTTTCAATATTTTATCAATGATTAGCTAATTTTAACTCCAAAATATTTTATTTTATTGGTCTTTCAGATTGGAAACGCAGTACCGATCCCATTGGCCCGCACCATTGGATTACAAGTTTTAAAATCACTTTCCAATCATAACACAAATCCAGGCCTTTAGTGTCCAATTTAGGTGGAAGGGAAATTCAACTCTTTGGATTTATTATTAATATCACAACATGCTTCAACATGTCTTCATCAAATATAATAATCAAGCTTCTGATAATTTGTTCATTTATTTCATCTTATTTGAGAATGATACATTTCATATGATTAATGTAAGATACAACAATAAAATTAACTTGATTGGATTGTTGATTAGGTACGATGAAGCATTACAAAGCGCCCAACGACAAGCCTTAGCACAACCTCTCGTGAAATATCTCTCGGCCAATTGTGAGCTAAATAAGGCTAAATCATATCTTAGACTAATCCTTTCCATGTTACAAGAAGATCTAATCGTTTCAGTACAACCTCGGATTAAAATGTCGGTTCCATCGTCTGTAATCAGTAAATTCAAATTAATTATTTGATCAATTAGTATAACAAAAATTTTAACCATTCATTTGCTTTTCAAACAAAAATTATTAACATGGCATAATGGCAACAAGTTGATGAATTCAAGTCTTTGAAGCAAATCGAGAGAAAAATGTTTACAATTTCAAATTGATTCATTATTATCAAGTATATAATGACTGTTAATTGTTTTATTTGGTGACAACTCAGTCTGTTATTTACATTGTAAAATATCATAAAAGGTTGTCACTTGGTTTTATTGTATATTTTATTGCTTGAAAATGATTTCTCCTGATATTAATCTACCGGTCATTATAATTGCTCTCAATTTACCAACCATACTTGAAATCATTTTTTAGGAAAATCAATATTATCGATCTTATGCAAGTAATTGATATAACTCACCTAAAAATCCCCAGATTTTGGTACAAAATCGACCTTCACAGTAACCCAAATCAGCAAGTGCACCATTTCTTGGAGCATCGATACAACTCTGGGAACGGTTGGTAGTTGAACTTATACATGAATAGCAAGGTACACCGTAAACTGTAAAAAGGCCAAATTAATATCAATTATTGACTGAGAAGATTAAACAAGAAATAATGAAATAATTGTTTTATTACTTGTAAAATGCTGATTGATTAAAATGGTTTACCAACCTGTTTGAAATGATGAGATTGATAACAAAAAAACTGACAATCCAAGAGTCGATTTCGTGTTAATAATTAAACTGATCAACATATTCGGTGAAGCGCATTTCATTCAGCCTCAACCTTTTAATCTTGGTTAAAACTGATGAATAAACAATGAAGCTCAGTGTGGACATTTGTTTATCAATTGATTAGAGTTGGTTTGATTTTGTTTTACTAATTTGGTTACCATAACAGTTGAGAGGTTAGTTGCCCATTATAATAAAGCTGGCTGGCGATATAAGTCGATATAAGGCTCGCTGTAAGGTTATGCTAATTATTAATCGTAGATTAGCTTCTTAACCGATCAGCAAAAGGTTATGTTAATAACATTAAACTTGTAAATTACATCCCAGTAAATATAATATAATTGTGTTCATTTATTTGCGATTGTGTCTCGAAGGGATGTAAAATAACATGTAAATAAAGCTTCTGATATGATGTCGTATAAAATGGCCACAAACAATCGGTTAATTGAGGGGTGATAGGTAACCTTGAGATGAACAACAGGTTAATTGTGATATTTATGATAACACCTTTTGGGAACAATGGACTAATTGTTAGTAAATAGATGTTGAACCAAAGCCATCTGTGTGATTATAATCTAGGTAGTAATAGTCACAAAAATATATGAAAAATGACATGAATGAATGAACATTTATGAAATTGTGGGCTTCATCTAAGATTTCTTACAACCGAAGACAATCAAGTCACATTATTATTAAAACCAACCCAAAAAAACACCATTACATGATGTAATCAGCAATAATTTTTTCAATAATTTCCTCAGCTGATTGATGGTGGTGACAAACCACAGAAAATTGAAGTCTTCCAATTGTTCACCAATAATTCACAAACGAAGTTAATGTAGCAGAAATCCTGGTTTCACAGATAATTTAAGGGTTTCCACAGATTTGAAAAGGTATAAATCACAAATTGGAATGGATATAAGCACGTATTAACATGGAATTAATTGAATACTAAATAAGACACAGTTGTAGTTGACAAAAACAAAATTGCATGTTAATCTATGGCAATAAGATACAAGTAAATATGAGAAACGTTAATGGTACAGTAGGCAATTCTGTTTATTGGGTTATTTTACAGGAAACGTTAATCCTCGCAGGACTGATTGTTCATCTTACAATCAATTTAACATAAAACTATTAATTATACAACTCTGAAATGTAGCTAATTATTATGCCTTTGTTTTCATTTATTACAATTTCATCAACGGTAGAGCGCGTTGTTGCTGTTCCCTCCATAACAATCTTTTCATTATTATCATCATCAAACCCTTTTCTCTCTCTTTTTTCTCTGGGTATTTAAACTCAGATACAATGGATAAATATCAAAATTGATTCCTATCTGAGCTCAATTAGTTAAACTTTATTGCGACTCCACTTCTTACTTGTGATTAATCACTTGTGTGACATCAAATACATCAATCAAATTTCTTTCCCTTTGTGACAAGTTTGTTAAAAAAAGAGTTTAGCTTTTTCCCTTTGTTATTGTTTTTCTAGACTCTTTCTCTCTGGTTCACTTTGTTTCTCAAACCAACACATCTGAATTCAACATGAAATTTCTTGGTCTTATTAATTTAATTGTTTTCTCGTTATTGTCAACCATTTTGGTCATCAATGGAGTAACCGGTTTTCGCCTAAGACGAGCATTGTTTGATCCAGTAATGAACAATCCAGCCTCTACGACTAATCTTGGTCAATCTTCATTTCCCTGGTTTGGTCCTTCTCTATCTCAACAAAGCTTTCCATTCCCCAATTTTCCCAGTGCCGACCAGATAAGGAGACAAGTCCAAAGCTACATTTCGGGTAATTACATTGATTAGTAGTCTTTTTAATCAGTGACATTTAGTTAACCAACTCAATTCTAGCATATTATCTTATTCTATATATTTCGTTTAAAATTTGTTGATGTCAACAATTTTATTAATATCCCATTATTATATCTTATTTTACAGCTGTGACACAACACATCAAAGATCAACAAGTACAGAACTCTGTTAATTGTACTCCATCAGAAACCAAGACGGAAATTATCAATATAAATGGCCGTAGATATAATCGCACCGTAACAACTTGTTTAGCCAGTGGATCAGGTTCAGCGGTAAGAAAAATTTCACTGGCTCTTGAAAAAAAAACGATCAGTACTTATAAAATGAACTCTTGAATTGTTTTGTTTATGTTTTCTGGTAACTCTTGCATTTTTGTTTTATCTTTTCAATTGGTTATCCAACTTTACCTGAACAACTTGTTAGATTACAATAGGTAACAAAAACAAAAGTTGCTCAGAGAAGAAACGATTAAACTCTTCAAGAAACAATCTTTCCACCCAAGTTCATTTGCACATTTTATATTTATCTCTCTTTTTCTTCTAATTTCAGGCAAGCGCTATATCATCATCCACAATACCATTGGATAATTAATTCTGATGACGCATCAAATTATATCGGCCTTAATCACATTATGCATGTCCAACATCATATTTTTCTGCTTCATCATTTGTACTCGTTGCCAAACAAGTTATTAATCAATTCAAGTTCAAAAACTTTAAGCCTTTGGTTATGGGTCTTTGGTTTCATGATTTCTTTAAACAACAAATGTATAGTTTTACTTCATATTATTGCAATGGAAAATGGATATTAATTTAGTTATCTAGATCGGATCAACTGGATTTGCCTTTTTTCTCAAAAATCTACAAATTTGGTGTCATTCACACCTATTGCATCTTAAAGACAAGTTAATTACAATGACAAATTGAATATATTTAAAAGCGTTCAACTGTAAACCATAAACAATCCAAGTTAACTCTGCAAAATAAAATACAAAAATTTTGAAATATCAACCCGATGTAGTGATCATTTCAAAACCAGTTGACCAAAGAGTAATATGGTAACAACTCTTTGCAGTTGACCAACTAAAGATCTGGTGATAAAGATAACAAGCAATATCAAGTTAGACTCGAAACCAGTCGAGATAACTGAAGATTCACCAATGAATAGGATTTTTTCATGTACAGCACTAAAACGAATAGACAAGACAAGGTCAATCTTCAATCTCCTGGTCTCATCTCTCTCTGTTTCTCTCTCTCTTTTGGGTTTGTTGCTTAGGAATTTGTTACTAGGTAAAAGTTGTTTTCAAGATTGCCTCAAGGTAAATCAGGTGTATAGCAAAAAATGTTCAAAATACTTGATAAACCAGAGTAGCAAGAATAGTATCAATGTTGAAACTTTTCGTATTGGGCAACAATTGATTACAAACGCTTTCGTTTTTGCTCTCGTATGTTTTATTGATTTTTAGATTGTTAGTTGGATCTCAATAAATTAATTGCATTCAAGTGAAAATTTCTGGATTCACTTTTAACCCCGGAAATGTTAGTGAAAGGACTAGTTAAACAACTTTTGGATACATCAACTTCACCAATAAATGGTAAGTTCACTGTAAATAAACTTGACTTTCAAATCTCTAGGCACTTGTATTTGACTTGTCATGAATCATGATTTACATTATGAATGTCGATGTTTTATCCATACAATAATCAGTCAAATCAAAGGTCTTTCCATGACTGTGCATTATCAAATTTGATAGACATTTATTGAAGTATTATTAATATTGAATCTTTCTTGACTTACTCAACTTTTCAGATAAAAATGTTGAATCTATCAGTGTTATCTTTCTTTATATTTATAACATTCAATGTAAAGATCAGCACTTATGAAGCCAAACAATTAGTAAATGTCAATGACTATCAATTTTGAAATATTTTATAAATATTTTAAACAATCAACTCTTTTCCCAACCTATTAGGTTTGAGTCGGATTGTACTTTCACGATGTAATCAACATGCTTGGGCCTCTGTTCAACCCTCATTAGATACTGAGTTAGCTTCAATTAGAGAGGCTGGTGTTTACAAAACAGAACGAATTATAACGAGTGAACAAAACTCATGGATAAACATTGAAGGTAAACGAGAAAAGGTCCTCAATTTTTGTGCCAACAATTATCTTGGACTTTCGGTGAGTTTGACTAATACAGCATTAATATAAAGATTGATATCATTAGTCAATCAAGGTGAAATTTCCAAAATTTGATAGTTGCATTCCATTGTTCAACTAGAGTCACCCAAGAGTAGTGGAAGCTGGAATCAAAGCTTTAAAAGAGTACGGAGCGGGCTTGAGTTCAGTCAGATTCATCTGTGGAACTCAGAGTATTCATCGAGATTTGGAACGTAAAATAGCTTCATTTCATGGTCGTGAAGATGCCATTTTATATGCTAGCTGTTTTGATGCCAATGCTGGTTTGTTTGAGGTTTTATTGAGTGAACAAGATGCTATCATTTCAGATGAACTGAACCATGCTTCAATCATTGATGGTATACGATTATGTAAAGCTCAAAGGTTCCGGTACAAACATCGTGATATGGCCGATTTACGGAACCATCTTGAATCAGCCAAAGGTGCTCGACGTAAACTTATTGCCACAGATGGTGTCTTTAGTATGGATGGTAATGTTGCTCCATTAGATCAGATTGTTTCCTTGGCCAAAGAGTACGGAGCCATGGTTTTCATCGATGAATGTCATGCCACTGGTTTCTTTGGTTCGACAGGAAGAGGGACTGAGGAATATTTTGGTTTAAATGGTTCCGTTGATATCATAAATTCCACTTTGGGAAAGGCTCTTGGTGGAGCTGCTGGAGGTTATACCACTGGGCCTAAGCAATTGATTGACTTGCTCCGACAGAGAGCTCGACCTTATCTCTTCTCAAATTCAATTCCACCTCCCGTTGTGGCATCAGCTTCCGAAGTATTTGACATGCTTACAGAAAATTCTGATTTACCACAAAAACTAACTTCGTTGACTCAATTATTTCGAGGGCAAATGAAATCAGCAGGATTCACTATTCTTGGCGATGAACATCCAATTTGTCCAGTTTTCTTGGCTGATGCCAAATTAGCATCAGCTTTTGCCGACAGAATGTTAGGTAAGTTGACCAAAAAGCAGACCATTTTAAATAGTAAAACTGTAAAGAGTCGAAAATAATTCAAACCATTAATATCTAACTGATCAATGATAGAAAACAAATTCAGATTGAATCCATTCTTTTATCAAAAAATTATTCTTATTATACTTACGTACAGATAAAGGTATTTACGTGATTGGTTTCAGTTATCCTGTGGTACCCAAAGGAAAAGCCAGAATTAGAGTTCAAATATCGGCATCACACACTGAGGATGATATAAACAAAGCTGTCAATGCTTTCATCGAGACTGGCAAAGAGTTAGGGGCAATTAAATAATTACAAACCTAACTTGGCTACCAATAATCCGAATTACCTAAAGTCAAATTGATGGGAATATTAAAATTTTGAGATGACCTTTCATCTTTGCAAATGTATCTTTCTTGTCCTTCGTTGTTTAGATGTACTTTAATTTGAAGTCGATGAAAAAATCTGTTTTAATAAAAATTTTCATCCTTCAACTTGTTCATCATTATAACGTTTAATTTTTCGTTATCGGTTTCCTTAACCCTTAACGTGATTCCTTGTTCCCTGAAGAGAAAAATATCTGATTCAATTTACTTCCGAAATAAATCCAGTTATTCCACTCCAGGTTAATATCTATGCAAGGCCTGAAACTTAGCAATTAATTTAACTTCATAACCAAAAACACAATTTGTCTGTTATAAAATGAGCACTTTAGTATCTAAATTTAACCAGAGGCAGTCACATGTCATGAAAGTTGAAATTGAAATTAAACAATTTTAAAATCCATGGATATTCTGAAAATTCAGGGTCAATACTCAATAGATGTAAAAAACGAGAAAGTTGAAAGTCTCTAAAGGCTGGTACAATTTAGCTCCACCTTGTCCAGAAAGCTAAATTGTTACCACCTTCAAACTCAAGGGTTAAAACATTAATTTGAAATGAGATACTGATTTGTAATCAAGTTTAATCATTTCCATCTAAACATTTGTGTCTTTACGCATCATTTACACCAGATATTCAACCTGATAATCGGACAATTAATGCTTTTTGAAAACTTGGTGATACAAGATCAATCTTGAAATGAGTAATGGGTTACAGATAGCAGCTTGGAACTTTAATTCATGCCTAATTGTGTATTCATTTTACTTTGATAAACACCAAAGAATCTTGACAAACGCTTCTCCTCATTAGTTACTGTGATTTTTTACCCAATTTTCACGATGGAAGCGAAAGGTTCAACTGTAAATGCCGTTGAATCTAAAAATCTTTACTATGCTTATACCAAAGGTTCATCAAGAGTAACTGCTCTCAACCATTTAACCCTAACGATTCCAAGTGGATGTATTTATTGTTTAATTGGTCCCTCTGGTTGTGGTAAGACAACTTTCCTAAAATCATTAATTGGTCTGATTAAAGTTGAATTTGGTTCAACACTTCTTTACGGTTATCCATTGGGCCATAAACACCTATTAATTCCTGGTAGTGATTTGGGTTACATGCCACAAGAGGTTGCCCTAAATGATGATTTAACCATAGATGAGATGTTGAGGTATTTTGTGCGGTTAAACAAGACCATTTCAACAACTGTGCGAGACAAAAACATTCAACAAAATGCAGAGCCTCCAATCAACGAATCAATTGTTTCTGGTGACAATTTTGACAAACATTTAGATTCTCTATCTCTTCCATGTAAATCAACTTTAATCAGTTCTTTAAGTGGTGGACAGAAGCGTCGAGTTTCCTTCTTGTGTTCCCTTCTCAATAACCCAAAATTGATAATTCTGGATGAGCCAACTGTGGGATGTGATCCATTAGTTATCTGTTCAATGTGGGATTTATTACATAAAATTACAGCCTCTAAACAGTCAACCATTATAATCACAACCCATTATTTAGAAGAGGCTCGTAAAACTGATGTTATCGGGTTCATGAGGAAAGGACAATTGCTTGAACACGGGACACCCGACAATGTGCTTAACCGTCTAAAGGTAAATTCAATTGAGGCTGCTTTCGCCTTTATGTGTCTACAGTACAAAAAAAGTAAACACAAAAATCCCAAGCAATTAAAGTATTCACCTTCTAATTGTCTTCCATCAACATCAAAACAAAAATTTGATCCTCCAAATGATCCTCCATTGAAAGAAGCGAACCCAAATAAAACCCAAAAATTTTCAGTCAATTGGTTTGATCTGGTCATTGCTTCCATTTGTTGCATACAATTGACTTATGCTGTAACAAATAGACTTTGTCTTCGTCTATTTAAGCTTAAAATGGTCCTCTTATCTTCAATTTTAGTGGTTCCTTTTTTGGTTCTCTTGACCAACATAGGAATTGGTGGTACACCAATGGTAACTCTTGGTTTAGTTAATAATGAAATAGACAACCCGAAAGGAAGTGACATTTTTCTGAACAAAATCAGTCCACATTTGGTTCAATTCATTGCTTACAATAATAGTGAAGCTGCTCTTCACGACTCTTTAGTGGGTAAACTTGATGGTTATGTTATGATTTCATCTCATTTCACTTCCAAGCTCATTGATCAATATACTTTTACAGAGCATTTTGATACACTTGCTTCAAGCAATCCTTTACTAACCCACTCTACATCGCCAGTCATTTATCATGGTGACAGCATACGAACAGTTGTAGTCAAGACAATGACAGTAATCCTGGAGTCAGCAATCGATGAGGCCTTGCCATCAATATTTAACGCTTCTGGATTGAATCCCAATCTTGGAAAACGATTTGTGGTCAAAGTTGATCCAATTGCTGAACCAGTGTCACCTGATGATATGTACAATGCTTATAACTTTTGGATGCCAAAATTTCTTATTTTCTGGTCTTTTGTGACAATTGTTATGCTCTCTTCGTTTTCATTTTATCGAGATCGTACCGAATCTCTATTTGAACGCAATCTTTCTGCTGGTTTAACGAAAACCCAATTTATTTTTGGTCACTTTCTATCTTCGATGATTGTCCCTTTGCTCAATAGTTGGCCAGTCCTTTTTATTACCATTCATTTGCTTGGAGCTCCGTGTAAAGGTTCACTGTTTTTGTCTTGGTTAATTTACATGAGTAACGGTGCCACTGCGGTTGCCACTTCATTGGCTTTGGCTGCTGTTGACGTTACAATTGGGTTCATTTATATTTTAATATCTGCTTACATCTTCAGTGGTATAGCTACAGCTGGAATACTTTGGCCTTATCAAGCGTTACCATACTTTGTAAAACCATACATTTCCATATTTCCATTCACTTTCAACATTGACTCCATGATAAGAGTCTTAGCTCACGGAGCTACATGGGAAGATTCAGTAATTAGACGGGGACTCTTGGAAAATTTCATTTACATTTGCTTAGTTTTAACCTTAGTTCGTATTAGATTGCATTAAGATATTACTTAATTATTTGGAAAGGATCCAAACATTTATACAATATATAAAGTGACATCGATTGCGCTAAATTGTGGCTAAACTGAGCGAGTTCCGAGGAAAATTTTGACTTATGAAAGTTATGATTAAAATACATTCACCAAAAATAGCCAGAGCTTTCTTAGGACTCAGGTTTCTGAGAAATGCGTGTAAATGGAGGGGAAAAACGCTGAATCCATATTGCAAACTATTGAGTTTGGGGAAAAATCTGGAATCTCAAAAAAAGGCTGAATATGAATATCATCATGGGACAAAAGCTGGAAATCTTATTTTTTAGATTTCTCATTTTTACGATGGTTTTACCTATGGACTTTACCTTACAGATCAACCATGATCAGAGGATTTGCCTGTTAGTTTAACTTCCAACTCTTTAGCAAAAACTTACAATTCATTCTGAAATCTACACCGAATCAACATGAATTCACTGTATCTATTTAAATTTTTGCTTTATTCATTTATCTAGATATATTTATCGATTTTTTTTATAGATTGACGCAAAAATGAGTTCCCTAGCATTTAAGATTACTGAGTAATCAACGCGCCAAGGACGCCCAGTATAAATCTAATCGTAAAGCTTCTTCGGACAATTTAATTATTTGATAAGAATCATCAACTTCTTCTGATTTTACCAGATCAGTTTTCATCTTGATCTTGATTATTTTGTTAATAATTAGATAAGACCAGCTTAATACTAATAAGTGCCTCCACCGACTTCAGATAATTTTATGTTTTTTTGTTAAAATCACTATGGATAAACATTTTGAACATTTATATGACCAATGAACCACAGATTTTTATATTCAAGCTTTTTGTTCAGTAAACATGATTTACTCAAAATAACTTCTCATTATGATTTATTTCCATTTATTTATCTAACAATATCAAAACTGTCGAAACATTTTCTACCCTAGCTACCACTATTAAAATAAGATTTAGATAACAATCAAGTTTATTACTTATCGACTTATCCAAATAAACTGATGTACTTTTACCTGAAGTGAAATCTTGAGCTTGAGCATACCCTGAATCAACTTTTATTTGTATTGGTGATTATATAAACTTGAAAAACAAAAGGAGAGATGACAATGATTGAAGTAATTACGCACGACCAAGTTGCTTGAAGATCCAATCTTGAGTAGCCTCAAGAGAAATTTTTATTTATCGCTTGAAATTTAAAATCAATAAAAATAACTTTCATTTGATTTAATCAGTGAGCTTCATTTATAATACATGGGAGACGATAGAAAGTGCAAATATTATCTTTTAGAAGTCAAATTAACTTGGAAACCAATTCTGAATAACTCTGTAGAGCCTATGATCTACAAGCTTGATAACGTTTTAGGAATTGATAAATGCCACCAAAAGTAAATAAAGGATGAAAATTGATTATGGCAGCTAAATTGTAACGGCATTTTCACCACCTGATAATATGTTGATTTTAAATGATCCTTGGATGATTTGGGTCAGCAAGGACACATGGATGAATCCATGAGAAATGAAAGTTAATCACAAATTAACCACCGGACAAAAGTACATTTTCATCACAAAAACAACAAAAAACAAAAAACTGTTAACACATTAAACAATTTAAAATACTTGTATTTTCAACAGCAATTGATATACACAATTATAAACAGCAATTAAAGTGGTTTCAATAACCTTCAACTCTTTTAAATGTTTAATTATCTATTAATTTTACAAGCTACTTCAAACATCTCAAGCTAAACATTAATATTATAATTTCAGGTAAACGGTAATTTTTTGTACTCAAGCAAGTTTTTGATAGTATCGATAATCGATAATCGAAAAAAAGCACAAATAATTTTGTTTAATAAAAATTTGTTGTTCTCGTGTTTTTATCTTATGACGGGTATTTAATCAATTTAAGAATATTGATTGCTGGTTAAAGTCATTTTAATTTTGTTCTGTGTTTCCATATCCTCGTAGTTTCAAGTGACAATTTTCAAGAGAAGAGGTTTAACATAATCTTGCTTAAATCTTTTGATTACTCTTCTGTCAATCCTTACATTCCACAGTAACTAAATCTGATTTATTACTTATCTTATTTCAATTTTTGATCCTATTCCCCAATTTTTGATTGTGAAGCCATTTAATCCATTTGGACCACTATGAACATTGGAACCTCTGGCGGTAAGGAATCATCTTATTATTAAATAGCTTGTTTGACTGTTACAAACATTTCATACTGTCTTTTGCCTGCATGACCGTCATTTTAAATTTGATCACTCATTTTTCCTTTTACTTTTCAGATAATCCTACCTTTCTCAAATTCTCTATCACCAATTCTCGTGATGGTAAAACATGGGAGAAACAGTATCCATTGACAATAACCGTGGAAGATCTTAAGATGCGTCTTGAGATGCTTTCAGGTATTGAAATTAACAATATGGCTGTACAATATTATGCAGACAATGAGAACATTGGCACACTAGAGAATGATGAAATGCTAATAGGTAGCATGATGAAACCTTATATTGGCGCTGAGGAGAATCGATTACACATTATTGATGTTCGTGGTAAAAGCGGTGGCACATCTGATGAATTCAGTAATCTTGAGGAAGTTCCAAAGTTTGAAATGCCTGATGATGAATACGCTAAAAGAGACAAATCTTTGAGGCAGTATAAAATGCAAAACAAACTCGGACGATTTTCAGAAGGTACCACTTCAGAAGACGGAAATTCCAATGATGATCATGATTGGACTTTATTAAAAAGTCTTCAAGTTAATGATAAGGTAGAAATCACAATCAAGGGCAAGCCAGTTAAGAAAGGAGTTATCGCCTATTTGGGTAAAATGCATCTCAAACCAGGTCTTTGGGTTGGAGTTATCTACGACCAGCCAGTGGGAAAACATGATGGATGCATTGAAGGTGTGAGATATTTCGAATGTGAACCAGGCTGTGGAGCTTTTGTCCGACCTTCCGACACCAAAGTTATCAATGAATGATCGTTTATCAAGGATTCCATTATTTCGCTATTCAAAATACCAAATTTACTATGCTTGCAACAATCTCAATTTTTGGTATAAAAACAATAATACAATAATGTCTGGAGATGTTATCAATATAATCAAAATATTATCATTAAAAGTTCATTATAAATTGCATCCGAGATTCAAATCTAATCCAAAAATAGCAACATTTTGGATTGATAACAGTTGACATTAATTTTCTCTAATTTATTTTCATAACTGATATGTTGTATTTATTGTTTTAACATCGAGTTTTGATAAAAAAATGAATTCATAATCGCCAAAAAAAATGATCTGAAAAGGAAACAAACCAGTAATCCAATGAATGTAGCATCAATAAATTGTTATTTTGAGCTCTTATAAATTTCAATTATTTACTGTACTGCTCAACATGCTACGATTTCAGCATTGCTGTAAGTCTTGAGGAACATGACAGAAAATGCTCAAGAAAAACGCCTATTGGTAACTAAATAATCTATCAACAGCAATTTGTTTCACCCCTCTCAATAAACCTCTTAATTACCTTAATAGTCACCGAAATAGTTTATCAGATTCAATCGTTTTTCATACCAATGTTATAAAAATACATTAAGAGTAAATTACATTGTAAATAATCAATTCCATCAATAATTTATTCAAAATTTAATCATTATTGGCAAGAAATTTTACTCCTTATGAAGACTGTAAAGTTGTATCATCAATACAATTTGATGTTGATAATATCAACAACAGTTTCAGTTAAAACAGTAAACAAAAATCAGTTTGGTCATAAAATGGGTGAGAAAGGATATTAATTGATTTATATTTCAATCTATCCATGATAGCTTAATTTTCATTGGTTTAAGCTAATCACTTCGTTAGCATCGATAACCATTGAATCAATTATTCGCGCCTCTGTTAATGGTTTATCTTCACCGTCAGTTGCTAATTGTTCAATTGATTTAACAATATCCATTCCTTGCAAAACCTTACCAAATACAATATGTTTACCATTCAACCAATCTGTAACTACAGTGGTTATGAAAAACTGTGATCCATTGGTATCTTTACCTGCATTTGCCATCGATATCAATCCTGCTTCACTGTGATTTAGTCTGAAATTTTCATCATCAAAATATTTACCATAAATTGAAATTGATCCGGATCCATCTTTTTCAGTAATATCACCTCCTTGGATCATGAAATCTGGAATGACTCGATGAAAAGTACTTCCTTTATAGCTCAACCCATTGTAACCCTCTTTACTGGCCAAAGCAGCAAAATTTTTAACAGTCTTTGGAGCAGCATTGCCAAACAAGCCAATGGTTATTAACCCTTTAGGGACTCCATCGATTGTCACATTAAAGATGGCCTTTTTGGTTACCTGAACCTGTAAACTTTTCACTGGCTTGGAAACGAAAACGTAAAATCAAAAACAATTAGAAGCAAATCAAGAAAATATTAAAGTATAAAGCCATTGACAGCAGTAAGATTAGACAATCCGATCTGTCTTTGGGTGATTTTTTGATTTCTGTTAAATTGTGTAACAAGTTAATTACCTTATTATTCTCTGATTGTGATGAGAAATTGATAGCAAAGCAAATTGTAAGAATCAAGTAAATTAACTTAAACATGGTTAAAGAGTGTTGTTTTCTGGTGAAACTGTTGGTGAAGACTGTGGAGAATTGGTTAAGTCAAAATGGCGATGTTTATTTTAATTTAAATTTAGCTATTTTTAGACGTTTTGGTTCTTCTTTCACCCTCCTCAGACATTCTGTGTGAATTCATTTTACCATCTTCATCTTGTTTATCGCCATCGCCAACTTCATCTGTGTGAATGAACCATTAAAACTCTGTCTATAATCATCATTCCGCAGTTATCTTCCAATTTTTTCCTCTTTTTTTGCTAATTTTCAATTTTATGATTTATGGAACCTTGTGATTCTGGTTTCATATAGAAACATGATCTTGACTTTTGATAAACAGTTAAGAAATCAAACTAATTGCTTGTTAAATCAACCAAGAAATGTAATAATTTGCTCTCATTTGATCAAAAACATGCTTCCAGGTAAACTTCAATTCATTGTTCAATTCAATATCTTCAGTTTTACTTTAGTTTCTTGATTCACTCAATTTCCTCGAAAATAATAATCTTAAAGACTTACATTGCTTCTTTGCATTCAAATTGATTTTTGATTTCAACAATTAATGATTTTATTTAGTTTGTTTGTTCATCTCGAGACAGCTTTGAATATTTTAGCTTGATAGCAGATTTGAAATGACATTTTATTGAAAACAGTCAAACTGTTATTCAAAGATGCTAATATCAAAAGTAAATCAGTATTTTAATGTATTTTAAATCAGTAATATTCAGTTGAAAGTTGATGAGGAAGAAAGAAGACTGAATTGGATAATGTTAAAGGTGATTTGTTTAAATCCAAAGCCTGAATCACAGAAAGCATAAAGCAAAACAAAAATAAAAAGATGATGTTAAGATTCAGGTAATGAGTAAATGAAAAAAGCTAGCAAAAAAAGTGACTGAAGACAGCGTGTAGGATGATGATTATGTTGATTATGTTGATGAGTGAAGCCTGATTTGCTCCGATTTCATCGACAAAAACTGGTGTAATCGTCCTTTATATTGTTGACCTTATTCCACCCAAATCTTACGGCCCATCTTCAAGCTTCTTTTCCTTCTTTCTGTCTTCTCTTCTTTCTCTTCCCTCTTCTTACTGATCCCGAACATCATTTGTAAAACGCTAATGTTTCGCTCTACAATCATTTTCATGTGAGCTTCATTGTTGTGCATTTTAATTTTAAACGTTTAAGTTTGCTTCGCATTTATAAATAAATCAATAAGTGAAACATTGTCCAACATTATTCTTTCCCGTTCTTATTTTTTGTTTTCATTTTTGGTTCCTTGGTTAACAAAGATTGATTGTAACGTCTTAAATAGTGATTGCTTTAATTGCAATCACCACTGAATTTAGCCAATATGGTTAAAACCAACAATCAACGTAAATTTGATTTTTGGGCAATTTCTTTGTGTTTCATCGTTACCTGCTATGTAATTCAAATTGTCGCGCTTGTTGATAAAAGTGATGACTTCATTGAATCAGGTAAACAAAAGCTAGTGTGATTTAGTGATTTTGCCAATAAAATTGCTTCTATTAAATCTTAATTTCTATTTATTTTAATATAAATTTGTGCTCTTTTTGTTTAATTGATTTAAGGTTCTGTTGAGGGAATTCCTTGTGTTTCTAATGGTAAATTTTATCGTAATCCTGAGGTAATTGGTATCCGTGATTGTGCCAAATATTACTGGTGTCCTCGAGGAAAGGTTCTTGAGTTTAGATGTTCATCTGGTCTTTGGTTTGACATCGATAGACAAATTTGTGATTTCAAAGCTAAGATAAATGCTCAAAATTGTGAAAAATCTCATGGTAAGTCGATTCACCGTTTTGTCGTTAACTTTCTTTTCATTGACCAACCCAGAAGTCAGAACCCAAACCAACAAAGAGAGTCTTATGATTATGTTGATTCGATTGAAAAGATTGAAGATTTGGATCATCTATCAACTCGATTAAGATTGTGAATATAAACTTGAAATTAGCATGTTGAACTTTTTGCAAACTCATTTCTGTTCGGTCATTGACTCGATTGTTTCACAAAATCAACATTATCTATTCATGAAGTGCGGTTGGTTTCAACATTTTCATCTACAATGTTTTTTTTTGCTGCTAATTGTTTCACTTTTGATTATATTGATTAGATGCATCAACTCCTCGTCCTCTTTTGGCAACTGAAAGTCCAATCTGCCCTGAAGGTCAATTAGCTTGTGCTGATCGGAAATGTCTTAATCGTGATGTCTTCTGTGATGGAACAGTTGATTGTAATGATGGTTCAGATGAATCTTGGTGTGACCCAGAAAATGATCCAAACGCTCCAGGTCGATGTGATCTTAATAATTGTACTTTACCTGATTGTTTCTGTTCTGTTGATGGAACCCAAATTCCAAATAATCTCAAACCCGAGGAAACTCCACAAATGGTTATAATAACCTTTGATGATGCTGTTAACAATGAAAATTGGGAAATTTATCAGACAATATTCACTGCAAACAGAACCAATGCTAATGGTTGCCCAATCAGATCTACCTTTTTCCTCAGTCATGAGTATACAAATTACCGTCATGTCCAAAAGCTCTGGAACGATGGACATGAAATTGCTGTTCATTCAATCACGTAAGTAATCTACTCAGAGTAAAATTAACCAACCATTTTGTTGATTATAACCTTATATTTGTCTATTTTTATGTAAAGTCATCGCCAGCCTGAGCTTTGGTGGACTTTTAATGCTACAATTGAAGATTGGTTTGACGAGTTTGCTGGTATGGCCAATATTATCAACAAATTTGCTGGTATACCATTGGAAGAATTGAGAGGAACTCGGGTTCCTTTCCTCAGAGTTGGTTGGAATACACAGTTGATTATGATGAAAGAATTTGGTTTTCTTTATGATTCTTCAATGGTTCCTCCTAAATCAGATCCACCAATTTGGCCTTATACATTTGACTTTAGGATTCCTCACAAATGTGCAGGTTCATTACAAAAATGTCCATCCCGGTCTTTCCCAGGAATGTGGGAGATGGCAATGAATCCATTGGATATTGAGGTAAATTATACTCCATTAGTATATAAATAACATTCAACCATTTACATCTCATGATAATCAATCCACCAACATGAAAAACAAAGTACAATAATCAAGAGATAACCCAACAATAGCAATGAACCGCTTACTTAATACAATAAACAAGTTTAACCTAAAAAAGTGGAATGAAAAGAAACAATCAATTTGATCATTAGTGTTTAACAATACAACATTATGAATAATTAAGCAAACAATTATAATTGTTTAGTTACCCTTTTAGTGATGTTAGCTCTAAAAAAAGATGTTGAACAGCAAAAAAACAATACCAACCCAATTGATTATTATGCTGATCTATTTTGGCTTGTCTTGATTTTTTCTTGTGAACTGTTTTCTCATTTTTGTTTCTTTGCTTTTTTTTTATTTAATTGTTCTTTTTGTTATCAAATTAACAATTGTAATAGGGTCATACTTGTGCCATGGTTGATTCCTGTCCAACCCATCTTTCAGAGGAAGAAGTATTCACTCTGTTCCTTGATAACTTCAACCGCCATTACAAAACAAATAGAGCGCCATTTGGTCTATTCTTCCACACAACATGGTTTAAGGATAAGAAAAACTTCAAGGTATTCCTGCAATTTATCGATGAATTGATCAAGAAACCAGATGTTTACATTGTTACCAATTATCAAGCCATTGAATGGATGCGAACTCCAACACCATTAAGCCAACTGAACAACTTTGAACCCTGGAAGTGTCAAAAAAATATTGACCCTAACCTAATTGCTTGTAATCATCCTAAATTGTGTAAATTGCACAGTAGACATTTGAGAGGTGAAAGATATTTACAGACTTGCTTTGAATGTCCAGAGGTTTATCCTTGGGTTAAGAATGAGTTTGGCCTAGAATTCAAGTAATCTCACTTTTGACCAAATAATTTTTCTTTTTTTTGTGACCAAAATACTCGTAATATGTTTTAATTAATTTCAAATAATGAAAAAATCATTTAATTTAGCTTATTATTCAAAATTAACTGCATTGTAATCACCAACAAGACAATTTTCTTGTAAAATTTTCTCATCTTGGTGCAGCCAATAACTAAAATCAATGATGATAGTTGCTACAAGCAGTTCAATGAATACGTAACTAATCAATTACTGATAAATATTTTCATATTGATTGATTGACTCGAAAACTAAAAGCTTTTTTAATAAATTAATTTCAAATTTGTTACATCGTTTGCTTATCATTTGATTGATTGATACTCCAAGAATCAAATACAATTCACTGGTTTTAAATATTGGGTTATCCCTGAAAAATGGTAGAAGACTCGACTTCTAGATCAAACGATTCCTTCCTTAAAAACCCTGATAACTGTTCCACAATTATTGATACTAAATTTAAATTAAGGAACAGCTAATAATGTTAATAATGACAATTAATTTGGTATTTCTTCCATGTTGTATAACAAACGTTCAATCTAAAGATTGAGCATCTTTCGAAGCAACTATAAGACATTTTGTAAAATGATTTTTTGAGCTTATAATTTATCAAATTTAACAGATTTGCTGATGAAAATTAATTTTAATGTTCTTAACCATTAAGGTGGTTTTCAATTTCATCAGCTTCATTAAAGATGCAACCAAAAATTCCATGTTTATTGAATAACCAAAAGCTTAATGATTCCCATTCCCTTCAAAGGTAATAATTTAACAACAAAATATCTATTTTGTGTGAACAATCCAGATGTAAATCGGTACGGTTGAGATGCTAGAGGAATAATTGATCAATTATGAAAATTCAGTGATTTTCTCGTACTTAATGATCGAGTACAAAATCTGTCGATTCAAGGTTAATCAATTTCCAGGGAATTTCCAGATTTGCATGATTTTGTTCTTCTTTTTCTATTTTGATCATTTGCAAGTTAAATTCAACCAAAAGTAAAGTTAGGAGTTGATTTGATTTGGATAAAACAAAATCATGTGGAAATATGAGATGAAAAAGGAAGAATGAGAAACAAATAAATGATCATTTAACCCACTATTGGAATATTTTCATGATAAAAAATGAAAAGTTTACGAGTTTAATCAATGATAAACCAACTTGATTTGAGTTGTTTAACTCGTTACAACTTGAGTAAACCCTAGAGCTGTTTACTTTATCAGTTAACCTAACTTCATCATTTGCTTCCCGTTAACGTCTTGTTTACCTGTGATCATTGATGGATAACCTTGATTGCTGCGATCCAATGAATCTCAATTCAAAACAATAAAAAGAATAATTAACACAGAAAAAAGCTGATTAAGGATTGACAGGTTAATAATAATGGACTCTTGTCAATTCATGTGTTACTAGAAATTTTCAGAACAGATTTACATTTCAATATTGATTACTTTAAATTTGCTTCAACTTGATGTTGTATTACTCGGAATTAACTGTTCAAAGGTTAGCCTTTTAAGTGACCATCAAAATGTCCACTGATCAATCAAGTGTTGTAAACAACAACAACGGTGAAGATGTTTTGAATTGTGTTGAATTTGCTGCAATAAAAGCCAATTCATTGAAGTTGGATTTAACTTCATTTGGTGAATCTAATCAAGTCTTTAAATGTTTACAATTGACTGTTCCAAGTGGATCAATATTTGGACTTATCGGTCCTTCAGGATGCGGCAAGACAACCTTTTTCCGAACCATTTTGGGTCGCTATAAAATTACCTCGGGAAGCCTTCAAGTTCTCGGTGTTAACCTGACTAAACACGGGTTACATCAATTTGGACCCGAGATTGGTTACATGCCACAAGATATTGCACTTGATCAAGACTTGACTGTCCAAGAAACACTCTACTTTTACGGTTCATTAAATAAGCTTACAGCGAAAGTGATCTCACATCGGTCTCACCAGTTAACTGCCATTTTGGGCTTTGACAACTTTTCACGGTTGGTAAGTCATCTTTCAATTGGACAACAACGCCGTCTTTCCCTGGCCTGTGCTCTTCTCCATCAACCCAAATTGGCTCTTCTGGATGAACCCACAGTCGGCTCGGATCCATTGTTGGTCAACAAAATTTGGGATTATTTGAAAAGTGCTCAAAGAGAATGGAAAATGACTGTTGTCGTCTCGACTCATTACCTTGAAGAGGTTAGGCGAGCTGATCAGTTTGCTTTTCTCGCTCAAGGTTTTGTCCTATTCGAAGACAGTCCCCACCAATTTATCGTTAAATCGGGTTCTTTCAACTTGGAGGCTGCCATTTCATGCAGATACAAGAAAGAAATGGACAACAAAATGAAAGTATTAACCTGTCAACCAGTTTTACCAGAAGAGAAGTCGATTAAACCAGTAAACCTAAAAATTAAATGTAACCAAACATTTTTCCATGTTTACATTTGGCTTTTATGGCGCTACTATCATCGATGGATGAAACACATGGTCTATCGATTGATTGGAGTTGGTCTGGTTCATGCAATGATAATAACCTTTTGTGGTTTACTTTACGGTCATTTCCCAAAAGATTTGTCCATTGGTATAGTTAACCGTGACAATGGTTCGTTTGCAATTAGATACATTGATTTATTGCGAGAAAACCCAAACCATTGGTCCTTTCCATTGTATCAAGATGAAAGGTCAGCTCATCATGACATCGAAGTAGGAAAATTGCAGGGTTACCTTACGATTGGACCAGCCTTTACAAACAACTTCAATCAACTGGCCTCGCTGGGTTTAAGTGAATACATTGATGAGACACTTTTACATAGCGGTCTCATCACATTGACTCAAGATACAGTGAATCGACTTAAGGCTGATTCAGTTGAGCTGACAACTTACATTTTCCTTCACAATTTGATCAAAGAATCAGTGTCATCTGAATTTTCCGATGCATCTTCATATTCATCAGACGATTACCTCAATAGACTTCAATATGTAAAGATGGAACCATTATTTCAAACAAATGGTAGATTACATGATCTTGCACCGACAAACATTGTCATTGTCAAATTTTTCTTTCAACTTGTTGAAACTGTTACCGTTGGTATGATTGTGCTTTGGGTAACTCGAGAGTTTCATGAGCCAACAGTTGAAAGGCTGTTTGCTTCAGGTGTAACTCGACTTGAACTAGCTTGTGCTTTGGTAACAATCACAGTTTTATTTTTATCACCCATTCTATTCATGTCATGTGTAATCCTTACTTGGACTACTGGATTCCCTGTCAGTGGAGCTTGGCTTTTTGTTGCCTTAGTCGTTCCAGCCATAATCATTGCTGGCTGTACAAAAGCCATTTGGATTGGATCCATGATACCGTCAAGTACTTTTGCAATTCTCGTCACTACTTCTTATGGATTCATTGGCATATTTATTGGCTCCATTTTCTGGCCTCTAGAAAGCTTACCTTACTTTATGATTCCATTGAGAAACATTTATCCATACACGGAATCTGGCTTATCTGCTGTTAGAGCCATGATTTATGGTGATGCTTTGTTAACACCTCAAGTTTATTCTGGTGTCTTGTATGCTTGGGCACAAGCCTTTATAACCACTTTATTTATCGTTTCGTGGTTTTCATTTTCGAAGCATGTTCATTCCTAGTCTATAAGTACTTATCTTTTTTCATTTCAATGTTTCCTTCTCTTTCTATCGAAAAGAAGATCAACAAAATCAATAAAAATTAATAAAATGCGTTCACAGTCATATTAAGTCGATTATTGTGATATAAAATAAAATTTAGAAGGTTTATTGGTTTTTCAGAACTACTAATACATGCTAATAATGATAATATGATCATTCTTTGCTAATTAACAATTCAATGCAATTTGTTAGCTTTCCATTAGCACGATGTCCATGATTTTTGGGCTGTAAATGGACAAGCAACAACTTGTTCAACAAAACAAACTCATCTCAACCCATTTCTTGGTAAATAAACCAATTTTCTGGTTTACCTTACAAATGTAATACAAAAAGTACTGTTAAAGCTCGAACATTTAATGTTAAGAGTTGAGACTTGGTGGATTTGTAGATACAAAGAAACAGAATCCATTTGTGCTAATAAAATATTTCTCAGATCGTCAGTTTTTGAGAAAATCGAGTCCAAAGTTGAAACTTCGATCGCTTTTTGTACCTTTTTGAAAGCATATTTTAACATTAAACTCATTTTCCTGGCGTATATTTTAATGATCTACCAGAAAGTGGACTTATTTTGAGAAATATAACTTTCTGTTTGCTGTAAAACAGATCAGTTCGATTTTCAGTTAAAACGGTTCCTTCTTGTGACCGGGCGAGTTAGAGAACTGAAACTTATTATTTGTCCATTAGAAATGGTTGAGTCAAATCATGGCTTGAATAGTTTTTTCGTTCGAGCAATAGTTCGCTTGATTTCGGACATTGACCTAAAAACTTTGAGCATCAATATTTCGAGAATAGTTGAACGGACAATCACCATTCTTTGGCCAATGACTAGATTTTAGTATGAGTAATGATATATTGAAATATCAGATAAAACAAAAAAGTTGTAGCATTTTTATTACTTATGCTGTCAGACTTGTTACCTAATTTATTAAGTTGAATAGTGAATCGAACACAAATCTTATGATGTGTTAGTTAATGAACAAGTTCAGACTTTCTTAGGTATTGAATCATATAATGTTATAGTCCATAACGAAATCTAATGTTTGGACAAAGAATGATGATTGTCTGTGCAACCATTCTCGAAAAATCGATGTTCAAAGTTTTACGGCCAAAGGCCAAAATCAAGGGAACTGTCAGTAAATCGAAAAAAGTATTCAAGCCATGATTTGAACCAACAATTGCCCTGAACAAATAATAAGTTTCAGCTCGTTGACTCTTATGGTCACAGGAAGAGTTCGTTTAAACTGAAAATCGAACTAATCTGTTTTACAAGAAAAACAAAGTTATATTTCTCAAAATAAGTTCACTTTCTGGTAGATCATTAAAATTTACGCTAGGAAAATGAGTTTCATGTTAAAATATGCTTTCATAAAGGTACAAAAAGCGATCGAAGTTTCAACTTTGGACTCGATTTTATCGAAAACTGACAATCGGAGAAATATTTTATCAGCACAAATGGATTCAGTTTCTATGGCCTTACAAACCTACAGAGTTTAAACTTGAAAGAAATTTGTTTTTCCTCGTTTTTGTCCATTTGTTTTTCAGTACTTGTATCAATTTGTGCATAAATGCAACAATTGTGTTGCTTGTGTCTTTTTAGTAACAAGTTGTGATGTATTTACCAAAGGAAATCGATGTGAGCAAATTTCTGTCCATTATAGTCCCATTCATCGTCCTGTGTTCATTTTTACTTATTTTATTATCAATACAAGACTAACTATTTGTAAGTTTTTATGTCTCTACAAATCCACAAAGTTACAGCTCTATGTTCAAGTACTTCTTTGGATTGAACCAACTTTACATCATATTTAGAATGCCAACTCTGAAAGAAAAGATTTGTTAATTCTCTTGTTTTCATTGCACAGGAAACATTTTCATGATTAAACCATTTTATTAATTCACTTCTCAATAACAAATAGTTAATAAATATCATTGTATTGCTAATTTTTAGCTGCATTCACAATGCTCTATTAATAATAATCAATTGCTGAGACTTGACAAAATCAGTTGAAAAGCTTTACTTCCTTTCATTTTTACCAGTTTTCAGCCTTTTAATAAATCTTAATATTTTTGCGATCACCTTAAAAAGCATTCCATTTTTCACCAAGAATCGGAAATATATTATTAACTGTTTCAATTTTTATCCGTTTGTCACTTTCATGCTTTTGTTTTCACTTTGGATAATAGTAAACGCACCTAAGCGATTCCGTCCTTACACAATCTAAAGTTTTACTTTCGCTCTGTTGTGTCGCCTATTGGTGTCACTTGAAAAGTCTTACGATAGAGCAAGTTATCAGTTGAGATTGAAATATTTCGCATAAGACAATTACAAGCATTTTGTTACAACAATGAATCTAGATATGGTTTGGAGTTTAATTTAAAGTCACTGAAGCGCCGAGTTTACTTTCAAAGAAATTCTGATTGAGGAAGGAAGAAGTGAGGTAAAGGAGGAGACAAAGAGAGAGGAGAGAGTTGGAAGATAATGATGAATATCGCTTGGCACCAGGTCACATTATGTAAAAGTTATTTGATCGCCGGAAAATTTACTGTTCATCAGATTGAAGTAAACCAAAACACAATTGAGTTTTGTTTTTTTCTGTTTTCAGCCACACAATTGGTAACAATTAGCTTTTTGATGATACATTTTAAAATTGCTAATTCTGTTTAAATCGTCTAATTGAAATGATAATTGGCTTCCGAATGAAATCTAAAAATAATTTGCTTTGAATTATATGGAAAGGGTTGGACAGAGGTGACAAATTGAGGGAGATTCACAACTTGATCAACTTTCGCTTCTTTATTGTGTTAACATCTTTTCGGCTGTTCAACAGAAATCTTTAAACGTTTAATTTTGTTCACATTTAGTTAATCATGTCTAGTGATATGTTCATCATAAGTTTACTTATTGCTGTTCAAATTTTCGCAGCTGTTACATTTTCACAATATTTGACGGTTGATTCAAGTACAACTTTACCGCTACTGCAAAAGGGAACCCAATCGGTGAATGAAATTGAGTTGAATGCTGAAGAGACTTTCCGTCATCCTGCTTTCCTTATCCATGGAAATCCAATTTTGGGATATTTTCACAGAAGCCCAGGACACAGAGCAATGGCTCGACTTCCAACTGGAACTTATCTTACTTATAGTCCTCCTTTGAGTCCAATTTTAAGACCTGTGCCTGGACATTTGTCCCGTAGTCCTGATGCACCTTCGCCTGTCTCAGAGTTACCAAGTTCATGGAGTCCTCTGGTTGCAAATGGAGATAAGTCAACCTCTAATGAAGTTGGATTTGATGAAAACAAAAGTGAAGAGTCGCGATCAGATGCTTCGCCTGCTAGACCATCGGTGGAAGCTTCACCTCCGCCACAGTTTTTGTATCCTCAACGACCAATGTTGCCTTATCGTCATCCAGGTTACATTTCTCACTCTGGAATACCAACTCGTGGTTTCGGCACTATTGCTGGGAATGTTAACAGTGAACCAGTGCCCAAGGAAATTAAAGAAACTATAAGGTCTGTCGAGACGAGTGATGAGGTGAAATCTTCTGAAGCATTGGCGAAGGCAAACTTTATTCAGACAAATTGGATTGCACTGATTACTTCAATTATTTTACTAGCATTGGCAGCTCTTGGAGTTGTTGGTTATTTTGTTTGGAAAGGAAGAATCGGTGACACTTCAATTCCACCTCCACCAGTCCCAAGACAGTCTTCATGAATAGATGGTGGAGTTACTTTGGTTGCAGTTAGATACAGATATTATGAATAAGGATGATGTAAAAACCTAGTCAAGGAAGAGATTTAAAATGATCGCGGTTTGGAAAGGAATCAAAAACTCGAGAACTTCCTAATTATATCCTTAATTGTTTGTTGGGGCTTGATTGCGAAGTTTAAACCATCTTTTGCAGTAACAAGTTTTTTGACGATTCGAGTATGAGAAGATTGAAAAGAAGATACGGCCTCTGAATATCTCAGCTCGTAACAGGTCAACAACAAATGATAAAACGAATGGTAAATAAACAAATGATGGAAAAATCTTAATCATTCAACTTTCATCTCAACCAATTTGGACTATTGATTTGAAATAGATATTTTGTTGTAAATTATTAATTTGGTTTGAAGTTATTGAAGGGAATCGGAATGATTGGACTTCATACTTTTAGTTTTTCAAAAGCAAAATGAACTTTTGCATCTTTTGTCAAGCTGACGAAATTAAAAATCAACTTAATGAATAAGAAGCCTAAAATTTGCTCAGCAAATCCGTCAAATTTTATACAAATTGTGAACTGTAAGCTCAAAAAATCATATCCAAAATATCTTAAAGTTACTCCAAAATATGCTAAACCTTACATTAAATTGAATTTTTATTTACAATAAGAAATAAGAAATATTTGAATAAGAAATATTAACAATTTTGTATGATATGCTCATGAAGTTCAAACTGGATGTGAAATCAATTCTATGAATAAATCTGATTGTTTAGGAACAAATATTATAAAAAATTGCCGTTTAATAAACTTTTGATATTTCGTTGAATATTTTTCTCTATTTATGAAATTTTTATATTCAATCGATGAAATCAATGTTTAGCGTCTATAGATCATAAATGCGCGTTTAGTCTAACGATCAAAATAGATTAAAAATAAATTAGATAACAAAAGTACACAGCATTAAAATTTGTTCAAAAGTTATGATTTATTGAGTTTATCATTAACAAGATTCACGGATCATCGGACACTGAATCTTTACATCTTCAGTTAGGAATTAAGCACAATTCATGGTATTGTACAAGATACACAGAAAGATTTTTAGATAAATCCATCAAAATTCAGTCGAAAGTTATACAAAACTATTGACCAATCAACTTTCCATCTGTATCTGGATAAACTCTGAAAGTGAAGATTTATTGATTTTAAGTTGTTTTTCAATGATGATGGTGATGAGGGAATGGAGCAACAATCGGTGGTTTAACTGTTTCAATTGTGAATGGAATCGGAACTGGTAATGGAAGTGGTAAAAATCCTATTCTTGGAGGTGAAAGGGCAGCAGCCGTTAACACAAATTTAAGCAATTTGCGAGCTTCCCGATGAGAAAGTCTATAGCTAGTTGTTGTTGGAGCCATCAAGACGAATATAATTGTATATAAAATAACATATAACATTGTCGTTTTGAGTGACCATTTCATGATCATTTGCATCACAACTGAGTTTTGAACTAGAGTTGATAAATCACCAAATAATGATAGGCACTGAGATTTAATTGAAAGAGATTCGATGTATCTCTGATATTCAAATGGAGACTAGTTGAATGTGAATATGTATTCTGAATTACTTCCAACAAATTAATGATGAAAAAAGATGCTCGACACAACTTTATATACGGGAATACAGTCTATTAATGACTGGTCAACTAATTGCGGTAAAGATCAAATCATAAACAAGATCAGGTAAATGACCGAGCTGTTGACAAGTTGATGGGCTATACAGCCATGAAATTAGAAACACATTGAGGAAACATTGTGGCTAATTAAGAAGTTGGACATTCAATTAGCATCAACCTCAATGATTATTATACCTTGACTGATTTTTGTGCTTTAATCGTTTTCCAATTTCAATTGTTACAATTGAAACACCTTAAATCATAACCATACTTTTTCTGTTGATTGGTTGAGATATACAGCTATTTAGTACTAGAGTGGTCAACCATGTCAATGATAAACTTTAGACGGTTTTTCTTACAAATATAAAAATACCATTTTGAGCATTGATTTTTCAAATTTTTGTCCCAATTTTTGTGAGATCAGATTTAATCTTCAGGATTAACTGTTTACATCTTGTTTAATTTAATTCAATCACTTTAATCTTTTAAATTATACTTTTTCAGATTAGCTAACACTTTAGTATAAGGAGTGTTTGGTTTTGCTGCATCTTCAAATATTGACAAAAATGATTCCTTTTGATGGTCCTTAGTGAGCTGGGCATTAAAAATGATAAAAACAAAAGGATAATTAGATTCTGTATTGATAATAACATTTTTAAATGTTAATTTACCTCATCGTAAAAATTACAACAGCAAAGGAAAAAGATTTCTTCGTCTCTAGTTTCATACAGACCAGGTTTGGCAACAAGGCAGTAAAACCTATTGATAAAAAAAGATGAGACATTAAATACGATGATGGGAATACTAACTATGTAAAAATATGATATACGAGGAAAGAAATAAACTCACAAATTTCTAATCCAAATATTAGATGATGAGCTAGCTAAGAAACATGATAAAGACCATATTGCAGAGGAAATTGGTTGGATTTGAGTAAAACTTGATAGAGAAAGTAAAACCCATTCTTGAATCATTGAGCTTTCTGATTGTTGTCGCAGTATTTTGAAAACCTAGAAAATTAAGAAAAGCTTGTTAATAGAAGATTCATGATTTATTGTGAATGTATTTTAATTGAATAAAACATTACCTTGTAAATAATAGTTGCCATATGTTGTGGATAAATATTTTGATTTGATAAAAATTCTCCAATAATTTTATTGAGTATTTCTTGAGTGGGAAGAAAATCGCAAAGTATTTGTGGAATGATGGAAGCAATCATATCTGCCTCTTTTTTGTTGCATATTTTAAGCCGATCAAAAATGAGTCTAACCCTTTCCATAGCAAATAACAAGTCTTCGTTGGTATCATTTGTACTAACAGTCGATGAAGGTGTTTCACTGGCAAATGAAAGTCCGTCTGAAACAGAAAGAAAATGCTAGTTAATTCATTTCCATTAAAATGAAGGTGTATTTACTCACAAATATATATTGATGTAATCATAAGGCGAAGGGAAGCAATTGATTCTTGTGATGGCAATTTGGGTGATTTAAGCTTTTCGGTTGAAATTCTGACAATAGCTTCAGCATCTTTAATGCTGAAAGTTTCACATACCAATAAGTGCATTAAACCATCACTAACAGTTCCGTAAACTCTGACATTATGACACTGGCTGCTAATTGTTTTTAAGCTTAACTGTTGAAAGAAAATGAAAATAAATCTGTTAAATCAAGTCCAAATCTATCTTTAAAAATTCAACTTACCAAGAAAATTTTCTGAGCAAAATCGTTATCAGAAAATGAGTCAACAAAAGTTTCAATGAGATGGAAAGAAAGGTCCCACATAAGAACCACATGTTCCTCGTTATGACTACTTGGGCTGCAAAATAAAGGATAATAATTAAGTAATCTGAATTGATTATTTAAAGACAAATTAAATGCTTACAGATTTTCATCGCCAAGATGTTTGACTAAATAATCAGAGACGCAAGGTAAAAATTGAGTCTCTTTTCCTCCGGGAAGAGTATTCTTCTTTTCTAATAGATACCAAACTCCATATAAGGTGTTGATTCGTGTTGGTAAAAGTGAACTTTTGAGACTTGCTTCAACACACTTTTTACATTTTTCAATGAGTTGATCAGATTCAATGGCCAATACAGCAGCTGACTTACAAATACCAAAAGCCAAATATTGAGTGACCATATCATCTTCATCAGTGATTGAAAGGCGAAACAATTCAAGGAAAATGTTTAAAACCCATTCATATTGACTTTTTTCAAAGAAAAGGTCCATTAGAGAAGCAATTGATCGACAAAGTTCAATTATTAAAGGTGATCTTGAAAGATGAGTATTAATAAGTTGACCATAAAGCTCAAGCAAGAAATGGATACATGAAGAAAGGTCAATCTCAGTGTTTTCCTTGATAGGAATATTCAATGGAGTTCGAGGAGTGTAAGGATCAGGGACTCCTTGAGAGGTTGGACTTTGAACAGTTGAAGACGTTTCCGAAGATGAACCTGATGAGGTTGGAGGGGTTAAATCATTAGATGAAATAATACCAATTTGTTTACGAAGATAATCAACAGAAAATAAATGCTTTGAATTGATATATGAAGTATCATCAATTTCAATTTCTTCAGTCCCAGTTGACGGTAATATACATTTTAACTGACTTAATTTTTCACCAAACTTGGTGTGCATAAAGGCTGCTGCTCGAGTAGGATTAAATGAATACAAAGGTCTAAGTGGATTTCCTGGAATAGGATATCGTAAAGATTGTAAAAGTAAAGTTGTTATCCCATCAATACCAATTTTTGCAATTAATAATTTATCTTGAGCATCTTCAAACGTTTCATAAGAATCTTGAATTGGTGAAATAACTCCCAACAAAGACATCCACAACTCTTCAAATTGTATCCTATTGATCCAGCCAAGAGAACCAATTCGAGTTATCAATTGTATCAAAATGTCTTTATCACGTAAATAGTCGGATGGAATGGTAGGACAAACGGTCCCAAAGTGACCTTTAAATTCGGGTGACCACAACTCGTGTTGCCAAATGGACGGAGGTATCATGGCTACTGAATTGACAAAAGGAATTCTGCCCAATGAGATAATGATTCGCTTTAGTTTTCTCAATAAACTTAAAGGTAATTTAGAAGTATAAGATGAAGCCGATGAAGATAAATTAGATTCACTAAATTTGAGAAACATCATAAGCTCAACAATTCGATCACAAGCTTTAACCAAATGACGGTAATCAGATCGCTCCTGTTTGGTAAGAGTTTCCTTTTCATGGAAAGATTTTCGCAATGAAATCTCATATAAATCACCGAAACCTATATAAATACAGAAAAGATTAATTAAAGCGATTCTTCTAAAAAAACGTAATTTAAACAAATACTTACTTAATTTACAAGTAAAATGGATTGCAGCTATAAAAGAGCATAGAAGTGATACATTTTTGGGTTCACAGAGAAGAGATATGAGAGATGGACGCTTGGTAAGATCATGTAATAGAGTAATGTACAAATTAATATCATTAAAATCACGCAGCTCTAGATCATAATAAAGCAACTCTGCGTAGAGAATAGCAACTCTGAGAATCAATTCTCTAGCTTCGGGTTTATTCTCAAAGCATCGAGACTCATCAGCATAACAGGCGAATGCATTGTAAACGGGAATCAATGAGACGATATAATCTTTGACAAATTTTTGGCTAAACAATTCAATAAGAGAATCTCTGTGTTTCATATCACGAGCAGTAAACATTTCACCGATTGATGAAAAGGGTGAATGTTGGGGAGGAAGATAACTTTGAATTTTGAGAAGATGTTGCTGTGATGATGCCATACATGCTTTCAGGAGAATGTTTCCTTTCAATGGTTGTTCATTTGATGGTTCTTCGTTGAAAAAGGTTAATTTAGTTGCTGTTGTTAAACAACAGGCAAGAATTGAAAGACCAAATGTTTTATGACCAAAGAGTGAATATAACTCTTCAGGAGAACATTTGTTCAACGAAGTGGCAATTTCCATCCAATCAATTTGTTGAGATTTATAACTGCTGGGGAAAAAGTGAAGAAACCAATCTTTGGATCGATTTAACTCTAAATTTGTCAAGGGAATTGGTTCCTTTTCATTTAATGGATGATCTTGTTCTGTTGGAGAAATAAATTTACGATAATCAAGCAAAAGATCACTGAAATCACGATGTTTCCTGGCATCAAGGGAATGGAGAATCTTGTCAGTATCTTCAACAGATAGTTGAAGGATTGCATCTTCAGGGGAATCAATTTTACACAAAAATTTTATCTTGTTAATGGCAATTTGTTTACTCAACATTCGGATAGACAGATAGGCTTTAGTTTGAGGATTTGTGAGAATCTTTTCAACCACCAGAGATATCAATGAACCAGATTGAGTTTCGTGAGAAAGTTCAATACAGAGTAAGAGACGATTCAAAAAAGTAGCATCCCGAAAATTATCACACCGAGCTCCAACTGCTTGAAGAAATAATCCAGATGAAGCTTGATTTCGATGGACTGCATGAATAAAGTCACGGATTGGAAGCTCATAAGACCAACGAATAATCTCGTAGATGTTGTTTATTATTAACCAAGTTAATTGCTCGACATCATTCATATTTTCACAGACAAAGTCACACATCAAAATGAGAGCTGATCGATGAATAATCTCAACGTTCAATGATTGATGGACAGTTGATTCTTCTGATGATGATCGAGAATCATCTTTGGATTCATCAGGTGATTCATGTTCCACCATGGAACAAGGTCCTGAATCAAGTTTGGTAAGCTCATTGCCTTTGATTAGTTTGTACCAGAAACGATGAGTACCTTGATCATCGAAACCAAGAAGCATCAATACATTGCACCATTGAAACATAAGTGTTGGGAAATGTGCATCAATTTTACTGAAAGCTGAATTAATTGAACCTAAAATTGAATTACGAGATAACATTTCTTTCAATAGTTCAGATGAGCGCTTGGCAACACGACGATAAGAACCTGATTGAAACATATGCGTCATATAAAGAAGAAAAGAAGAAATTTGTTGAACTAAAAATGTTGAACGAGTACGAAGCAAAGGACTAGTTGATTCACGATAATGGATGAGAGTTTCTGCGGATACACGAACAACATTAAACATAAATTCAGCAATTAGAGTCACTGAAGCATTTTCGGTAGTTTGAGAGGCATCAAAAATTTCATCTGACATGAGAGAATCATCTCGAATCCATTTGAGATTAAAGAAAGTAGATGAAGGAAGAAGATCATCGAGTCGAGCCAAAACAATTTCTTCTTTGGCATGGATGATTAATACACGTAAAATGACAAGAACCGATGAAATCCAACGTTGAAAGATGTGATGATCTTCCAGAAATTTAGGATCAGGTGGAGTGAAAAGAGCTTTAAGAAGATAATCAACAGGTCGATAGACAGCAGGTGATACAGATTCAAAGAGATGATGAACAACTTCCAGATCAGGGTAACACTCAATGTACAAATTTTGACGAGTTAATAGAGGAAGAAGAACATCGATTATTTGACGAGATATTTTCCTCCATTTATCTTCACCTTCTTTACGTGATTGGTGAACAATTATGTTGAGCAGATAAAGGCTTTTACGATGATGAGCAAGCTTAAGCAAAGCCGCAATGGCAACTTCTCGTTGAGCATCAAGTTCCTTGGCAGATTCAACTTTGGAGGGTAAACGGTACAACATTAAATCTTCAACAATTTGCCGAAGAGCGGGAAGAGCATAAAAAACAGGAGGTTGATCTGATGCCATAAGATCATCACACATTTGTATTATTTTGGGAACAGTTATGATGGGTTTACTTTGATTAGAATGTTCTCTTGGATAGGAGAGAAGAATAAAGAAATTGAATATAATTCCAATTAATCGATCACAAGGTCCCAATAGTCCATTTTCAATAAAATCAAATTGTTTTCGAACAAATCCAAGAAAAATAGAATCCGAGTCAAGCAAATTATAATCCACTCGAAGTTTAATCAACTGACAGATGAAAGATAAAACTTCGTACTGCAGATCAAGATTACTTGTCATTGTGTATAAACGTAAAGCTTTGATTACCACTGGTTCAAATAAACGAATGTAACTAGTTAACGTGATGCGATTAGTCCCAGTTGAATAGGTTGAAAGACAAAGAGCCGAATTTTTGTCCAATACAAAGGAAACTTGCTTTTCAACAGCTTTACGAAAAAAGCATTGCCAAAGTTCGGGATCCTCGGATGAAGAACCAGGTGAAGAAGTGTATGAATTGAGAGAGGGAGCTCGAGATGAGACGTAATCGGAAAAATTGGAATAAGGTCGAGCAATAACTGCCTGATAAAGGCCAGACGATGAAGAAGGGAGAGGAAAAGAGCATCCTGAATATTCCATAATTTGATGACCAGTGTGGGATCCCTTAATGATATCCAGTTTATCGGTGGTTGCTTCTCGATCGTGAGAGATCAAATGAATAAAATTGAGACCAAATAAACATTTTAACAATTGGTGGACACATTTGACAGAAGCTTTAGGTTCATGGTTGATTACAATTTTAATGTAATCTAAAATTTCTTCAGAAAAACGGATAAAATAACGAAAACTTCCAATTTCCAAAAGCTGTGAGAGCAAGTTGAGAACTGATTCAAGAAGTGGACCTAATTTACTTTCGCTCATATCCATTGTTATTTTAGATGATTGATAAGTACTTTTCATGATTTCATATAAACGCCATGTAAGCGGATCATTGGTTATGCTGATTTGCCTTTGTAAAGCTTTATTTCGTTCCTTATCTAGGCCACTTTTTCGTGAATCACTTTTATCAGCATCAGTTTTAGCAGTTTTCTTTCTCAATGGACTCAAAGTGGCATTTGATAGTGATGAGATCATTTGTGGTTTAATAGCAGAATTCGGGGTTGATGAATTTAAAAGATTATTTGATTCATCATAGACAGAAGCAAAGATTCCTAAAATTTTCAAAGCATGTTGAGTTGCTTGAGTTAAAATTGGTTCCAAAAGTGGTGCATCTTTGCTTATTGAACCCCAATCTGATTCGTTTACTGTATCTCCATCAAGTTCACTTTGACTAATTACTTGATAAGCTAGACCAGAGATGAGGTTTCCAGTTAAAGTGTTGAGACATTGATGAGCAATGAGATCGTTGATCAGAGGAGGATAGTTTGAAAGTAAATATAACAAATATTTGAGAAGAGAAATTGTCTTTGAACTGTCCTCAGTTTTGCATCCCCAAGCTTTTCCGAATTTGGTGGTTGGATATTCTTCACTGAGCTCACAAAGACTTTGAAAACAACCAAAAAGAGTAGCTTTGGAGGCAGAATTTTTAGTTAAATTATTAATAAGTTTGTCCACTATTAATTTAAGGTTAGATTCAATGGAAACATTATAATCACAGGATCCTTTTTTATCTACAAATGGAAAATCAAAATCAAAATTATCGGGAAGTAATTTGGTCGGGAAAGGTTCACGAATTGGAAGAATGTTCATAGAAGATCCAGAGAAAAAGTTGATGTACGATTCAGCAAGGTTTTGAGTAGTTCCAATCACTGGGTCACCATTATTTTGATTTGAACATATAAATATATTCTTGACTAGTCTGTAATCATAGAAAGAATAAAAGTAAATTTTAGATTTGCTTAGTTTAATCAATTAAAATTAAAAAATTACCCAACAAGATAAGATGATGCCGAACTGCGTATACGATAATCTTCATCGGATAAAAGAGGCATAAATACTTCATCAATGACAATGTCTTGGAACTTTGTTAATGAATTAAAGTTTTGAGCCAAAGATATGCGTTTTTCCAGATAAAATATCTCAGTATAAGGTAGATTCGATAGAAGCTCGAGAAGACCAGCCTGAAAAGATGATTGAATAATTATGTAATGATTGAATAGAAATAGAAATGAATCTTCAACATACCTTAACAAGCCAATAATTGTGATCTTTTAACAAAATTAGACGATTTAAAATTTTAGGTAAAATATTAATTATAGTCTCTTGCGATTTAATTAAAACAGGGAGACAAATTTGGAATGATTGTAGAGCATTGCGAATGCTCGATGATGTATTGCCCGATTCGTGGAGAATGGGATAAATATGTTTCATGATTAATGTTTCCAAACTTGGTACTTCATTTATATCCGAAGGAGCACAATTGACACTAATGAACTCTCCATAACTTAAAGGTAAATCTAAAACATGTTTTATGTAAGTTGCTATCACAAGGGAAATTTGACTTCGAATGTGAGGATCAGAATGAGATGAATAAAGTGTTATGTCCCAAATTTTTTGCGGAGGTTCTAAATAGAAATGGAAAAAGAGAATAAGATGTAAAAATTTTTATCAAATATATTCAAGTTGGATGAATTAAAATTATTACCTGGTGAATGACGATATAAATGAAGGTCCAGCAAGAAAGCTTTTGGATAAAGTTGAACGATTGGTGCTAAGCAACTCAAGGCAAGAGATTTAACACTAACTCGGACACTTTTATCTGGAATGAGTCCACTTTTTGTACTATTCAACAAAAATTTGACGCAAAGTAGACGAGTGCAATATTCTAACGGAATGGTATCTTCTGAAGTGAAATCTCCGATATTTTCAATCTGATAGATTAGAAGAGTAGAGAAATAACAATTGTAGATTGCATGTTTACAAATAATCAATTTGGTATGATAATAAGGAAAATGTAGAAACAATTGACTTACCTGAAATAACATATCAGAATCCCAAAAACTAGGTAATGATGGTGCTGGAGATAAAGGTACTTCATTAGATTGCGAGAAATCCTCCTCTTTACTTTGCTCTGTAATTAATGGTACAATTCTAGAAGGATAACTAATTGGGCCCTTTTCTTCAATAAAATCTTTTACGATGCTACCATTATCATCAAGGACACTTTCACTAACTTCACTGGGTTCACTGAGACTGGAATCTGGACGATAAATATCACCAGAATTGGTTCTTATGTTGAGATTGAACGAATTTTCACCAGATAATCGAGAATCCTGTGAGAATGAACTAATAAGAATATCTTCATCGTCCTCCAAGGAAGCGACATTATCTAATTCACTAATAGATGAGCCTTCTTTCATTCGACGAATGGACATCGAGGGTGATGATGGAATGGAAGCCGTGATTGACTGATCATTTAACCGAGATTGGCCAACTCCATTGATACTTAACAGATTGTTGAGGATAAGCTTTGGAGGTGAACGTAATAGTTGAAGCAAAGCTTCCAAAGCAGATACAATAACACCATTATCCGTTGAATAGCGGAGACTGTGTAGGATTAATTCATACATTTGGAGTAGATTGTCTTTCATGCTACTCATTTGCTTTTCAAAAACCTGCTTTTGCTTTGGAGTGATCACTAAACTTTGGTTCTCTCCGTCTTGTGGAATATTACTCAAGAGTGGAAAAAGGTTTTTCAGGCATAAAAAGATGCCTGATAAGAGGTTATTGTTGGATTCCGGGAGCTGATTATGGTTGAGGTTAAACTTATTCTGACTTGAATGAAAGGATTTGAGAAGATTGTTGATAAGCCATGAGTAAAAATAACTCGGTTTCTTCGAATGTTGACAGACAACTGTTAATGATATAGCGGCAGTTCGACGAACTGAGACTAAGCAGTGATTTAGATTAGGTAGAAAACAGTTAAGAAGCTTGAGTATCTCGATTTCAATGGCATATCGACCAAGAACAGGCATCAATTTTTTCATAGCTTGAGCAATCGTCTCTTGAATACTTTCTTCGTTAGTTCGTGAACTAATTTTTTCCAAAACTGGTATTAATTGAGCTAAGTACGGACGACATTTAGATGGCCTTAAAAGATAAGCAAGCTCCGAGAAACGAGTTAATGCTGCACGAATGCTACGACTTGATCCGTTCTTCTTCAATTCTTTGTATAGTTCAACATGGATCCGATTGAGATGGCAGTCTATGTTACTTTTTATTGTTCGGTTGAGACATTCACCGGCATTTAAGCGCACGTCAGCATCAAGATCATCACAACAAGCTAGCATGGTTTCTATTGCTATCCCTAAAAATTTCTGAAAATCTTCCATGCTCCTAAAATAATAAAAGATCAAATAAATTATCAAATTTAGCTGACATAATTGAGAATTGGAAAATAAAATAAACAAAATGACAGGAAAATGACAATTAACAGCCATAGAGAAATTTTTAAATGTAAATTTCAAGATCATGATATTAAGTTAATTGTCCGTGAAATGTCGTTTTGTTTGGTGATGAGAAAATAAAGGTACCTTAATTGAGAGCAGCATATTATATCCGCAATATTGATACAGTGTGAAATTTTCTCCTTTTTACTGATAGAAGCTTCTTTTTTGCTGAAAATAAAAAGCAGAAAAGGAAAATAATTATACAAAAGAGTTATAAAATCATTGTGAAAAATGAGATAGGATAAAACGGTAACAATGGATTTCTAGGTTGATTGGAAAATTCAATGCAATTTCAGGGTGAATGTGAGAAAAAACGAATAACTCAGTGTTGCCAAAACTCATCGCAATGACAAGCAATAGTGGTAATGTTATGAATATAACCATGAAGGCAAAACATGAATACAGTAATAGTTACTTACATAAATTTTGTTGATATAAGCGGCTCCTCAGGTTTGTCAATAGATGCCTGGAGTACCTTGAGAGCCTCCAGCGATTTAACCAGCTTCTCAATAGAAGCCATGTCCTTCTTAATTTATAGTTAAAATAATTAAACAAATCACCAATAAATAATTTAAATAATAGACATTTAAAAATAAAACCAAAACAAGAAAATCACTCTTATTAATAGATTCAATGTATCAACAAATCTTGCAAACAGCCGCAAAACAGTCTCTCATGCAATATCGCCATCTAACGAGGATTAAATCCAAAGTGTAATTTTTTTTCTTTGATTTATTTTTTAATCCTTAATAATTAATAAAATAATCCATATTATTAAAAATATAATCACTTTAAAAATACAAAAATTTAGTCATTCACAATTTAAAGCATGAATTTACGTTCTAGGCTAAGATGTAGCAAGACGATGAAATTGGAAATCGCTTGACTGAACCAATTGAACCATTTTAGTCAAAATTGTGTTAAATTGAACAAAAAGCTCAGTAAATCTCAATTAATGTTTGTGACATTTCAATTTATCAAAAAACGTGTTCACTCACCTAACTCTACTTTGATTACTTAAAAACAAAGAGCATCAAGAGATGATTGACAAAAAGCCTCAGAAGTTTACTGTGAGTGGAATTAAAATTAGAGGTTTTTAGAACCCTTTTGGTTCAATTACAATTTAACTTAAAAATTAGAGGCATTGACTTTGAATTTTATACACAGATATTTATATTGAAGTTGTCAAACGATTGATTTACTTGTCTGGTTTTACTCATTAGTAATTATTACATTAATGGATTGATAGATTGAAAGTTATTTCATTCAAGGAGAATGGTTAATGATGATCAGGAAATTGATTCAGTATTCATGGAAGATAGGAAGTGACCCTTTCCATGCAAGCTTGAATAATTTTGGTTCACTAACTGTTCTCGGATTTGGATGATTGATAAATAACATCATTGATTTAGACTCACAATTTTGTTTGGAGTTGCCAAAAGTTTATACGGTTGCATTCAAATATCTTGGTGCCCATTAAATCAACAATCAATATCTCAATTCAGTTTAAGCTTCTTTTGATTGTCCAACAATTAACAGCATTGAACAATTTGTGCTGTTTCTAATTAGTTCTTCAAAATGTCAACAGAGCTCTCTGTATCCAAACGGGTTTGTTACTTTTTGGCTTTAGAGCAATAAAGAGTTTATGATTCTGCTTCAGTTTTTTTACTTTTCACCTTTATTGTTTTAATTAATTTAGACTCCGTTTCAGGGAAACTAATTAGTGACTATAATTTATTTGATGGTGCTGATATTCAGAAAGTTTATTTTCTGCTGATACAAGTCTATATTTTGTGTAACTTTATCTTCCATAAGCTTTGTAAACTTGTTGATGAAACTTTTCTTTTTTCTTTCCTCCTACATCTGTTATTTTATCTTCTGAGACTTCAGTGTTTGCTATGTTTACTCCAAAATGAATAAATCAACTGGTATTTCATATTCATCTATTAATCGAGCTGGTGTTGTTCGAAGAACATATTGTAATCCGTGTTGTGGCTGTCATCCATGGTTAAAACTTAAATCTTGCCTTAAATCATGTGCCCGTTTGCCTTGGACCATAATTTTTGCCATACTCATGTCATCTAATGGCATTGGATTAATTTGTTACTCCTTGGTTAGATCAACTGTTCTTTCTGATCAACTTACTTATGATCTCTTTAATCGTAAATATATCTGGCTAAATGACCTGGAAGTTGGTATAATTATTCTTGGTTTTGTTATTTCTCTTCTTATATTGATAAATTTAATCATTGGATGTACCACCAATACCCAAAAAAGACCAAGATACAATTTTACCACCAGTTGTTATGACAACTTATGCACTCCAGCCTCAAATTGTGTTGTTAAAACACTTTTTATTATCAACTATATTCTGTTGGTAATAACGATTGCTGCCACTCTAACTCTTGGTATATTTTTATTTGCTGCTTACACTACTTCATCATTATGTGCAAACACTTTTTCCGATGGAAACATCAATACCGATGCTGATATTACACCTAACTCCAATCAAACTCGAGATTCACTAAATTTACTCATATTCCAACCTTTCATTGGATTGCCTCAAAATGAAACACAACTACTTATCTTAACAGGATCCAGATTGACCAAATTTTGCGATGAGTTGATTCCCTCAGTATTGGTTTATGTCCAGATGTGCTTTGCCGGGTTGATTCTTCTCGTCACTGGCTTACTCAATTTCATTTTAACTGTTAACACTAACTGGACTGTAATAACAACCAAGAGAAAATTTGAAGAAGTTGTCTTCCTTAATTCAGCTGAAATGACTAATTTTGATGAAATGGAGTGAACCTACGTAAGGAGAAACAATTGATTAAATCTCCTACATAAACTCTGCTTTAAAATTGCACTTGAGCAATCATCTTATGCATCAAATCTTCCACATAGTCAACCACTGCTTTCATTTATAAACCTTTGAAAACCGTCCCATATTTATACTTAAATCAATAGACGCAGTTAAAATATTTCACCGTTATTATATAAGACATTGACGATCAAACAGCTGTGAAGCAAGTACCGAAAATTGGCCGATTAGTTTTTGTATGATATTCTGCAACTCTTAGAATCATTTCTTTTTGTATCTTACTTTTTCTAACTCCAAAAATGATGTGATCTTGCCATTAATCTTTCAAAATAACGGGAAAACATACTTAACAAATCAACTGTAAATCAATTTCATTAATAAAAATATGGATTGCAAGGTAATTTAACAATTGACATTTCAATTTTCTAACATCTGTTTATCCAAATTGTTTCAATGAATGAAAGCAACAGGCGATCAATAAATTAGAATAGCTTTATTATATTTATTAGGTATTGCATAAAATTGACAAAGGAATTGAATAGTTTATTTGACTGGAGAAAGAGCAGATTTTATAAAAATCATATATTAGGGGGTTGATTTAGATTAATTGTTGTTAGAGGTGCTAAATTTCCTGTTGTTGTTGGCTGTTGCATACTTGATTCAACTGACGTGTAAGAAGGAGCACTTGTATAGTTAATAAAACCACTAGAAATAGGTAAAGCTGATTGACTTGATGGATTGTTACTGGAAACAAATCCTGAACTACTATAAGGTCCACTTGGCTCTGGAGTTGGAAAACTGATGTTAGTCGTTTTCATTGGTAAAGGAAACATATTTGTTCGTTGTGGTAAATTCATAGTTGATTCGGGTTGACTATATGAAGCTGTTAAATTGCTAAAAAATTGTGAAGTCTGAGGCATCGAGGGTGCATTATGAAGAGAAGAGTAAGTCATCGAAGGATTAGCTATTGGGTTGGATAAAGACGCTGAAATATATGGTTTCACTTCGGAAGTAGCAGTCGGAGCTAGAGACATGTTCATGAAATCCTTTGCTAGTGGGTTAAGTTGACTTGACGAAGCATCATAGTTGATATTGACTGTTTTCAGATCTGATGGCAAAGGGACACTAACCGCTGACGGAGGCATACCTGAAATAAATAAAACATTGATATCAATTAGTAACAGAAAATTTGTTTAGAATTACTAAAAAAATTCTCACCAGACGTTGGAATAGGAGTTGTAATTGAACTGGCTGGTGTGTAAGATGTAACATTATCCGTCATTGAACATAATGTTCCAGTGTTATATGGTAAATTATAATGGTTAGGATTGGATGCTGTTAACACTGGTTTATCCATCGATGACGTATAGGTATTCACACTACTCGTGGCAACCATTGGAGTGAATGTTCCTGGTGGTGCAGATGAAAAGGCTATGGATTCATCCAGAGGAAGAGATCGATTAAGATCAGCGAGAAAACTTGACATGTCAAATGGTGTTGGTTGCTGTTGTGTTGGGGATGAATTTGTCTCAACTAAGAATCGAGGTGAATCTTGTGTTGAGGATGAATCTGTCTCAGATAAGAATCGCGGTGCATCTTGTTGTGTTGGTGATTGATTTATCGTCGGCTCAATTTGACTTGAATGTTGTTGGGTTGGTGATTGATTTACCGCAGGTACGGATTGAGTGCAATCCGTATTGATTGGTTGACTGCCCTGCAACAATTGTGCTTTATCAGAATAGTCTTGATCATTTGAGGGTTGGTAAGGTATGCGGTGCAAGTATCCATAGCCGATTCCACAACCAAGTAATCCTTCTCCTCCCCAGCGACTGTTTGGAGTTATTAAAACATCTCGAACGTTATCAGTTAATAAATTGTAAACAAATAATTTCAATTGTTTTCCATCATGGGATTCAATCAATAAATATAGATCTTCTGAATCTTGAAAAGTTGAATCTGCTCCAATGATATAATCACAATTAGACTGAAGACCAGCCTGTTCGGCTGGAGAATTGGGTTCAACTTGCAGAATGTGCCAAACATTTTGATTAGCGTTTTCAAAAGAGCAAAATCTGATGGACACACCAATTAAACCCGTTCCACCCCAATCGCTACTTGGCCTGATATCAACTTGTCTGATTGTACTAGTTTTACTGTTGAAAACAGTCATTTTGATAGTCTGGTTGATATTTGCTTTCAGTATTTCTTTCAAGGTTTCATTATTTTGATTCTAGAAAATACAAGCAAGAAGAAACAGACAGACATGAAAATGAGTGATACTAAAGAAAGGATAAATTAAATTGAAAAAATTCGTTAAACTGCGTATTGACATTAGGTGAAATCGCTTTAAAAATACTAAAGTTCCTAAAGATTGAATTAATTTACCTTACCAGACGGGTATTGCCGATGGATACAATGAAATCAAAATATGCTTGTAAGCCAGCTTCAGCTCCAGGTGATCCTTCCTGTACTTTAAGAACATGATAACCTTCCTTTCCACCACCAGGAATTTCAAGAGAGCTTGACGATAGACCCATCTTGTTCAGTTAAAATATAAATAGCAGAGACAGCAATTAACAAATCAAATTATAATATTTTCACTAGATAAAAACAATATTGTTGGCTTAACGGAAAATGTCAGTAGATTATTCAATAGCCCCTCAAACCCTTTGTTTACATTCCCTATAAGGAAAGTTTTAATTGAAATTATAAAGAAATTATCAAAAAAGTTGAATATTTCTGACAAATTCAACTCAACTAACGATCCTCAGCACAATGACATCAATTTGTTAGACTTTTCCAGCAACTAACTTTAATTTTATTAATCATTGTAATTAATTTTAAATTTTAGCTCGATTAATAGACTTGCTGTGCATATAAGCTATTTCCAGTTACTGACAGTATCTGGTACTCCACTGTAGATAAAAACAATATTGTTGGCTTAACGGAAAACTGTGTTCCACTGACTGTTAAAAACCACATCATTAGGGGTGATCCTTCAATTACATACATTTACCAGGTGAAATATCAACGGTTTTATAACAGAACGAAATTCAAGTTTAATTGTTTCTTCTTTCTAGTCTGCTATTATCAAAATGATACATTTCGGAATAAGTCAATGAAATTAAAAAAAAACAGTGTACCAGAAACAAGATTGACAGTTCGTTGTGTTTCCAGAGTGATACAAGCTAAATTTATTATCGAAAATGGTACAAAATAAGAGATTTCCACAAATTTTTCCGTCATTGGCATTAATTATTTAATCAATATTCCGAGTTTGTAAAAAAAGGTTCAAGATTCATCAGTAATTTTATATTTCAGGTACATTTGTAAAGCCAAATTCAAATTCCAAATGCGCTTAGCATATTTTTACGCTTCTTTTTTTGAACTAAACCAATCCGCCGCCTAGTCTGACTGTAAACAGGGTACTTTTTGTACACGAGTGAAGGATGATCAATGGCCTCTGAAAAACATAAAAAAGTGAGAGTGTAATTAAATATCTGTTATAAATATCGAAGTTCTTTCACATTTATTCACAACTTACCGTTTAATCCAGTGGCAGCTTCAGTTGTTTGAATTCAATGCTTCTGATTGAGAGGTTGAATTGGCTCTTCTGCTTTGTGGAAATAATAGTCGAGGTTAGGTTCAAGAATTTGGTTTAATTGATTAGTTGAGCATGTAAAACTCAACCAAAACCGATGTTTTAAAATTTTATGAAAAATTGCTGTCTTAAATCATCAAAAGATCAAAAGACAAATTCAAGATCAAACACTTTCTGATGGAGTGTTACATTGAAATAAAGCATTTTGTCGATTTGACTTTGTTTACAAAAATCTAATTAAATTAGCAAAAGTAGCTAACTAACAGTACAATCAGCCTTAAATTGTCTAACACTTTTCACTGAAAAGTTTTCAGATATGGTCAATATAAGTCTTGCGATTATTGAGAGTTGAGTTTGAAAAAGGAGACAATTTGGTTGATCTAGTGGATCAAAGTGCGCAGCCAAATTGATAAAAAGTTGAATTACCTCAACCTTCAATTTCAGAGAACACTTTCAACACTTTTTTAGGTGAAAAAATTATATAGAAATTTATATTAACCAGAAAAGGGTGAAAATAAAGGTTGTTTTTATAATAAACGAGGTTTTTTCAACATTGAGCGCATTGAAGCGGTAAGTCCAACTGATAGTTGAGATTGAATCTTGTTTTCGGATCCAAACATATCTTTTACAGACAATCTTAGCTTTACCTTTGCTTCTTCTTTTTCAACAACTTGTCTTACTGTTTTGGTTTTTTTTTCAATTATGTCTGCTTATTTAATTAACTCTTTTATTGGTGTATAATTATTTATTCAGTGGTCAAGTTTATTTGTATAGTTAACAATATCATTCGTTATTTGCTAAGGACTGTCAGTTGATTTTATATTACATAGATCTTGGTCCTTTTTTTCAACAAAACATGGCTGATGTCAAAGGTTTGTCTTATATTGAAGCATATTGTCAACTGTTTTCATATTAATTAATGTTTCTAATTTTTATATTTTACCCTCTTATGATTTATCAATTTATATCAATATTATTAACAATACTGTTATCATCGCCATGAAAATTTCATCCATTGGAAACAATAGAGTGAGTAGCTCACTATTTCAGTAATCTTTTCATACACTTTTCTATTTTACATTCCTTATGCCTTCTTTCCTCTAATATTTGTCGCTAATTCCACTTCTCTATTATTTTTTAATCATGTCCAAATCTAGTCTAATCGTTCTTGCATTCTCCGGGTCAATTGGTATGACTCTTGTTATACTCGGATGTGCTCTACCAATTTATTCGTAAGTTTTTTCTCCCTTTTCATTCATCTGTTTGCTACAAGCAATATATTGGTTTTAATTTCTATATTTTCTTCTGTAGCAATTGGTGGCCGTTCTTTGTGGTATTATTTTATATAATCTCTCCGTTACCCACCATGCTTGCAAGAAGGTACCAGGATGACATGGGATCTAGTAACTATTGTAAAGAACTGGCACTATTCATCACATCTGGTATTGTCATATCAGCATTTGGTTTACCCTTAGTGCTGGCCCGAGCTCCAGCTTCAGCCCCTGTGGTATGTTCAATTATTATTATAATGGTTCAGACAAACAAAAAAAGATAGTTATCATGTTGCTTTGTCTTGGTTATGATCAGCTGACAACACCAACCTCAGTTGACTAATCAAGGTTGTCGTGACATATTTATGCCGATTAGTGTCTCACACCTTTTGCTACCAATTTTACCCATGTATATAAACTCTTTAATGGTTTTTCAAAAAATTAATTTTCTTCCGTTTTTATGCAGATTCATCCAGGAGCATGTATCTTAACACTGTCCGGAAATGCGGTGGTATTCCTCACTATATTAGGATTTTTTATTGCTTTCGATAACGATGATGAAGGTTACAGTGTATGGTAAAGGAATAACAAACGACATCATCAACATGTGTATAACATAACTTAACAAAGCATTCACTCCATTTCCTGAAGTATTCAGGCAAATATGAACATAACCTCATCGATCTTCTCATCATGCAATTTCACCTCTCCATTAACTTTTTCGTATACTACTAATATTAATAGTAATAACATGAGCCACACATTGTAAACCTTGTTTTGAAACTATCAACTTCTGGCTCATCAAAACAATATTAATCCACCAAATTCTGAATCAAAGCAAAATATAATAAATTCCAAATTAAAGGCGAAGAAATAAATTAAATCTAACGAATATTAAATATTTTCCATTTAATTTAATCCTTAACCTTTCGAACATTGTATTTTTAGATTAAATTGTGTTCTTTTATCTACTCTAAAATGTCCATTCTTAAGTAGTCACATAATAGCTGGAATTACTGTAAGTCTAACACAATGGTTAGGAAATTAGTATGAAGAGGACGCAACTATAAGCATTTCAAACCTTTTTACAAACAAGGCGAAAATAATACTGATTTGAAACATTTACTTGGAACTTAATGTGAAACGATGAATTTCACTGGTGGTTTCAATTGCTAAGTACATTGTACTGTTAAAGAAATATAATTCAAAGTTGAATTTATTTTAACATTACTTTCTCATTTTTCTTGTAATTCAACCCAATGAGGTTCAAACAAGTACAAATATTTGCTGTACTAAATATGGTTAAGTTTTCCTTGTGTGTTATGTGTCATTTATTAGTTATGTATCATGTCAATACACAACAGTGTAGAAGAATAGGATAAATCGACTGAAAAACAATCTGAATGCTGATAATATTGCCATGAAGTGAAGAGAAAAATGAACCAACACAAATCCATCTGAGGTAGTGAATCTAGATTATTTTAGATTAAAAATTGATTTACCGTTTTATCAGAAAAAGTAGCCCTTTATTGTTTACATATTAAAAAATTAACTAAAATGACGAGTTTGTGACTTACTTTCTATAGAACTTGGCCGAGATTCGGAAATATTAAAAACTCCGATCATGGGGTATGTGAACGATAACGAACGATGAATTGATAGCCAACTGTGTGAAGATAAGAAGTTTTGAGAAGCTCTACAAATCGAGAATTGTATTCAAGGAAATCTTTTTGATCACAATATACAGTTCAAGATCTTGCTCTCATGAGATCCTATTGATCCATGATTGCAGGGATATTAGTAAAAATAATATAAATATAACGGGTAGTTAATAAATCAAATCAATTATAAGATGGTTCTTCTAAATACTTACATGTAGCGCTTGGTTTGTATTAGTTGTAATAGTTACCCATTTTTGATAATCAATTGAAGTGCATTGTATTACCAGGATTCCAAAAATAACATCTAACTGTAAATAGAGTTCACAAATCAAACATACAATGAAGATCAGTTTAGTCCGAAGAAAAACGATAATGATTGAGTTTCAAACAACTAAACCTTGTTTATTAATATCATTAAGAGTATACCAAAAGTCTTCTAGTGTACATTTCATATCTATTTTTTGTAACTTTAAACATCTCTACTAATCTAAAAGATGCAATGTCAAGTCTCAGTATCGATTGGAGGGCGATAATAATTCCGACATCTTTCATAAAATACCTGGAGTAATAGGAAAGAAAAATGTAACAATAAATGTAAACAGTTTATCAGCTTATATAGTTTATTATTAAGTGCTTACCTTTTTACTTCTATCTTTGACAACTTCTTCGACACTCAGTTCCTTTTGAAAAGATCTTAGCTGTAGAAACAATAAACATGGTGAAACGGTTGTTAAAAATGGTTGATAGATATGTCAGTGTAGTGAATTGTAAGGACGGATTGAAGCATAGAACTGCTTGAGCTAATAAAACCAAAATGAAATGAAATTTGATGAAATTTCTTGATGGAATGATGAACTTACTCGCAACTGTTCCTTCTTTAGCTTTTTGAATACTTCAGTGTTATCCTTTTCTGCTTTCAATTGCTTCATTTTCTCGGTAACAGCTGAGATACAGTGTTTAATGGCTTTCTCTCTGTTGTTGTAAGATTCATTCAACTGAAAAAATAAAACCAATACAGTGTTACAATTAATTTTAAAATAGTAAACAGGAATCTTAGAGGTAATGCAAACTTACCTGATGCCACAAGTCTTTGCAATCTCTGGTCAATAATGAGACATCGTTTTTGTGTGCATCAATTGAAATTGTACTGTTTAAGGCATAGATAATATTGTCATCTACCTTCCTCATCTTCAGCATGGCATCCTGTAAGTAAAGAAACATGTTGGTTGAATATGAATCCATAAAGATCGGTGTCAAAGAAAGACAAATGTCAAATTTAGGTATAAACAACGGTAACCGGTTTAGACTTACCTGAAAGGCGAGTAGATCATCACAGGACAATAAGTTTGTTTCACTCATTTTAAGATGCAAATCAGAACAGAACCAAGTTCAATACTAAAGCTTTCAGAATAAAGCAATCAATAAAATAGATCAAACCAAAGACAATTGATCACTAATTTATAAAAAGATGAAAGCCAATTAAGAAAATACGAGATGCTCACATGACCATGAGGAGGGAAACCACATGGTTTTCTGCAAGTTGTTTTGCTTTTTGATACCAGTGAGTTGATTTTATGGATATGTTTTAGAGCGGTAAATCATTTTTATTCAAAACAAATTGGTGTGAATTTAAGTTATATTTAATAGCAAAAACTAAAGGTAAGTAATGAAATTGAAATTTCTATCCATTCAAAGGAAAATATTTACTTTGTGATTCTAAAAATTCAACTTGCTTTGTGTTAACCAATTAATTCACTATTTTATTTTATCCTCCTTTATTCAGACTTGGTTGTTAAATTGATCAAATCACAACACAATGATTGTTTAGTTAAATGTTAACTATCAGTAGTATTGCTTGTTGTTTGTACTAAGCTTGGATATCTTATCGAAAACTGAATTTACTGCTGCTTTCCTTTGGTTCTTGGTGGAATTATCCCGATTAAATGGATTAACCTGGTTCGTATACGGTATTTTTTGTAAGTCTACCAATTGATATCCAATCTACACGCGATTTAAAGTAAATACTTTCACGATGCAATAAGGAAAAATTAATAGATCTGAAGCATCATTTGCAACCGAAACCAAGGAAAATCAGTTTAATGAGAATCGACAAATCTTCATAGACTGTGGTTAACAATTTTCAACGAATACTGCTTTTGAAAGTGAGACTGAAAAGTGGAATGCAAAATGTGTTTAACCATCAACAATGAAAATGCCATTCCCTGGAAACGTATTCAATTGAAAAGATCTAAATTAAAATCATCTGTTAAAACGTCTTCGATGTTGGCTGGCTTTGCCATTGTAGCCATGGTTGAAGTGAGTTTCCAAAATGAACCAGATAATCCAGTTCCACCTTATCTTCTAATGATATTTGGTATCAACTCTATTACTCTTGTTTCCGTTCATATGTTGGCATTGATGATATCAATCTGCATTTTGCCCAGTCTGGACGAAATTTGTGAAGCCAACTCATTCGGTAAAATCAATCCAAATTCATCTCCTGCTGAAGAGTTAAGTATTTTTATCGAAATAGCTTGGATATTGTCAAATGTTGTTGGTCTTCTACTGTTTCTAATTGAATGTGTCATCTGTTGCTGGCTTAAATTTTGGGAAAATGGTTCTCCTCGAGGGGAACCAGGAAAACACGTAGCATTTGCTGCAACCATTCTATTCCTTCCTATATTGGTTACATTTGTTTTCTTTGCGAATCACTTTTATCGCTCTCTGGTTAAATATAACTTGCAAAGATCAACATTTCAATTGAAAGAAGTCGAAAATCTTGCCCTTGGTTTGAGAACTGTATTTCCTATTGAAACTTCAAATCTAAAACCCGATTTTGGTCCATCAAGAATCATGAGCATTTAAATTGCCATAATTTACCTGGAAAATTTTTTAAGTTATAAAATACATTTTTATTTATGATTATAGCCAAATTACACTTACATTTCTTCCTTCATTCTGTAAAAACTGACTTTTTATTATCCACTGTTGAACTTATTGTATAATTTGTATAATATTTAAATGCAATGAATTATTGAAAGAAAAATCAAATAAAATCTTAAACAAGTATTCGAACTAAGCTCTCACCAACAGTAAATTCATCATATAAAACAGTAGATACATATTCCAAGAGAAACTTCAGAATAAACATTGAGCTCAAGCATATCTCTATCTCTCTTTTCTCATAATATCACAAGGGAAGATGTACAATAGAAAAATAATAAGCATAAACAATATTGGTGAAGGTCTTTTTTATTCAGTCAAATGCTTGGCTTTTTCAGCGAGTAATGCAGTTCATCAGGCGACTCTGAAATGAAAAGAAAAAATATAAATTAAACTGATTCTGTGGTAAATAAAGATCCAATTCCTTACCTATCTTCTCATCTTTCAATAACTTATACAAATGGTGTGAAACGTTAGAAGCAGCGGCCATATGTAGATGTTTTGGAGTATCCTGTAATTGAAATGAATTTTATCACAATTTTGTCCTGTGAATGACATGATTTCCAACTTAACCTTGTAAATGATGGATACGATCTCTTGGATCGTTAGCCTGGTTCGCTTTTGGCTGAGCCAATGGTAGTCAAGGATTTGCTTTTCACGAGCTAGACGGTGATTTATATATTCCAAGATTCTAAAGGCTTCAAGTCAAATCAAAGCAATACATATCGAATTTCAAAATCACAAGTTTTATAAGAGTTAATTATAACCAAACTAGCGTAATCAAAGTAAAATAGTGATTATTTACGCTGTTATTTGATTTCATCTGAACGCGCTTTTTGAATAAAAATTTTGTCATTAACTATTCACATAAATTAGCTGTTTGATACTTTGTTTGTTTATGATTAAGGCTTCTGATACCATTCATTATTAACATTGAATTGGTCAAAAAGCCAAAAACGCTTATATCAACTCATATTGTACCATTTAAACCGGTCACAACAATTAGACTTTTTCAAGTATCCAGATAAGTGAAAGTAGATACATGGATACAGATACCAATGTGCTTTGATGATGATACAATAGGATTTAATTAGATTAATTGTCACTGAATCTGTAAATAGCTCTTAAATTAGGTTGAGTTGAGTCTGGTTAGATTGCCATTTATAATAGCAACTCATAGATATAATAATACCCTTAATAATGCCAACTGTTAAAATAAAACAAAAAGTCAGTTTCCTTTACTCTTAACAAATTTGTATAGATTCTGATCCATAATAGTTAGCGAATCCGATAATGTCAATCTGCTCAACAAATGTGACATATGAATCAAAACTTTTTTGCATTTACTTTTTTTTTTAAAGCTCAGTTTTTGTTTTTGTTTTTTTTATGCAAATAGATGTTGATTTTTATTCATTTAATCAATGTTTTTCAAAAAACTGATCAACAAAAATCAGGAACATGAGGAATCAAGAAGTAAGTGGCAACGAAAACTCCACTTGGTATGTTAAAACCTACCAGCAATTGTAGGCTCAAAGCGTTACATTTTGATTTCTTTTGTTTAATTTACAGGCTCAAATTAACCCAGGACCTGATTTTGATCTGAGCAATTGTGCACTCCAATGTGTTCCCAAAGGAATTTACAGCCAATGTCGAGTCTTCCGGAAGGAATCGCTGTTGTTAAATAATAATAATCTCACTACAATTCCTGATGATCACGACAACTGTCTTGATGATTTGGTGCAGTGCCTTAAAATTTTGAATGTATCAAAAAATGCCATCAGAAGTCTTCCTTGCAATATATCTAAGTTGGTCAATTTAAAGGTACAGTATTTTCCCATTTCAGTCTCATAAATAAGAAAATGTGAAAAATCACAAGAAAGTTACATTTCTTATTCACAATGTTTTCATTTAAATTTTATAGGAACTGAATTTATCAAATAACATGTTAAAATCTTTACCCGACTCATTTGTTGGTTTAAAAGGCCTAGAATCACTTGATATAAGTCACAATCAATTGAAACAGTTTCCTTTGTCTATTTGCGGACTTCCAGCTCTCAAATACATCAACATCTCACATAATCAAATGATAACTCACATCCCTGCTGAAATTTGCAATTTAATAAATCTTGAAAGGCTACTAATCGACGAGACTAGCATCAAACATCCTCCTAGACGCATATGTGATAAAGGAATCGAAAGTCTGTTCAAATTCTTCAATGGTAAGCATATTTTAAATACTGCTATCATCACTAACCCAATCAATTGTATTGTTAACGATAATTGAATTTTCTTTCAGGTGATGTATTGAAGAATGATCAAATTGAAGTTTATAGTAAAAATTGTTCACAAGCCTCTAGTCATGCAACTGCTAAAGAATCAATTCCTGAGGTAAAAACTGAATACAAACTTAAATCTTATGTTAATCTTAATGTTTAACTCGTTATTACTCTTCATTTCTTTTATTTTTGTTATGACTTTGGCATAAAAGGACACCTTACAAGCTTATTTAACGAAAAAGGTAACTATTAAAAAACCTAAAAATAACCATCAATGATTAATAAATATTTTCCTTCCACAGGATGATCGTAAGAAGAGACTAATAGAGTTCGAACAGCGATTATTGGATGAAAACAAATTCATGAAAATCACAAACAATATTGACAAAAGACAGGAAATTTTAAACAAGATGAAACAAGATCAGATGATGCTGCACAAAGATTTGGAAGCTTTTAATCTTAAAAAGATTGAAGACAAATCAATCATTATGGAAGCGTTAAACTTGGTCGAAAATCATTCCGCCAAGTTATTGGACCATTTGAGCTGCATTGATTTAAGTTCAAAATGTCCTGAACATAAACCAACCAATGAGACTAGTGGACATCAGGATGGTTTAATTGTGACCTTAGAAGAAAAAATTCGCCAGCTAATGATTTCCAAAGACGAAACTAAAAAAATTTTACAATCAGAACTGGTTAAAGAAGATGAATCTTTGTACCGAGCTATTTGCAACTTCATGAATATGAAAAATACCCAAAGTCGCATCTTGTCTGAACAAATTGCTTTGATTGAAAATGAACTTTACCATCTTACAAAAACTGAGCTACAAACAAATAGCTTTGCTGATTCTCATGGATTTGAAAAAGCCAATTTTGCTACACAAATGAACAGCATAAATGAACAAAGGATAGCTTTGGCATCGGTGTTAAAAGAGCTGTTAAATGAAAAACAATCCAAATCCAGTGAAAGCGAAAAAGAATCAAAGATAATTCAAGCTTTGACGGAAGATTTGGCCACCTCAGCTCCTGGATTTATGGATGATGTTTGCTTGAAAAGATTAATGGAAGATCTAGACGAATCTTTGGTACAACTATATTTACCAATATTTACAAGTGGTTCAGTGACTTTCAAACAATTGGCAGAAGGAACTGATGATGAACTTAAATTGTTTGGTATCGAAAAAGAACATATTCCAATAATTCGAAAGCACATTTCTCTTTGTAAATCAATTGAAACAATTTCACCAAAAGCTCCACAGTCAGAAACTGTTACTGAACCCAGTGCTCCTCCGATGAAATTATGGTATTTAATTGAATGCGTCGTTTGCTTGGATGAACTTGTAAGTTACCAAAAATTAACTAATTCATGATCGCTAGAAAAAATTTAATTATTTGTTTCTATTTCTTTCAGAGCAAAATAATTTTCATTCCTTGTGGACATGTTTGCGCGTGCATAGAATGTTCTTCGTCGGTCGATTTGTGTCCCATTTGTCGAGCTGAAATCAGTGAAAAAATAAGATAACCTTAAACACAAGACAGAACTTGAACAAAGAAGTTCAAGCTTATTTGAATCGTCACTT